ACAATAAATTTTACCTGAGTTGCCGTTGTCTCTGGTTGTTACGCCTTTGCATATGTCTGATGCTTAATTTATGGTTTAAATAGACTCAGATCTCACACGGAACAGCACAGAGCATGCATTTGTCTTCTTGGGTGATTAGAGGAACCAGGCAGGCAGGTTGATTGTCAGTGGAATCAGCGGCGAGTGAATTTATAGGCTTAGTGCGATAAGTTCCACAATGAACTCATTCCCACGGCTTACAGATCAACCAACCCCCGAGGCTGTCAATCTAATAAAAAATCCATTTGCCGACCCCCATTTTTTTTTGTTAGAAAATGTGGCAATTTTTTACTCATATTTCAGTGTTTTTTACAACCGAAAACAAATTACAAAATGCGAAATAAAGGGCATATTCTTTGCGTTTGTAATGCTGGTGCTGATGGACAAAATGAAAAAAAAAAAGAACACAGGCGTCCTGTGCTAGCCACGCCCACAAAGGCGGACTACCCGCTGCTGCTGCGTATGACCATTTACCCTTATTAGAATAGGGCAAAGCGCAACTCGCATTGGTTTCATATTTATTTTTTTTAATTTCGTACACAATTTACATAATTTATGGGCAGCAACAAAAGTCACACACAGCATATGCTCAACTTTGAATTTTCTTCGAATTTTTTCATTAAAAATGTTGTTCATAATTTATGATTTTTTAAACTACGCACCATTATTTTTTTTCTCAGGCGCCACAAGCAAATGAGGCGCAAATTATAAGAATTTTGCATTTACTTTTTGGACTTGCTTGACTTTTGTGGCGCCTCATTAAGAGCTCATTAAAATCTTGAGGGCAACAAGTTATTTTTAACATTTTAACACGTTTTTAATTTTAATGCATTTTATGGCCCTTTAACGATGTCGCTTGAAAGTTGAGCAGTTACTTTCTGACTTTCACTTGTTGATGTTGACGTTGATGCCGCATCCTCAACCTCAGCTCGACCTCAACTTCATCCTGATGCGCGTCAACATCATGTCAAACTTCATTAGTAAGGGGTGAACAGAAGAGGCGACAGCAGCACCCCTTGCCACGATTGTCTAGCGTGGCGGGCGGGGCGTTTAGGTTGGGGTTGCAACATTTTGTGGTCTCTTGACGCGCCCGCCACGCTCATTGTTTTTATGGTTTGCGCTAATTAGTTACAAAGTCGTAGAATTTTACAGAAATTGCTTTGCGTTGAAAGTTATTGTCATGTTGACGACACTCAAGTGGCGCCTCGACGGGGTGCTGACTGCAACAGACATTCGATTCGCAGTCATCATTTGTTTGCGGTGCGTGAACTGGCCGCAAAATTTATCAGCAAGCACTAACTGACCGCTGACCGCTGACCGCTGACCGCTGACCACTGGCCAGCATATAAATCAGCAAGGCAACCAAAAATCCAAGAGCCAATTACAAATAACTCACACACAGAGAGAAAACTCATTAAACAAAATGTGAAAGTGGCCGAAAATTCTTAGACGCATGCCACAACTAAGATGTTGGCCATAAATTTGCAATGGGGCAAGCACAAAAGTACAACGCTCCCTGGTTAATTATTATGCAGCAAAAAAGGGTTAAGACCAAGTCAAAGACTGGCAAAAGGACATTGTTTGGTAGATTAAAAATACCACGCCCAGCTGTTATAAATCAAAGTCACCGGCTTTGTGCCGGGATTTGCCAAAAGGAATTTGTTAGAGCCCTAAATAAGAAACAGACAGAGCACCCCTTCCCCTTCCCCTTCCCATTCCAATTCCTTTCGCTTTCTGTTTGCCTCCTGTTTCCTGTTGCTTCTTGAATGGCATTTGAATAAAGTTTTTGGACTCGATGTCACCAAATAAGCAAATAAGTGGCGCTGACATGCTAAGACTACATCAAGATTTATTGTCCAACAGGGGAAATTGAAACTCCAATTGTCAGTTGCCAATTTAAAAATTGAATTTCAAAGTAATACCAAATGGCGCTCGTTAGTCCTTGCTAATCATCTAGGAGCACACATACTCACACACACACACACACACACTCACACACACATTTGCCCGCCTCCATTTGCCGCATCCTGTCATCGCACGCACAAATTTTTGACACATGCCGCAAATCCGCAGGCCAGCAAAAAAAATTGCATTGTCTTCTGAGGCAAGCCTAATGTGATTATTTGTTTGTTTTTTCTTATATTCTTTTCTATTTTCCACTTGCCGAAAACTTTGATTAAATTGAATTTGGAAATGCTCATAAATGTCACACATGCCACGACAAGAGGACGACGAGTGTTGACAGGGTGCTTGATGAAAATCCGCCTAAAAACCACCCAAAAATGTCATGCAATTTTTCAATAAACTCATCAAAGCGTCGAGCGTTTGAACCCTCGACGCAGATGTCCTGCGGCAAGTCCTTATAAACGCAATTTGATTTATGGACAATGCTCAAATTGAAAATTGTCCCATGGTCACTTTAATTTTTGAGTTATGCGACTTTAAACTACACACATTCTGCACACACCCCGCACGTTCCACGTGCGCCAGGAAGTGAATTATGTTGTCTTTTTCTATTTTGTGCTCTTCTTTGTGAGGTTATGTAATGATGACACTGACACAAACAAGCATTCCACTAACGGTACAGTCAGCGGCAACTGTACTTTTCGACGGTAGCCGCACAAACAGCGTGTGAAAAAGGGAAACGACACGCGTCGCTTGTTAGTCGCCCCGTCCCCCTCTCCCTCTCCCTCTCACACTCTCTCTCTCTCTCGCCGTTAGAAGTTAAAGTGCAAACGGAGCAATCAGATCAACCCCTGCACAGACCATGTTCAACCAATAATCTGGCATACCTCGATTTTAGCTGTTGGCTATTGAAGTGCCGCAATGGTTTTAGTGTCAGCTTATAATAGTTGTCGCAGTCGAGAGTAGCTGGAGTGGCTCATGTCGGATCCGATGGCTATCGTGTGATGGATGAAGCGTGAAATATGCTGGACGCACTACCAACTCGTAAAGTATTTCATTAGATGCATACATTTTAATTTGCATAAATTATAATGCTCAACCACCCACACACACACAGACACACATTATACGCATAGTTTGTGCGCATTTTCACACTTGGTATTTACGGAAACCCTTTCGCACAGTGAGAACAATTTTGTACTTAACAAATATGCTTAAAGTTAACGCAGTTTTAGCTGAGCATACTTGATACGACCACCAGAAATCGTAGACCAATTAGAAAAAATCCTTACTTCGAATGAACTTAGGTTTAGGAATCAAATTGCCAAATGTAAAAATTGTATCAGATTTTGTTATTATTACTAGGGGGGAAAAACTGCACCGCGACCTATTTGATCTATTGTGCCCCCCAACCAGATTTTGTTAACCAAGACGTATTCTCATATTGAAAAAACCAAACTATATATGTATATTTAACACCTGGATTCAGTCTTGTTCGAGCACTCTCGACTAGAGTTTTCTACATTTTTGTCTTTGCATTTTTACAAGTCAATTTATTTTGAAGTTGACAAGTTGAAAAGATAAACAAATATCCATATTTTGTTTTTTTAGATCCTGACTTCAAGTTCGATTTTAAACAAAATTATTAAAATAATAGATACATATTTCGAACAAATTCACTCAGTAATTAAAATAAGCTATAAATTAACGATTTTAATAATTATAATCTGATTAGACGCTTTAATAGTTTCTCGCTGTGTTGTTAACCAAACCATGTGAAGCAGACCGGACTTGCGGCATCCCCAAAGTTGAATCAGTTTGGCAATTATTGGAAATACTTGCACTGCTGGCAAATTATTTTTTAATTAAGAAATACGGAAATATGTGCCAGGAATCCGCCCATATCAAAATTGGCCACTTTCATGCTTGCCTGCACCTGTGGCACACAATTAAAACTGAAAAACCCAGACAACGCCGCCACTCAAACTGACCAACTTTTATATGGCACTGTCGTTTGTGGGTGTTCGAGTGGGGAAACGGGTGGAGGGGATTTTATTTTTCATGGCTTTTCAATTTTAATTGAAATTTATGCACACATCCCACAAAAAGGGGTTGGCCAAAGTGCTGCTGGCTGGGCCCAGTCACGTGTTCGCCAAAAACAAAAAAAAAAACCGAGTGTTGCAAATTGTTGAAAATTTTGAAATTTACATGCACATTATTCGACAGTGTCGGTTGGTCGTCCTTCGCGACGGGGACACGCCCACTGTCCACTAATGATTTACATTGCGCACTTTCGTTATTTATGAGCCGCACACACAACGAAAATTGCACTGGAAAACATTTTGTTATTTTGCGGGCACCGCCATTTTATTGTAATTCGGTGTGTTCATGTGTAAAATTTGAAATTGTTGTAAATAATTACCCTAATGGGCTGACTGGCGCCCAATATCCCGTTCCGCCCCACTCCGGCCCACTCCAACCCAACTCTGATCCTGGGGTACAGTTGCGACTAGCAGTTAATTTGTGAGACGGCATCGTCGCCATTTGTAATTAAGCTTAAACCGTTCATATTTTAGCCAGATAAGAGGCAATACCAATCTCCCAAGCCCAAACCAAAAGTGCGCCAACGATTTATGTGAGGGCCAAAGTAAAAGTTGTGCTCAGCCAAAAATTGTTGGGAAAACATTTCACGGTTCGGCGAAAGCGAAAATCCTCCGCCTTGGGTGTTAATTTGGGGGAGGCCAGATTTTTTTTTATTTTTGTTATCTGCACGTTGAAAATGAAAACTGGCTTGTTGTTGTTTGCTTTTGTTTGTAATTGCAGGAATTTAATTAGCCCGCCAAGTCGCTAACAAGATTCAAGATTCCAAGTAAGTTATGCACAAGATTCAATAGATTGGATTGAGTTTAATGAACACCTCTCCAAAAGCCACATGGGGAATGAAAAGAATAAGATTAATTTTTTGATTTGTCATGCTTGAAAAAGTATATATATACATAAGTCATTTAGGTGTTTTTTTGTGGTGATTAGTGACTCTAGAAAAAAACACAAGCAAATATAAAAATATAATATTTAATATATATGCATACATATGTTCCAGTAAATACAAAACTAATTTCTGTAGTTGTTAAAACTAATTTACATAATAAACTTGAGTTCATCCAATCTGGATTTCTGCAAAAATAAAGAAAAAAATGTTTGACCATAATTTCGAATTTTTTAGACAGTTATAATTGATGAAAGCTTACTGGTTTCTTTCTTTACGGTTATCGTAATTTTTGGCAATTTTATTTTTGGCTTCGGCCTAACAGGCTTCGGTTTGCGTTTTGGTGCTGCCAAAACATCGGCACAACATAGTAACAAGGCAATAAACAAAAGCCACTTGAACTCGAAGTATTTCATTTAAATGATGTGTACGAAGTTTAGCTTGAGAAGAACTTAAAGCGTCACATATATTGCGCAGACTGAATTATAATATACTTGACGAGCATCTTAAATACACCGCCTGCAAATATGTATATATGATAACCTTGTCGAGCATCTTCTTTGAGCGGCGAATTGGCGATAAGCTAAATGTAAGTTCCCTCGAATAAGTAAAAATATACGATTCGTGAAAAACCCAGTGTGTTAACCCATTGAGCACCCAAGGGTTGATTGTCAATTCAACTAATAAAATGACGTATAAATTGCATTATCTTCGATACAAGTTACATTCACTGAATTGCGACCCTTCTGCGTTAAGTAACCATAACTATTCATTATCCAATATGTAACATATGGATAGATGTGAGCGATATTATCGAACATCATTAAGTATAGTGGACAGAAATTACAAAAGTTTCGGTCGGATCCGAAAGAAATGGAACAAGAGTATATTTTTCTTTGCCCAAATACTTTCTTCACATAATATGTGTTTCTATACATATTTAATATTTATATGCGTTCTATTTTTAAATATATATAGCTTTAATATATATATATATATATATATTTATTTCGGTAGTTGTTAAAACTAATTTACATAACGAGCTTAAATTTATCCAAATTGAATTTCAGCAAAGATAACAAAAATAAATTGTGATTATAAATTAGACATTTTAGACAGGTATAATGAATTAAATTTGACTAATTTCTTTCCGTACGGTTTTACTTATTTTTTGCCAACTTAACAACTTAAGGCGTCACAGTTATTGAGCAGACTGAGTCATTGCAAATGTAAAGAGATCTCGTCGAGAATCTGCTTTTAGCTGCGAATTTGCGATTAGCATAGGTGTAAGTTCCCCCCGAATAAGTAAAAATATACGATTAATGAAAAGAAAAAAGCCAGTGTGTTAACCCATTGAGCAACCAAGGGTCGATTGTCAACCCAACTAATATAAACATGCATAAATTGCATTATAAGCGAGCTAAACAACAGACACAAGTTAAATTCATTGAATCGCGACCCTTGTGCGTTAAATAACCATAACTATTCATTATCGACATATAAATTGTGCTACAGCCCCTCAGCCCAAAGTGCTCATAACTTCAGATTTTTATTATTAAATAAACGGAACAAAACAAACGCTGGCAAAATGTCACACATGGAATGAGGAGAAAGAGAGAGTGAGTTGAGTGGGGGGGTAGATAGAGGCACATATGCATGAGCATCCTTTTGACCCACTAAATTGAAAATATGAAATGCATGTGGCAGAACCCTTTTTTTTCGTATTTTCGTGCTACGTCCGACATGCTACATCCTGCATCCTGCGTAATTCAATATTTAACTATATGAGATTTATGGCCACAGGGTCTAGCGACGACATCCGCATCTTCTGCACGACGACGACAACGACGACGACGACGACGCCGTCGTTTTATTTGTATAAAGTATAATTTTTGATTTAGTGCGATTTTGTGTCAACGCATTACGCGACCCGGAGGGGGGTGTGTGTTGCTTGGCAAAGGGTTAACAGAATAGTTTTGCAATATTTCGTAAGTGAAAATTCGTTTGTTTGCATTGCACAATGGCGGATATGAGACCACATGCTGATTGTTATTGTGCCGGTTCCTCGATCCTTCTTTGCCACGCGGCTGGTTTTGGCTTGAACAAAAGCAACAACGATTATTGCCCTGCCAATGAATTTGGAGTGGCGCCGCACAAAACGTTTATTTGATTTTTTCACGCATTTATCAATATCAAAACTACAGGGACTGCCTCGATTCATTGGCAATTAATTGGAATTCCTAAAAGTATTGTTTTCGCTTAAGAGTTTAATTTTATATTAATAATTCGTTTATTTAATAAATTGTATATTTTGGTATAAGTAGCTCAATTGCAAAATGTTGCATTTATTGAATTTTATATAAATATGCATAATGATGCATAATTTTCAATACATCACAACTCGAATTCATAAATCAAATAAACAAAAACGTATAAAACTTTTTTTTTTAGAAAATAAAATTAAAAATAAATGAAAATCAAAAAATTGTTTATAAAATAATTTAAAAAGTTGAATTTCATGAAATAAATAGGTTAATTCCAAAATGGATGCATTTAATTAGTCTTACAGACCAACTTCCAACCAATTTAATTTGAATGCTAAACAAATGAAGCAAATGAATAAATCAAACAAAGAAAAATTGTTTTCATAAAAGTTTATTACGCACAAATTACAACTACGTTTAATTTTAATTATGACATTTTAAAAAGTATATTTAATGATTTGATTAAAGTGATTTTAATGATGAAATTGGTCTATTTCCAAACGATTTGAAATTGGAATTCTGCAGACATTTGAATAATCATTTTTTATACATAACAAATCAAATCAATACAAAGAAACGTAATTTTTATTAAAAAGTGATTAAGCACAAATTATTAACAACGTTTAATTGTAAATAATACATTTTATAACCAATATGTTCTCATTAAAAAAATGAGCTTAGGAACTATTTCTACAAGGTAAAAACTATAAATTAATAAGAATTCACGATTGTATATTCTAAAGCTTTCCAATCGCCAACGAACTCGGTAAATCCGAATCTTCAAAACCAAACCACGCAGTGGCAAACCACTTTTTTGCACACAGAAGCGGACACGTTGCGTATAAAAATTTATTTTTATTATTATGTAAAATACATCAGTTGAAAGTCAAAAAATTCAATAGATCCGTGGGTGGTAACAAATTGCTTTGTTTGTAGACATAGGTCTGAGCTCCCCCCACTCCTGCTCTGGAATACGCGCGGGAATTAGTTGAGATGACGCCTTATCACTGGGGTTGCCAACGACAGGATGCCATCGATAAGGCGTTCAAAATGCTTGCCAAAAACCAATTTGCGGCGCTACAAAATTTGCATATGAACATAGATAGATACTTGTGCATATGCTGGTTGTGGCGCGATGAAGAGCGTAATCAAAGGGTTGCGCACGGCCGGATGTGAAGGGTGTGAAAATTTATTACAGGTTGCATTAAATTTAATTTGAAGCGTGCGCGGAAACTCCCAAAATGTTGGCACTTGTTTGATATGAAACTGTTTTGTACACATTGATTGCCTGGCAGCTCAGCTCAGCTCACACTTCCCATTCCTAGTTGCGCTTCATCTCCTCAATCTGCTTTAGCAGCAGTTGCATACGATCCTTCATCAAAGGTTGTCCACGTTGTGTCCGTTTGCTGATGGCTTTCGTTTTCTCTAGGCGCTGCTTCTTATACGCCTTAATGCGTGCCTCTTTCTCAGTTTTGATCCTTGAGCGCTCCGCCTCCTCCTCGGCAGCCTTTTGCTGACGAATCACTTTTCGCATTTCAGCCTTGTTTGGTTTGTTGTCCTGCTAAAAAAAAATGGAAATCTTGAAATGCTGTGCGGCCTGTTGAATATTTAAACATACCGTTTTCTTCTGCTGCCTTGGCTTGAATTTTTGCTTAAAACTGGGTTTTTGCTTCTGATTGCCTTGAGCAGCCTTTTTATTTAATTGGCCCTGCGTTTTTGGCTTTTTTGGTTTCATTTTTTTCTTGAAATATACAAATATACAATTACACGTGCGGTTTTAGTAATCAGCTGTTATTGTTTTGTTTTCACAAGTGTTGATTAATTCTAGAAATGTTTCGATATTTCTGCGGTATTTTTGGTATTTTATGCCAATTCTAGGTTATTTTTATGTTTGCAGCTCGCGTGGGAACGGAGCAAGTAGAGTTCTATTTACCATTTCCAAATTGATTTTTATTGCAATGAGCTTAGCCGACATTAAACAGAAGGAAAAGAAAGGCAAAAAGAATGTGCTACCCAAGTTACGCACTATCTTGGCCAATCCATACAAGCAGCACATGTAAGTAAATAAGTCAATTTAAATTAGCATGCAGTAAACTGAACAAATAAATTCGCCAATTTGCAGTCCTGTTTTACCCGAAAATGAAATGTTGGAGTTTGAAAATATATTAAAAGCGGCAATAACTGCAAGCGAGCATACACAGAAAACATTTGCGACAAACTCGCACATACAGCTTGGACTGGACAGCTCACTGCGCGCCATCAATAGAAGTAGTTTCTCTTGTGTCTTCATTTCACTTAGTATGCGACCGTCACACCTCGTTCGCCTGATTGCAACAAGTGCTGCGATTAAAATTCCAACTGCTCCGATTTACGCACAGCCCAAATTGGAGGAATTAACACGGGAGCTGTTCGGTGTACGAGCGCTGACACTGGTGCTGCCGCTAGACCTCAATAAAATAAGCAGCGAATTAGACAAATGGATAAGTGCTCGAAAAAAGGCACCAGTTCAAAAACAAAAAGTTTTGAAAGCTGTCAAGAAAAGAAAAGCGATTGTGGAAGAGTTAAGGAAAGTGGAGATTCAGCCACAGGTGGCACAGCCGGTGGCGTCTCAAAAGGAATGGAGCGGTGATTACATATCCTGTGCAAATGATGAAGCTGCTCTGAAGCTCGACCAGGTCGATGTCCAGACAGAAAAACAACAATTGGGCGCAGCTCTAAGCAATTTAATGTTAAAGGCGCAAAGCACAACTAAACCTGAAACTGAAAACACACAAAACTCACAAGCAATAAGCGAAACATTGCCAACTGTTGAGCACATGCAAGTTGACAAAGATGTGGACGAATTTCTGATTGCTGAGCTGTCAATTTATCAGCCACTGACTGTGCATCAGATTCGAGCTAACCCAGACAAGAAACCCAAAAAGAAACGCAACAAGAAAGAAAAGAAACAAACAGCGCCAAATAAAACTAACTAAAAAATGGTTGGCAACGCACACGCAAACAGCTGTTCAATTTTAGGTTATGTTTTGATTTAATTGTTATCATAATTTTAAAAGCCGCACAAAAATGCTCCGCAGCATTCGGCAAATAGCAAGACTACGAAAATTCGTGTCAGCTCCGGTCTGTAATTTACTCAACACACAAACGGCTCCAGCAGCCGCATCATATGCTATAACAGCAACCATTCACAGCAGCCGAGTGCTGCAGAAATACGACAAGAAATCCTCGAGAGCAACAGAAGACTTCGACAGCGACGATGAGGCAGACGCTGAATTCAAAGATGAACGCGACTCGAAAGTGGTGAAGACCAAAGTGAACTCACTCCGCGCGGATTTGCTACTCAAATCCGGACTGGGCATGGCCAGAAAGTGAGTCGGTCCCATATCGATCGAGTGTGCAACCAACTTAATATTCTCCGCCTTATTGCAGCAAAGTGGAGCTTAATTTCTATGAGAGCAAAATACGTGTCAATGGAAAAAAGCTGCTAAAGAAGAGCGTCCAAGTGAGTTGACATAATAGTTGACAGCAGTTTGTATTCCCTTGCAGAGAGTTTAATAACTTTATAAAGAAATTTGTTAAACATTGTGAGAGATCTGTTCTTATGAGCACGTGTATATTCTTGATCAGACGAGTCTGCTTATCGCTTAGCGCTATATGCATGTCAGAGTCGGCCGGACCAGATCAATATATCATACAAAACGTAGTTTAAAATTATACTGCTTGTGTTACAGAAACACATTAGAAAATATCATCATGAGACACTAGAATGAAACATCTCTTTTCAATTGCAGCTGTTCTGGAAACTGATTTTCAACAAAAAAAAAAACCATTAAGATTTTTAATATGCCGCTAAGAAATTGGCCTCCGCCTATTTACTTTCGATCGAAAGTTTAAAAATCTTAATAGAAATCTGCAAGAGTATTTAAGCTTCGGCATACAAAACAAAAAGAAAGAAATAAAGAAATGTATATCATTTAATTGCAGCTCGAAGTGGGTGACGAGATTGATGTGATCCGCGGCTTCAGTCAGACAAATCCGTCGCATCTTGTGATCGCACGTGTCGTTATACTCTCGGCCGAGGGACGGGAGGAGGGTCTCAGCGTACACTTGCGCCGCTACAAATCGCTGCTCATTGAGAACTATAGCGGCCCGCAAGCTTACAAGTCCTCGGAGGCCATCGCACACTAGCTCAAGCGCTGTTGAATGAATAAATCAAATCGCTGACACGAATAATCAACAAAAAAAAAAGAAGCAAAATTGTATTTGTGGCTTGCTTATATTTACATACACTATGTACACATATATACGCGTTCGTTGTTTAATGAACCCGCGCGCATGGATTTGCTGATAAGCGATTCACGTCGTCTTTCATGAGAAGGGGCTATCACTATGCTACCACACGCGGCATTTGTCCGAAATCGGATTCATTGGGCTGCCACGCAAGCAGCCATATGCCTGGGTGAAATCATCACTGTTGGTCACCGCGCCAAGGACTCGATATCTGTCCATTGTATGCTCATTGGTCAGCTCCTCCCAATAGTGCTTCTCCTCGTAATCGGAACACCAGAGCTGCGCGAATCCCAGGAAGAACAACTGATCCGGAGATAGATCCAAACCAGGCATCTGCTCATTGCTCTGCAAAGTGGCCGGATTAATCTCACTGTTCAAATGCTGTTGCTTCATGTGATTCCGATAAGCACTGAGTGCCTCACGCAATCCCCCGCTGTCAGCGATATTCTCATCCTTGGTCTGATTACCATTGATATTGCGATTGATCTCGGGTATCGAATAGTTATTGAAATGATTCACATAGCATTGGGCGCGATCATTGAACACCTCACCCGATTTCTTGGACCACCAAAAGCGCATTGTGCCGTTGCTATCATAGGTGGAGCCAATGCTATCGAAGCCATGGGTTAGCTCGTGACCTACCAGATACCCGAGGGTGCCAAACTTCAGCGAGTTGGGCCACGCCTGATGGTATGCCGGTGGATGCAGTATGCCCGCCATCACAGTTATCGAATTGTCCAGATTGTAGTAAAACGCATTCACCTGCATGCCAACCAGCAGCTCCAGCGGCTTGGTGGTGTCCGCCAGCGTGTCGTAATGGATGCCATTATAGCGTTTCAAGTACGTGCTGAAGCGCTTCAGGTTAATGTTGTTCTGAGCATAGGTGCCGTTAATCAGGGTTAAATTGTTCATTTCACGGATCAGACCCTCCGAGAGACTGTCGTCCTTGAATGCACCGATGCGCGGCACAATTGTGGACTCCTTGAGCAGCGCCTCCTTGCGTGTATCCCCGTCCAGCCAATTGGCATTCTCCAGCAGCGCCAATTGACTCTTGCGCAGCTCCAAAATGATATTCGCAATCTCATTGTGGGTTTCATCCGTAAAGTATTTCTAAATTCGAACAGAAAAGTTCTTATTAGATAAATGTTTCTTAAGTTATTTCGGGTTTTTGAATGGAAATGCAGCAACAAAGATAAACCTCCAAAAATATAATAAAAAACGTTGTTTCTTGTTTTTTTACACAATAAGCCACATACCAAAATGATATTCTAATGAAAAAAAAGCGACTTGCAAAACGATGTCTTTCGATTTTAAAGAAAACAATGGCATATCAAGAAAAGCGAAAGTGAAATACTTTGGCTATAAGGTTTATGTAACTTTTAAGAAATACTGGAAAAAACAGCTAAAATCGATTCTTATCGCTTTTGAGACAGGCAAGCTAATAAAAAATTAAGACAGAAAACGAGAAACCTTATATCAATTTTCAATAATTTTTTTATAATTACCTAAGGATGTATATATCAAGCTGATCAAGACTATAAATACTCTAACGAATCGGAGATGCCCTTAACTGACTGTTACAAGAATATATCTGAAATAGATACGCACCACAAAATAGAGCTTATCCAGGAGGTAGGGCAACGAATACTGGATACTGAGTATACAATGATCGCGCTGAAACTTGGTGGCCGTCAGTTTAGCATCCATGTGATAGAGGAGTTTCATGGCCAGATAGTTGGCAACCGCTGGCTTATGCTTCTCGCACACCTCGTTCAGCTTAACGTAGTAGTAGTCGCAGAAATGTTCCGTCGGATAGTCCCCAAATTGGATACCATTCCAGGCAATAGCATAGTATTGATCCCATTGATCGAAGGGACTCGATAATTTTTCTGTTGACAGCAATTCACATTTATCCGAATCCTCATCGAATTCATCAGCAATTTGCAGTGCATCCCGCCAGAAGGCAAATACCCCAGCAATAACAGCAGCCACCTGCTCCTCCTCCAGACCGTAGTCCGTGAGATAACCACGCATGCGGCTCTCGTTCAGCTCGTATCCTTTGGTGTCGTTGGTGACAATATTATCCGTATGCACAATGTAATCAAAGCCCAGCTCGGGCAGCTTAAAGTACGGATTAAATGGATATTGCGGCGTAATCTTGTCATAGATGAGTCCCTCGGCACCAAAGTTTGTCAAATGAGAGCTCATGTTGAACCAACTGAAATTCGAGGCCAACCATGCTTCACCGTCCACGGCGGGGAACCCACCAATCGACCTGATAAGCGCCAGATAAGCAGAGTCGTTCGCTGGAAGCGGATAGAGCTCAGCGTTGAGGCAAGCGTTGTAGAATTGTTGTGCAATTTTCAGCTCAGCTCCATAGCCCAGATCCGCAGCGAGCGTTGAATTTGACAGCAGTAGCTCCTCGGCGACATCGGCCAGTGTGTAGACAATGTCCAGGAGATTGCTACGCTTGTGCTGTGTCTGTCGCTCCTGTTTCACGTTCTTCCAGTTGCCACAGGCATACTCATAGAAATCATCACATGGCGCCACAGTGCGATTCATATAGCTTTGCATTTGGGCTGAATACGATTTCAGATACTCGGCATTGTCGTCCGTTATCAAATTCTCCTTATCAATCTCCGGCTTTGATGTGGATACTTCGGACTCCGGCTCTATGGTTGGCTTTGCTGCGCAAATGACCAACAGGGCGCTGAGCACAATCAATGAAAAGTGTTTTTGAATCTCAACCATTTCTCATTCATTAGGTGTTTACACCGTATTTTACATAAGTACGTAGTAATCAAGTGATTGATTTGAATTAGTAATGATAGCTACTTGCGTACGCGTTTTGTCTTGCAACTTTCGCACAACTGCTTTATTCAGAACCTAATTTTAAACTGGCGGATACACAAATTTGCTGGCTTCAGCATTTGCGCCTTGGCGCTCTCGCTTGTGATTAACGGCAGGGGAGTGCTGCTTTTGCTTCGCTCACGACGCGTCGCTGATAACGAATTTATTATTATGTCGCTAAATCCCAAGACATGACCTATTCTGAGTTTGATTGATAATGAGATGTGTTTTGCCACTGTTCTCACTTACAACCAAATTTGATGGCTGTATAGTTTCAAAGCTGTAGTTTCACAATTTAGCGCGCGCCTAACCATTTGAAATATAATTTTGCACTTCCCAGCACTACATTGCAGGTGCTCCTTGGTATGCTAACAAATTAGTAAAACAGGAAATCCCACTGGCTATTAATTTATTAGATAATGACAGTTAGGTTATATCGGCTGTCAGCCCGGTAGGCTGACACACTTAGGCCATATTTGGCCCGTTGTGACAGTTAGACGCATGAAAAATATTATGTTTTGAGCCTTCTAGATCGATTTTAAGTATTTGTCACAAATTAATTAAGTAGCATTAAATATTTTATTATATAAGTTGACTCACTGGAGTAGAATCAATCTTATCATTTTCATTGCATCTCTAAAATTTGCTGATTGACCTCTGGCAGATTAAAAATAAAATTTCCACGAAATTTCCAAAAAAAAAAAACTTAAGACCAGGTGACTGCCGATAAATTTGAAACTTCATCAGTTTCACGCAAGGCATTCACTCTCCAATCATTGCCTACTTGTTTTCTTAACATTTTAATGCGTACAATGAGATTGGAAATATTTATTATATTGCGTAAATCAAAGCTTAATTTTTTGGTAATAATATTACATTGATGTTAAAGAACCAAAAAATTAAAACGAACGGTGATAGCAAATTTTCGCTTCTATGGGTAATAAAAATAGCACTGAATAGATGTGATCAGCATACCCTGCTCAAAATTTGCATAACAATATGGCAACGCCCTGTTGTCAGACTAAATTTCGTGCTTGTGTTTGAATCGTGTTTGCTGTAAGGATGTCATTTTCAAGCGTCGGAGAACGCCGCGTAGTTCTACAGCAATATAAAGTAAGTTTCAGTTAATTTACTTCTTGTCCAATAGCTAAGACAAAACCATTCAGTTCCGATCGCACCAAATAGTCTGCATCATCAAGGTATTGCCTGATACAGTCAGCTTCTTCGACAAGCAACCGGCAAATGACTTCAGCTGGATGACAGCCGGTCGGTGGGCGAGACTCGAGAACGGATTATGGAAACTGTTTGCCGGCTTCAGTGATTTCCAAGAGGATGTACGCCAACTGAAAACCCAAATTATGATAGATCACATTCAAGTGTCGGTCAGTGCGGCAGAGGAGTTGCTGCCGGCGGCACAGAAACTATTGCAAGACGGGAAAGCATCGTCCCAGAATGAAATAGTCCTGGAGATTATTCTTAAATATATGTCATACGAGGACACAATAAACCCAATTAGCCCGAAACCGACAAAGCGCAAGCACGACGACAAGGTTAAGAAACTCCAACTGGATAAAATCAGCGATAAAATCAAATCCAAGTCTATTAATTCTAAAAAGATGCCAAAATCAGGGAACAGGTTGAAATTATTGGAAGCTTTTATGAAATGTTAGACTAATTCTATAAATAAATTTTACAGTGAACCCGAAAGCAGCACTGGCGCTAAAAAGAAGTCAGCATCAGCAAAGAGGTTAGGATGATTAGAAACCGTCTTGAAAATTACCACTGATTTTTTTAAACAATATTTATAGTGATGCCGAAAAAATTCCTTTGCGCAAGGACGATGAACAATCAAACCGAAAACATTCGGGAACAACAATGATTAGCAAAAAACGTGAGCGGCGATCCATCTCACAAGATAGTCAGCTGGCCAAAGATTCTTCGAACAGGGAACAATTGTCACGCAATCGTTCCGTCAAGCGTTCAAAGAGTCCCTCATCATGGTAATCTAGAATTAAATGTTATTAAATATTTAGTAACTCACCTACTTCTATCAAATGTGGCGTTTCCGAAAGTCGTCCAGCCCGTTCCTTGGTGAGGCCCGGTCGTTACGATGAATTCGATATGGGGTAATTCTAACACCAATACTGCTCGTCTAGAAATCGTATTATGTCACTAATACACTTGCATTTTGCAGGGATAAACCGGTGCGCAAGGCAAAATCAAAGAATACTGAAAGTAACTCGGATTCCAGCTCTGATAAACCAAATGCCAATGGAATTGAAAGTATAAGTCTAAAAACTCTCAAAAATCTGAACGACATGCTTGACACGCCCAAGCCGCGTGAAGTGAATATCCTGTAAGTGCGGACCTCAGTTTATAGGATACTCAAATAAAATACTTTGCATTTTAGTCTGCTTAAGGATATGAACGAGGCAGATGTCCTGGACACGTTCGAATCCTATCGTGTGGACTTTGATCGTTTATTCAAGGAGCGTGAGCGCAAGTTCCAAACCACAAGCTACAAGGGAATCACTCACTGCGATGTTATGGATATTCTAAGCACACAAATTCGTAATAGCATGATTCAAAAATTGAGCGATTTATATAGCAAAGCAGGCGTAAGTTGGCTATGATAATCAAATATATGTTGCAACATTTACATTTCTCACTGCCAGCCACATGGAACTCTTGTCATCAACGGGCTTTTGCCGCTTTGGATAATCCGTCTGTTTATGGACAGATATAAGTTCACACAGGATGAGGCAGTGCGCCAAATTATAGATCAACTTGAATACCACACCTACCTGAAAGCCGTAAACAACGAGCCGCTCAGCTTGGATTTGAAAGACTGATCGCTGGCCACAACAAATTCCATTTATTCTTTTACAATTTCTTTTATTTGGAATCTGTGTGTACACGTATTATATATATATATGTATATCGCAATTATTTAATTAAAATTCAATTTCATATTTATTTGAACAAACGGAGCTGTCGCAGAAAGCCCTTCCGGTTTGGTTTTTTTTTGTAATTGTATAATGAAATTGAAATTGGCTTACTTAAAACTAAACAGGTGCCTAGAAAGAAGTACTGTTGATGCAACGGTAGTGTGAATGAACTCAGTCTGTCTGTCTGCCACAAAACGCATATTTACACAATTCAAATAGTTGTAAATGGTGATGGTTGGTCATGTGGGTTGTGTGGACTTGGAGCTTAGAGCTCATCATGCTGTTGCTCCTCATCGTCCTCGTCGGCAATCGGGCTCTTCTCACTGCTGCCCGTCTGTGTGTCATCGCCATCATCGTCGTCCTCATCGAACTCGATTTGTTCGTCCTGTGCAACGCCCAAAGTTTGGCGCATCATTCGCTCGATGCTGTCGGCAAAGCTAGCAGTCTCCTGCAGCATGTAACCGGAACGCAGTGTGGACGTGCGGAACATCATGACGGCCATATCCTTGGCGGTGTCATCGGCCTCATCGGCTTCGACGCGACGCAACAGCTCACGCATTAGCGGATGCCGTGGATTAATCTCCAGTGTCTTCTTCTGGTTGAGGTAGTAGCTACGTTGCGGATCATCGGCCTTTTGATGGGCATTTGACATGGCCAGACGCTCCATATTGCCGGTCCAACCATATATGCTGGCCACCAGAGCGCAGGGTGAGTTGCTTAGACGCTCCGACACATGAGCCTTGGAGATCTCATCCTTGAGAGCCACCTCGCTCAGCCATTTAAGCAGAGGCTCGAAAGCGCTCTTTAATGCCTCAAACTTCTCTTTGCTCTTCTCCGACTCGTTTAGCTTGAATCCCTCCTTGGCAACATTTTGGAATTTCTTGCCATCAAATTCGGGCAGCGCCGAGATGCAGTATTCGTCAACGGCCTCGACGAGGTAGAGCACCTCATAGCCCTTGCTCAGCAGACGCTCAACGAACGGCGACTTCTCGACTTCGGCACGATTGGCACCAGCAATATAATAGATGTGCTCCTGCTTGGACTTCATACGCTCCACGTACTCGGCCAGCGAGGTGACGCCCTTGCCATTGGATGTCTGGAAGCGCAGCAGCTTGGCCAAACGTGAACGATTGCTGGGATCCTCCATGACGCCCAATTTAATGCTGGCGAGCAATAGCACAGGAGCATTAATAAACAGTTTATAAATTAATGAAATAATTGTGATACTTACTTGGTAGAGAACTCCTTCCAGAACTTCTCGTATGCGGCCTTGTCAATCTTCTTGATCATGTCGAGCACTTTGCGTACCAGCTTCTTCTTGATCACCTTGATCAGTTTGTGCTGCTGCAGGGTTTCGCGGGACACATTCAGGGGCAGGTCATCGGAGTCGACGACGCCACGAATGAAGCTCAAATAGTTGGGCATCATATCGTTGAACTCATCCGTAATAAAGACACGACGCACGTACAGCTTAATGTTGTCCGATTTGGTGCCGTAGCGATTGAAGGATTCGGATGGCTGAATCTTTGGGATGTACAGTAAACTCTTGAAGGTGACCTCGCCCTCAGCAACGAAATGCGTTTGGATGAGAGGTTCGCTCGAATCCTTTGTGAGACTCTTGTAGAATGCGTTGTATTCCTCGTCGGTGACATCGGCGGGTTTGCGTGTCCAGATCGGTTTGCTGTCGTTGATCAGCAGCCAATCCCAGATGGTCTTCGACACCTTCTTGGTCTTGGGCTTGCCCTCGTCGGTGTCCTCCTCAACCTTGACATCATCATCGGCATCCTCGACATCATCTTCGGTCTTCTTGGTCTCCGTAACTTCATCTTCAATGGGCACTTCCTCATCCACAGTCTTGCTGGACCACATCATGATTGGGAAGTTGATGAACTGCGAATACTTGCGAATTAGATCGCGCACGGTGTCCTCCTCCAAAAAGTCTTGAGCCTCATCCTTAAGGTACAAGGAGATGATGGAGCCACGCTTCAGTGTATCGCCACGTGGATCTTCTGTGATGCTGAAGCTATTCGCATCTGATTCCCAGATGTACTGCTTATCATCGTTGTGCTTGGTGGTGACCACCACACGATCAGCGACCAGGAATGCTGAATAGAAACCAACACCAAACTGTCCAATCATATCATTCATATCCATACCGTCCGCCTTGCTGGGATCCTGCATTTTGGCGAGGAAATCGGCAGTGCCGGACTTGGCAATTGTGCCCAAATTGTTGATGAGATCCTTATGCGTCATGCCAATGCCCGAATCGAGAATGTGCAACACTTTGTTCTCCTTGTCGGCCTTGATGCGTATAAGCAGCTCGGGATTGCTGTCCAGCTCCTTGCTGTCTGTCAGCGCCAGCAGTCGAATCTTGTCAATCGCATCGGAAGCATTCGAGATCAGCTCACGCAAAAAGATCTCCTTATTGCGATACAGCGAATTAATAATCAGCTTCATCATGCGATTCACCTCCGTTTGGAATGTAAACTTTTCCGCCTGCAACAGCCAATAATCAATTAACATAAGATAAGATTTAAATAAGTCCAGTTGGACACGTCACAAATATTTTCTTGGCGAGAAAAAAATTTACAGTCTTATATTGAGCAATTTAATTAATTTCAATTAACCTATTCTAATTGTTTAAAGCTCAATGATTTTGATAGATCAATTGATATCTGGCATATACACAATTTCTACATAAAAAAATGTGATTTGTTGTTAATTTTAATGACTAATGAGGCTCAAATATCTGTAAATTTGGTGCTAACAAATATACCCATTTTGAAGAAATTATAATTTTAAAGCATTTAAGTTTATCATAATTGACGTGGTCAATGAATTGTTTGGAATTTCCATATGTGCATTTTATTATCAATGGGTGGGATGTAATCATATATAGAAGGTGGTGTGTATGTATGTATGTATTTATGTATGTGTATGTGTACCGACCTTTTCGCGTATTTCTTTCAGTTGCGCCACATTCAGTCCGTCCAATTGAACCGCTTCTTCTTCGCGCTTAAGCGTTTCGGCATCTATGTATAGATAATAAAGATACAAATGCAATTGTATTGGTATTTAAGCATTTAGATAAGGGGGCGTATATATGCAAACAGAGTAGCAACGGTAGAAGCTTAACGCTGACGTGTACCAAAGTGAATTAATACACAGACAGAAAAGAGGCGTGAACAAAATTATTGTGTCTGCTGCTTACCCGTTCTGGAACCTTCTTTAAATGAGCCCAAATCCAAATCAATTGTTTCTTCAATGCCATCTTCAGCAGGGCTTTTTTCAGCGACAATTTGGCTTATGCCTAAAAAAAAATATACAAGTTTATTACAAAAATGAGGTTAAAATGCCGGCTGCATGTGTAAAGCGTGCCATTGACATTAAGACGAACCTGCTAAAAGCAAAATGCTCAGAAGCAGTAAATTCTTCATATTTCTTGCACAACTTTTATTGACTGGGACTGAAAAACGGTTATTTTGCCTAATGGCCACGTCACTAAAAGGCGTCCACTAAGTTTCGTGTCAAGTCCCGTCACAATTTGACCGACCGACCGCTTTTCGCACACAAAAATGACGCCGCAGCGACGCAGTCAGGGCATATAAATAAGTCGCGCAGCGTTACCAGAGTGTTGAAATTTTATTTTCAACTGGTATTTTACAGTTTCAGCAATGACGATCACTGTTTTTCACAGCTGTGAACTATGAAAAAACACACTTGTGTTGTTGCAAACATAAATAAAGATGTCAATAAAAAAATAAAACGTTATGTCTGATCAAGTGTGCTCTCGCTCAATTCTGTTAGTGATAATATATTTATATCGATAGTATCGGGAGCTGCATACATTGCTTTTTAAAAGGGCCGTAACATTCGATAACATTTGAACACAACTGTTTTTGACATTCCTCTTCATCTGCATTTTTCTCACATGCTTACACATACACATACACACGTGCATTGTGAACCAGAGTTTAATAGTTGGCCATTAAACTGAATGATTTTTTACAAAATATTTAACATTTGCGTGAGTTATCAAAAATAAACAACAGTTGACTAATTTTGAATTTATAGTATTTATCATTAAGTACACATTTATTAGAATGCGCCACGGCAGCAGAACAACCCAGTGACAGCAACAGCAGCAACAACAACATCAGCAGCAGCAGCAGCGAGAGACACTTTAGCAGCAGTAGCAACAAAATCGGCAACATTTCATTATTGTTCGTCGTGCGTGGAGGTGGAGCACCCCGTCAATTATAGTTTCGCATAGTCGTCTCATATATACTTATACGTATATATATATATATATATATATATATATATATATAGATCCACTACAAGTACATCCATCAATCGGGCTGTTATACAACAAAATTACAAGCGTGCGAAAGGAAGTAAAGTAAACTTTACTAAACTACGCCGGCAATCGATGCGTATTTGTCCTTCAACTTCAATCCAAAGCGAGGTGTATTCATAATTCATACGGCAACGCCAACGCCATAAATACGCGACTGTGTCAATGTATTAGTGCGTTAGTGTGTGTGTGTGTGTGTGCGTAAATGTTTGTGTAATTGAAAGCAGTATCATTAGCGAAACGGGTGCGTATTTACTTGTTTGCTGCTTATCAGCTGCTGGCAGTGCCTCAAAAGTCGCTGCGAAAGTTGTGGCGCAACACACAAGAGTGCGAAATCATTGAACGCGCACTTCAAGCGAAATTCTATCCGGGAATTTGGAAACCAAAAAAAAAACTCACAAACACAGACTCGGACAAGGGAGCAACGCCATGAATATCGACGACTACGAATCGCTGCCAACGACCAGCGTCGGTGTAAACATGACGGCTGGCGCTCTAGCGGGCGTATTGGAGCATGTTGTCATGTATCCAATGGACTCGGTTAAGGTGAGTGTATGCGTCTACATATATATGTGTGTGTGAAATGTTGTTGCCATATTCAACGAAAATATCTACATATGAAATAGAAGCAGTGCATAAACATACCGCACTTAACCTCACAATTGCGCATATCTCTATGCTTGTGTGTGTATGTGTTTGTGTTTTCGTCTTATGCTTGAATTTATCGTGATGTAATTCCTTAAACTTTTGACCATTAAACGCTGCGCGCGTTGCTCGCCCAGTAAATATGGAGTTTTTTTTTTTCAATTTATTTTGAACAGGAGCCGCTCAGTCGGTTCAATTTGTGTCATGTTACTGTAACTCTGCTTATCGGAGCACGTTCTTGACGTTTTTATAGCAATACTCGAGATAAGACTAGCCACCCCCACCCCCGCAATGTCATGATGACTGGCAGGTAGCTAAAGATATATTATAATGTGCGAATAAAGTAACAAAAAAATTAATATAATACTAATGCCTATATGCCGGGGCGTTCTTTGTTGTAATTGTAGCGACTATTCGGTTTAATTTCACAATTGGCATTTTTCAGATATATATATGTGTATATATATAGATATATTTACCCAACAATCCAATTTGAAGAGCTATCCGGAATACTACAACGACGACGATCGTTATAATGAATTCCGTTGAATTTTGCGCTGTATTGAATACAATAGTACACATGCAGATACAGATACCTGCGTTTAGGTGCTTTATGTATGTATATATCTATGTACTCTTATAAGTAGTTGTGCCTATGTGTGTATGTACTTAACTATGGAACACGACATCGCACTCGTCGCGTCGATATTTGCGCATATATTATATATACGTAGTATATGTACATACACAATGCTGTACAATACAATATGCAAAGTATATAAATATATATATATATATCTATTTGAGAATGCACTCGGCAGCACGTCAGATTCTTGCTTTAAGAAAGAAAAACAAAAAAAAAGCAGAAAAAAGAATTACTCGCTTACTTTGGGCAGCCGAGCGTTTATTGATTTTCTCAACGAGGCATCGAAAAGTACAATTTTTGTCAATTGTCAATATTTTATTGTTATTATTTTTTTTATTGCGATCCACATTTGATGGGCAGGTGACCAATTAAATGCCAATCTAAAGCTAGCCAGGGATTCCCAACGTCATCCAGCCAGCAGACGAGTAATCATTTTCTGTTCTGTATATAGACATCCATAAGTATTATTTGTCACGCTGACGAGCTAATTTCTATACGTAGCGGCAATAACAACAACAACAACCACAACAAGAGTAGCGAGAAAATTGCTTAATTGAGCTACAATTAAAAATAAACTACACTGTTTGTTTTTGTTATTCCCCCTCCTTTGACTTTATGATTAATATATTTATTATTATACTCCTTTTTTTTTTTTTTTGACTGATTACATTTGTGCTTATCAGAAGAACAGTTTGGATCCTTTAATAGGGATCCCCACTGGGGGTTGTTGGGGACAGTTAAAATATTCGCTTGTGTGGTGGCAACAATCATTGCCAGTTTGTGGTTAGAAACGAACAGATTTCATTATGAACGGTTTCGATTGATCATCATCATTGTCGTCACATATCAAGTCGTTGTTGACTGCTGAGATGGTTGATTTCCATCACCTTGGTGCGCCTTCTCGTTGACAGTCATCTTGTGCCGATAGCGGGCGTATATATATATTATATATACTTGGTATACATACTTCGTAGACCACACTCTAACTAACAGATATGTCTATATATATATATATATATATTCAGCGCATTGTCGTCGTCTGATTAATAGATAAGTACTGGAGCACTTTTTATTGCTAGATTATCTTATCTATCTTTTGTGTAGTATTCGTGTCACACTTGTGTGTTTGGCCACGTCTCTGTAATTTAAAACTTGGATGCTGTTTATCACATGCCCAGCCCACAACTGGGATTATTGTAAAAATACTGAGAATTATATTTTATTTGATTGTTATTCTATGAGTCACATTATATATTATTATTGACTCGTATTTTTTTTTAAAGATTACTAAAGTGCTACAAAAGCATTTTGTTTTGATTGACCGAGATTATACTCTTTGCATGTGGTAACTTTTATTATATTGATAATAGTTAATCGGTCATTAGTTTTTCTTTTATTGTGCAATAAAATGAAAGCAAGCAACTTGAGTTGTTACCAAATAGGGGACAAGTCAAAACACTCTTATATAGTCTTAACTGTGTAATAGTTTGCCCTTCAGAACTCTTCATCAAATCATGTGATGAACGGATCTGTAAACGGGTGCCGAATGCAAATTAAATAATTGAGATAACTAACTAAACACCCTTTTACCCTTTTTATATTTGCCATCTTACAACTCGTCTAGCTGTGTTCTTGTGAAATTCAACTTAATCATATTACACTCATTATGGGGACTTTGTTCTTGTTATTTGTTTACATACACTGAGTAAAAATATGAATGATGTGGCTTGAAGTAATATCGGCCTGACCCCTTATTGGACAATAACCTGTGATATGTTATACTAGTTGATTTCTAAGAATCACAATTTATTAATTTCTAATTTAATATAATTTCTTCATAGACCCGAATGCAAAGCCTGACATCGCCCACAGCTCATTTGAATATAATGGCCACGTTCCGGAACATGATCACGCGTGAGGGACTCATGAGGTAAGTGCTGATTGATGGATCTCAATCGAAGTCATTGCTTAAACAGAATTCTAATTATATTATTCTATATCCTTTTGCTCAGACCCATTCGTGGAGCAAGCGCTGTGGTAATTGGCGCTGGACCCGCGCATTCATTGTACTTTGCAGTCTATGAAATGACAAAAGAAACGCTGACGAAATTCACATCACACAATCATTTGAATTACGGTGCGTAGATCTCATCTAGTTCACATCTCAGCCACCAAAATCCATCCAAAATGTTAATCTTAATGCGTTGCTTCCTTATGTTTTAGTGTTGTCCGGCGCATTGGCAACGCTGATACACGACGCCATCTCCAATCCGACGGAGGTGCTCAAGCAGCGCATGCAAATGTACAACTCGCCATATACCTCGGTCTTGAGCTGCATGCGGGACGTTTACAGGAAGGAGGGCATGAGCGCCTTCTATCGCTCCTATTCCACGCAGCTGGTCATGAACATACCATATCAGACCATTCACTTTACCACATACGAGTTTCTGCAGAATATGGTGAGTTTACCATTAAATAGATTACGTATTTAATATATTTAATACGCACTATTTTGTTGCCTGACAACGGCAAAAGAAGTACTTTAAAAATCAGCTAAATTTTTGATTAAAGTTTATTTTGTGAGTGAGAGAAATTAAGTTCCTTTAAATTTACACAGGTTATTTGTAGTCAGCCCGTTTTGGGTTTATATAAACTACACTTTAAACGCATTAGTGAGTTGATTAACCTTTAAGTTTAGCATGTAGCCTGAAAAAGAGTCTTTTAACTATTAGCATTCATTTCGATTGCTAATTTGATTTCATTGAAAATTGTCAGTTGAATGTGGAGCGCAAGTATAATCCAGTTGTGCATATGGTGTCCGGTGGGGCAGCTGGCGCTGCTGCAGCGGCAATCACAACGCCACTGGACGTGATGAAGACGCTGCTGAACACACAGGAATCGGGACTCACCAAGGGCATGATTGAGGCCTCCCGAAAGGTGAATATCGCAAATGGACTAGTTAGCCTGGATGTGCAGCTAATGGTTTTCGATTTGTAGATTTACCGGATGGCCGGACCGAGAGGTTTCTTCAAGGGCATCACGGCACGCGTGCTGTATTCAATGCCCGCCACGGCCATTTGCTGGTCCACGTACGAGTTCTTCAAGTTCTATTTGTGTGGTATTAAACCGGAGGAGTACAAATCGTCAATTACGGGCCGGTCTGAGCTGGCCAAACCTGCGCCAACAATCAACTATGTTCTGCCCAAGAGCGATGCCGATGAGCAGATTGAGGAGACGACGCCAGAGCCGGGGCTCAAGGATGCGGCAACGTTGCATCCGGCACCGCCAACGGTGAATGCATCCGGTGCCATTAAGACGGTATGTGAGCTATCCACGCGAACTGCTGCGCCCACCATCAATATGCATACGAGGCACACGGACGTGAAGAATCCGTATGAGCGGGGCTTCTCTAGTACGTAAGATGGGCGTGGCCGCGAGCGGGGCCAGCGTTCAAAGGCACGTTATTGGCAGCGACTAAAACATAAGCGTAGCTTTTAGTTAAGAGCATGGGACGGAGTACTTGTTAAATATCCATTTTGGCGGCGGATGAGGAGAAGACTGCGATGGTGGATCGGACACAGCGTTTGAAACGCTTTCCGACCGCCATTGCCCGTCCGTCGCCCTTCGTCCCGGCTGATAATATGAATACTCGGCGCGGAGTCGGTGAGAGAGTTTTATCACTTCAGAGTCGGAGGTTAAATTGTAGTTGTTGTTGTGCACAAAACTCTCGCTCTCACACACACTTACGCAAATACTCGGCGTACAGCTGAAACACACACACACATATATGTATATGTATTTATATATATTATATACACACAGACACTTTCTACAGTCATCTGCGAAAAAATTCTTGTTAAAAATACTGGTAATAATATTGTATCTATGTTAATTGAGAAAAATTAGAGAACCTACTTGTAAAATACTATTACCTTAAATTATGTATTACTGAGATGATTCTTTTTTTTTTTAAACAAATTTAAAAGTTTATCTACACATATGAATATATATTTATGTTTATGTTGTTAAAGTAAATCAAAACAAAGCAAAAGCGCAAAGCAAACAACAACAAAAAAAAAAACCAACAAACAAATAAAATGTTTTGCAAGATACAAAATTGATTTGTAATCAAATTACAATTAAAAAAAAAAAAACGAAAAACAAAAAAAGCAACACAATTTAAGCTGTTAAAAATTTCAATTAGTTTCGATAAACGATAAAGTGTAAACTGCTTATTATATTGTACCATATTGTATGAGGCAATCCAACCTTTGCCCCCCCTCGCTCAGGACTTTTCCCTATGCGTTCTCCACCCGCTGGCTCGGCACTTGATTGTGATCCTTAATTGTTAAAGTTTATTTTTATATATATTTTGTCCATGTACCAGTTAATCAGACACATGCTACAATCTGTTATTGATCTATACACCCTTAAGTACCAAAGTTTTTAGGCTATACCGAAGCAAAAAGAAAAGAACATCACGACACAATCAAATGCCAGAGCAGGCAAGCCGATCCTCCGGCTTCAGCTCCAGCTCCTGAGCCTCGGGTTATACACAACACATATGATTATTATGTTTATTGTTTGTTATTTTAATTTTTATTTTTACATATATACAACTATGTATATATCAAAATTATACAGTATATGCATATATAAATATTGCACTTGCTATTTGTAAACTGTAAACTGTAGCCCTAAATTTAACACTTAATTGTTAAACAATTCAAGCAAACAAAAGAACAACAATGGAAACCCAAAACGCATTAAACGGAGAAAAGAACACTTGTTTTATGTCAAATGCAACAACAAATGCTGTTTCTTTTTTTTTTTTGTGTACATTTATTACATTTATAGCATGCCACAGATTCAAAATTATTCTTATTTAATATCTGGCTGGGTTAAATTAACAAAAATAAACTATATTTTAAATTAAATGATTTCTAAAGACAGACCAATTTCGGTTGTTTACTAGAAAGTCTTGTGTGCAGTGTTTTAAAAAAATCGCAATATTTGATTTATTATACATGTGTGAGGCGAGTGCGGCGAGCTAGAGGATTGAATCCAGGCCGCGACGACGCGATCGCTGCGACAAAAGTGGACGGGGCTTATAGAGATCATCGTTGGAGTAGCGTTGCTGCTGGCAGAGCTTCTGGGCAAGACGCCTCGTGGTCAGAACGTCTGCAAAGTGATATGATAAAAAAATTAATGAAAAAGTAAACAATTCACACAATACAAAAAATATATTAATGGACAGCTGGAGATGGAGCTAGATATGTGGTAAGCTTACCCAGGCTAGCGCTTTAAAGAACTAGTTATGGAAGTGCGAGCTTATGGATTTATAGGATTTGCATGTAATGCAAGCGGAAAGCATGTGGAAAGAAGATAAAGTCTTGTATGTATTTGAAAGAACAACTCTGATGTGAAGGTGGACCAGCATAAAGCATTAGCGATGATAAATCAGCTACATTTTTGTGTGGCAGAAATGTAATTACCTTTTTCATGCTTCTCCAGCTCTTCGTTCTCTTTGGAATTGACGCTGATCTCGGAGGGCGTTGGCGACGTCTTGACAGCATCAGTGCGACGTGTTCGTTTCGCAGGACTGCCGGCACAGCTGCTGCTGCTGCCGGCGCTGGAGCTGCTGTGGTGCTTCGACGTGGATGCTTCGCTGCTCAGGCGACGCTTGAATGTGCTGCGTCGCGGGCAGCTCGTCTCCTCGCACTCGATGAACACATCGAGCAGCTGACGACGATCCTTGATGTGTTGCTCAATCAGCTGCAGACGCGCCCTAAACTGCTCCGCATCGTCCTCGAAGTGGGTAAATGTTTCGCCAATTTCAGTTTCGGCCAAACTCTCCGATGATTCCTGGTCAATTTCTGATTTAGCGGTGTCAGCAGGGATTAGTGGCTCTTCGCTGTCTACAGTTTTGTCGGGCTCTATTGGCGAATCCCTGGCACTGTCTGCCACTTCAGGCTGATCCCTTACCACCTCGATCTCGTCTGTTGTCTTCTCACACTCATCTGTCTTCTCAACTTCCTCCACAACAGGCTCCTCGATAGGATCTTCCACAGGATCCACCATAGTATCATTTAGTTCATTCGTGATCTCAGGCTGAGCAGCAGGTGGCTCTGAAGCTGTTATGGTCTCCGGTTCGTCAACTTGAGCTGGAGATTTGGATGTCGACTCCGTTTGTGTAATTTCAATGGTTTGCTCCTCGGGCTTTAACTCTGTTTCCACCACTGTTGTTGTGATCTTCACTTCGGTTGTCGTTTTCAGTGATGCTCCTGCGCTGTTGATCTCAACAAAGCTGACACTCGATTCCTGGAGTATATCGCTAACAATGATCACACTGCTGGCGGCCATCAGCTCAGCAGTTGTCTGATTGCTACTCTGATTGTGATTGTCATGGGTGCCATTGCTTTCCGGCTCCTTGCCATTTACTGCAACTGTCTCTCTCTCTTTGCTCTCTTTGCTTGGCGCATCTGTCGTTTCTGTTGGCGGTTTGTTGGAGGAATCGGGTGGCTTACCCTCATCATTGGAATCGTTGCTATGTCGCTTGAGTAGCTTTGCCTTCTCCTCATAATGATCGTCCTGCGTGATTGCAGTTATGGAAGTCGACGCTGGATTGGATGTTGAATTGGAACTGGACTTGTTACGATCACGTTCCCGATCACGATCACTTCTCTTCGAGGCGGAGGATGAGCTGCCGCTGCCGTTGTGACTACGACTGTGATGACTATTACTGTGCCCATGACTCTCTCTGCTATCCCGGCTGCGTTCCCTATCGCGATCCGAGCGTGACGACGACGAGCTGGACTTGTGTTTCTTGAGCGACGATGATTCGTGACGCGACGAGGAACGTTTCGAGGAGGTGGATGACTCATGAGTGCTGCGACTCGACGCAGTCGAAGTGTTGGAGCTCTTCTCATTTCTCGAGCTGCTACTTGTTCTATGCTTTGAACTGGATGAGTGCGATGAGTTGTGACTGGAGTGTTTCGAGCTGGATGAAGTCTTGCTGTGCGATTTGTCGCGTTCACGATCGCGTTCCCGCGACTTTCGCCGCTGTTTATCATCCGATCGCGTATGCGAGTGATGACGCTTATCCTTGTCTTTGGAGTGTGAATGGGAGCTCTTCTTGTGTGTTTGCGAGGAGGACGAAGCGGAGGCTGGCGATGTTGTCAAGTCCGCAGTTTTAATAACTCCATCATCCTTAAGCTCATCTGATGCAATGGGCAACGTTGCGGCTGCTGCGTCTTCAACTGACACCTGCTGCTTCTCTGCTTTGTCTGCGTTGGGCAATTCTGGTGGAGGCTCCTGTGGGAGTGGAGGCTCAATGGCAGCTAAGCAATCTTTGTGATTTTGTGAGCCAGGCGCTGAATCCGCAAACGACGCAAAATAACTATCTGATGATCGCTCGCAATTGGCCTCTGAAAGTTGCTTTGGTTTGGACTCATCTCTCTCTGAAGAAATGTGGTTATCGTTATTTAAATTGGCCGTCACCTCACACATGATGGCATCCTCAATAGAAAGGGTATGCGTGCCACCGTTCGTGTTTTCCGACAAGGAGCTCTTTCGCTCAGTGCCTGCATAAAATACACAAATGATATGAAGTAAAGTATCAACAATAGTTTAGTCTTCCCCCTACCCTCGAATGTGATGGCATCCTGTTTGATGTCAAAATGCAGCTGGCGTCCGCTGATGTCGTCGTTGCCGTCGCTGGAGTTCTCACTGAACTTGGGCATTTGCGCCTCTTCTGATATGTTGGCGGCCATGTTGGAAGTGAGTTCCACGCTATTATTGGCGGACGTTGGCTGGGGTGCATCCATTGAGGCGATGGTCAAGCGACTGTCGCTGGACACCTGTGAAAGCTGTGAGGCCTGCGAGGCGCCAGCGTCTCGCGAATCATTAGCCAGCTCCTTGATATCCCTGAGGGAATCTGATGTGTTCAACGACGCGTTGTTGGTGTCTTCTTTAAAGCTGGCAATAGGCTCAAATGGTGGGGAGGCTGCATCATCATCATCATCGAGCATGTCATCCACATCTACACCAGGCGGTAGATCATCGTCCTTGCTGTCATCTTTCAAATCCGACTTGACCGTGTCACGATCAGAATCTGGACTGATCTGCTCCAGGTCAGTAGGCAGTAGGCTGGCAGTGGTCTCCACCTTGAGCAGATTGCCGCCATTCATGTGGCTCAGCGGGTGGCCAGAGTAGGGGGGCAGGGGAGGTGCTGGCAACAACGGTGGACGAGGTGGCGGATTTGTTGGAGGCGGTGGCGGTGTTATACCCAAATACTTGTATGCAATGCTCTCAATCTTTGGCTCAAATATGGTGGCCACCTTCGGATTGACCACCTGGTCGACAATGTGGTCAACACCCTTGTCCAGCACATCAGAGCTGCAAAATATGGTAATGAGTTATAATGGAAGGAACAATCAAGTATTTCGATTTAGACATACTCAAGCAAATGTTTGCGTAGTCGCTCGCGCAACTGCACCTTATTGGTGTCTGGTGTCCAATGTTGTTTGGCCAGAAAATCATTGACAGCCGTCTCAACGCGATTGCGTACATTTTGATATGCTGGCTTTGTGTCGACATCCGCCAAACAGCAATTGAATCGAAACTCATCGAAGACGCCCTGTGACTTGACCTCTTCGATGAGAGTCTTTACAAAATTGTCCATCTTTTGTGGACGCAATTAAATCGATCAACAATCTAATTTTTATTGTGGAATTTGGTGGCTTTTCCTTAAGAATGTTTTAAGTGTGACCGCAAGCATCAAACCATAAAAATATCTTAGTTGTTTGGTGCACTTGCAACACTGGCCCGGGGCATATCGATAGCATAGATATTTGGCGCCATTCTAATAAACAGCTGCGCTGTTAAAAATCTGTTATTTCAATAAATTCCGATGGCAATAACATTACCGAAAATGTTAAGTTCAATGTTAAAATGTGCTGTGCACGCTGTGTGCAACTCTGCATAAAAATTTGGCGGAACCAAGCGCTTGGTTGCTATTAAAAGTTGTCCGATCCTTAGATGCGAGCTGCTTAATTAAACAATTATAGTAATGAAATTAAGTGCAACACATTCGCATTTGGAAATGCAAGGAATTGCTAAGGTCAATTCAATTCAAGGAGCTACGGACAATGCGACTGCAGGCAACGTCACGCCAGAATTGGCCAAAAGTGAGACGGAATCCAACTCAATACAATTGCAACGCTTGCCAAGGAATCTGCTGCTGAAGCAGTGTCTCATCAACGACACCGAATCGGCAACGGATAGCAGTGAGCAATTCACGGAAATCAAACCACACCAGAGTAGAGTCGATCCACAAAAGACGCCAGCAACAGGAAAATCGCGCAGTAAGTATAGAGCATTTATTTAATGTATTTAATTATTTAACATTAATGAATTTGCCACGGCAGGAAAACGCGACTTGATCAATCTGCAATCGAACCTGACCGCCAAATACATTGGCTATGCAAATGCCAACTCGCCAACAGCAACAACAGCGTCTGAAAGCACTGAGCAGCAAATGCGCACAACTCGACGGCGAGCACATGACACAACCTTGAACAGCAGTAGCGCCGAGCTGAGCGGCAGAGATAGCGATGCCGCATCGCCAAAGACTCTGGTCACGGGCATTTTGACAGCTCGCCTTGGTGATGCCTATCTGAGTCCCATCGATAAATTGCTGATCAAGAATGGCGCCAACTCGCCCAACAGCACCGGCTTCGAGGCGGATGCCGAGGATGTGGCTGCAGTGCAGCCATCGCGTAAGACTATCAAACGTAAACTAAAACGCGGTCTCAAGCCAAAGACTAACAAAACGAAAGAAACTGAAAAGACGGCAGCAATGGAAATGGAAAGGTTACCAGCTGATCAGCAGGAGCTGCAGCTGCAACCGCAGTTGGATCAGTTGCCCATAGAAACAAAACGCATCGTAGATAATGTTGAGCAGGAACAGGTCGAAATCAAGATTGAATTAGGCGATGAAAATGCCGCAGACAATATCGCTTACACTGAACTGGAAACTGAAGCCATGGCTTTGGAGCAAACAAGTACAGAGAGTAGACAGGCTGAGATGATTTTTGCGCTACCAGAGACGACTGCAACAGAGTTGGATGCACTGAAAACACCGCCAGATCTTATAGAGCCGGCGAACAATAGCGAACAATCTATGAAATCCCCGTCGTCAATTAGTTTGGATAGTGCCAAGGGTTTGTCGATAGTCACCGATTCGGGCTGGCCCGCCTATCAGATGGGTGATCTGTGCTGGGGCAAATTGTTCACCTACTGCTACTGGCCTTGCATGATCTGTCCAGATGAGCTGGGCCAAATTGTAGGCGATCAGCAGACCCATCCGCAGCGCAAGTCAACGGACAGTGTGCCGGGAGCGACGGTTAGCATTCAGGTGCATGTGCACTTTTTTGCCGACAATGGACGCCACAATTGGATAAAATCGGAGTTTCTTTTGCCCTTTGCCGGCCTTAAGGCCTACGAGGAGCTGCGCGAATCTGTGCGCATCCAGCATGGTCCCCGAAGCTTCAAATACCGCCAAATGGTAGCCAAACAGAGCAGACAGCATGTCTGGCGCCAAGCTATCGATGAGGCCAACATTGTCGCCCAGATCCCATACCCAGAGCGGGTGCAAAAGTTTTATGAAATTCACGAAAACAACGTGTAAGTAAAAAATACTATTTCAAATTAGTCTTTAAGAGCGTGGCAAGACAGTAAACCAGCAAACAAAATGTGATAAAATACCCGAGCTAATCTTTGGGATTGCTTATGCAGCTATATACGATTTAAGAGTCTCCAGCTCAACATCAATATAGTCTTCTTTTCTTTACTGTTTGGCATTTTGTACTTAGATAGTAAGATAATGTGTGGAAAGTTGCTGGGAGAAAGTTAAAGTGCTCGGCCAAAGACGGGTTTTATCAGAGTAAAAAATCATTAGGCACCTGCACAAACAACAAATTTCTACACTGAGCGATATAAGAAACATATTTTAATTCAGGAGCGATCCATTTCTAAATTCTCCAAAGTCAGTATCGATCTTTGAATAGAACTTTATTTTGTTTTGTTCTGCAAAATATAACTCTAGATGATCAATTGCCGCCAACTTATTTGCGTGTTGTGTTTGTTTTGCTAGTCAACGACCTCAAAGCAGACTTACAGGTGAAATTTTTTTTCAAAAATAATATACTCGGCTAAGCAACAACAACAACAAACAAACAAATTTAAAAGGCGGCTAGTATTCAGTATTTGCTTTGTTCATTTTCCAAGCATTTGCTTGTTAAAATGTACAATTTTTCCTTATGTACTATGCACATTTTTAATGGAAAAACTTAAATAAGATGTAAATACTGTATTTAAAGATTTTCAGCTATTCCCAATAACTTTATTCAAACGAGCAGCTATAAATATTTTACGAATTGTTTTTATTTTTATCAGCACACAGAGCAAGCAGAAGCGCAAGCAACCGAAGTCGATACGAGGAGGCGACACTTCAGATGTGGGCAGCAGCCTCTATGATTCCACGGACAATTTGAATGGCAAGCCGTCCGCTATGCAAATTGTGGCTGTGAAACGGGAACGTTCCTCCTCGCCGTTCAGTCCGGCCTTCTCCCCCGTGAAGCACAATCATCAGAAGCGAACGAAGCGACGCAAGCTGAGTGGCAGCGTTGAGCAGCCGATGGGCTTCGTTTCAATTTCGGAGGCAACGGACGAGAAGCCAATCTCAATGGATTTGGGCGACTGTGAGGATCCCGAGTTCGGGCAGCTATTCGATGCCATTAAGGAGTATGTGACGGTCCATCAGAATGACGACAACAACGACAAAATTCTTATGGCGGTGGTGAATAACATTTGGTATCTGAAACAGCTGAAGCTGCGCGACCTGAGTCGCAACTTGGTCGATGGCGATGTCGAGCTCTTGGGCTCGGCTCGTGAGGAATCGGAACGCGGGCGGGGCATTTACAAAATTAAACGCCTCTCGAATCGCCTGAAAACAATGGTGCTTCGCCGCAGCATAACGCCAATTGTGATGCCATCACAGCAATTGGCAACAAGAGCAGATGCTAACCAACCGGAACGCTCTCATGCCGTGCAGGCGAAGGTACGGAAACCCGTTGGTCGACCCATCGATGAAGTGATCGGGGATATACTGTTGCTGGATCGCAAGTACCTGTTCCGCGGGCTCAATCGGGAGCCCATTTGCAAATACTGCCACCAGCCGGGTGGAGAAATACAGCGCTGTTCGCAACAGTGCAACACCTGGTTGCATGCCGCCTGCCTGGAGCAGCAAATGACTGAAAGTACAAAGCCAACCAGGGGCCTTAAGCCAATTGCAGCTGCTATTGCAAGTCAGAGTCTCCAGCCGCTAACCAGCTCGTCGCCCATTTCAGACGTGGAACCATTGCTGAAGCACATAACTGGCGATGGCGTACAAACCGAACCGGAGGAGGCGAAGGAAGCGATCATATGTGTTGAGTGTGCCAGTGGCAAATCGGATATTTGTTGCATCTGCTATCAACAGGAAATGCCAGTCGCTTCGCTCCACAACGATGGGGATGGATTAACCATTGCTGAGATGGCTCAAGAATCAACTGAGAAGTTGATGGGCTGCTGCCAGCCCATGTGCAACGCCAAATTCCATGCCAGTTGTTGTAAGTATTGGCCGCAAGCCAGCGTCAGCAACTCATCGCCCACGTCGCGCTGTCCGATGCATGTGTGCCACACCTGCGTCTCGGATGATCCCAGCGGCAAGTATCAGCAGCTGAACAATTCTAAGCTGACCAAGTGCGTCAAGTGTCCGGCAACATATCATCAGGATTCGCGTTGCATTCCGGCCGGCTCACAGATGCTAACGCTCACCCATCTCATCTGTCCCAGACACAACATTGCCAAGGCGGATGCCAATCTGAATGTGCTCTGGTGCTACATCTGTGTACGGGGCGGCGAGCTCCTCTGCTGCGAGACCTGCCCCATTGCGGTGCACGCGCACTGCCGGAACATTCCAATCAAGCCGAACGAGAGCTACATCTGTGAGGAGTGCGAGAGCGGGCGACTGCCGCTCTACGGCGAAATCGTTTGGGCCAAGTTCAACAATTTCCGATGGTGGCCGGCCATCATATTGCCGCCGACAGAGATACCCGTCAATATACTGAAGAAGCCGCATGGCCTCAACGATTTTGTGGTGCGTTTTTTTGGCACCAACGATCATGGCTGGATATCGCGTCGACGCGTCTATCTTTATATTGAGGGCGACACTGGCGACGGTTACAAAAACAAATCGCAGATGTCGAAATACTACAAGATCGGCGTGGAGGAGGCGACACACTTCCTCAAGATCATCAAGGCGAAACGGCAGGAGCAGGCAATTGGTCGCTTAAGTGGCAACAAACTCCATCCGCCACCCTACATCAAGATCAAGGCGAACAAAGCGGTGCCGCCCGTGCGTTTCGTTTACAGCGAGGAGAGCCAGAACATATGCGTTTGCAAGCCGGACAGTGAACATCCTTGCGGCCCTGAATCCGGTTGCTTAAATCGCATACTCTACCACGAGTGCAATCCGAAATACTGCAATGCTGGCAAAAAATGCGAAAATCAATTGTTCGAGCTGCGCAAATCGCCCCGTCTCGAAGTCGTTTATATGAACGAGCGGGGCTTTGGTCTCGTCTGCCGGGAGGCGATTGCCGAGGGTGACTTCATCATTGAGTATGTGGGCGAGGTGATCAATCATGCTGAATTCCAGCGACGCGTCGCACAGAAGACGAACGACAGGGACGAGAACTTTTATTTCCTGGGTGTGGAGAAGGATTTTATCATTGATGCGGGACCCAAGGGCAATTTGGCCCGTTTCATGAATCACTCGTGCGAACCGAACTGTGCCACACAAAAGTGGACTGTTAACTGCATTAATCGCGTTGGACTGTTCGCTATCAAGGACATTCCAGAGGTGAGTCAACTTCTAATCCGCAATATATTGACATTAATTTTAAATTGCCCCATGTAGAATACGGAATTGACGTTCAACTACTTGTGGGATGACCTCATGAATAATGGCAAGAAGGCCTGCTTCTGTGGCGCTAAGCGCTGCTCCGGCGAGATTGGAGGCAAACTAAAGGACGAGGAAGTTAAGGTAAGACCGAGTTAGTCCATGCAATCGTAATCAATACCGATATTTATTCAGCCATATGCAAACCCATCACAGGAATCGAAGGTGAAGCAAGTGCCACGCCAAAAAGGGATTCGAATCCAGGTCGCCGTGCCCAAGAGGAAAGCAAAAAAGAAATCCGAAATAAAGCACAAAACTGCCGACAACGTACCGACATCAGAGGATACTGGCCACAGGAGTCGTAGTTAAATTGACATTATTAGTTTTTTTCTGTTACTCATTAGCTTCGTTTTTTTAAATACTTGCATGGCGCCGGATCATGGACGCTTTTTTATATGCCTAAATATTTATTGTTTGTTGTAAGTTAAAAAGTTTAAAGGACCGTTCATTCAAATATTAATTTTTTCAAGTTGAACCTATACATTTTATACAAATAAGTCATTGAATATGAAAATAAAACGAGACGTGTTTGTTAGATTTCAGTTTCATTGCAATACAAAAATTTATTTCATTATCAAATCAGTTCATTATTTTTAGAAATTATGTATGTATATTTATAAAAATACATATATATAAAGCGGCCTTTACAACTGCCTATACAAAAATATGCTTATGAATTTTAGTATTTATTTGTTCAGTTTTTGGTTTATAGTCCCTTAGCCTGACTACAGTGAAAATTGTAGTCAGCTCTTTGGCATAACTCGTCGAACGTACGTATGTCGTGTCGTATGTCTAAATGAAAACTAAAGATATTACTGCCTTACTGTTAAGATCTAAGTGTATGCACATTATACTTAAGCAGATTACACTACTTTGTAACGTGACAGAGAGAAAAATAATGAAACGTGTGCCAAACGAAAGAAAAAAAAAATATACATAAGCATGTATAAGAAACAAAATCTTTCGCTTAAGCTGGCAATTCATTAAACAATTTTTGGCTAAAGTATCCGGCATTGTAATTGGGTACAACGGCTTCAATCTTCTTGATAATGGTGTTTAGCGATTCGCGGGACACCTCATACAGATTGTTGAGGGAGATCAGACGCATGCCTCGCTGGTTGCACACCTCAATCACAGACCATTTCTCAAGCAACTTCATGCAGTTGCGCACGGAGTCCGTCGAAATGCTCTCAGCTGCAAAGAAAATACAATTTTCATATTGTTGTGAATTGAGAATAAGCTGTAGAAGCACTCACCATATGCACAGCTGCCGCGCTTGACTTTCTTGGAAAGATCGTTGATAACGAAGCTAATGAACTCCGATTCCAGCATTGAGCTGCGATGCAGAATCTGCAGCGCCTGCGCCACAGCCAAATATGTGCTGGCAAATGGGGCCAGCACCTCGCATATGTTGTGCTGTTGCTCGAGCGTATCCTCCGCAAGCAACAACAGATCAGCTGCCTCTTCCTCCTTGTGCGACACATTCAAGTAGTCCTCGTTATCCTGGTCCAGCTCATAGGCAAGTCTACGTGCCATGCGACGTGATAACACCTGGTCATCTGATTCATTTACCTACGTAAATACGAAAATACAAATGGCATTAGCTTACATATTAAAAATTTATAATACATTTAACAATATTAACCTCTTTCTTGCGCATGCAACCATTGATGAGCAGCTCGTCCAGTTGCTTGTGTAGCATGCTCTCCAATACTTGCGTGGGTTTGTTTAATATAAATTCGTATTTATACACAAGACAGTTCTCCAATGCAGTCTCAATTAGTTTGGCTTGAGAGACGCCGATTGATCTCTCGCCATCTGTGTCTGGCGAGGTAGGCGCTGGCAGCAAGCCATGAAATGTGGTCAACAGTATGGAGCTGAGGGCAAAGTGCGGAGTCAGCGAATTCGAGTAGTACGCCAGTTCAATGAAGCTCTCCGTCGTAGGCACAGGACGTATAAGGATGCGTCCATTCTCGTCACGCGTGCGTGTAACCAAGCCTAAAGTAAGGTAACGAATAATATTTAGTATGGGGGTGTACAATCTCGATTTAAGCAGAGCTACCTGTTCCCAGGAGATCGCAGGCATAGGCTATGATATGCGACGATTCGCCAGAAAAACCCAAATCCTTGCAGCCGGACAACGTGTTCCGCAGATCATCTAACGCAGCAGTAATCTTCTGCTCCGTGGCCCCGTTGCGGAAGCGACTAAGCAGCAGAAAGGCCAACGCATTCGTTGACATCACAGAAGTGGCCGCGGCACAGTCGTAAACAACCTGGCGCGAGATGCTGTCGATAAGATTGCGATGCTCCTCACACACAACATCCGTTCCGTAGAGCGATGACGTTGATTGCGTATGCTGCAGCGTTCTATTGTCAAATTGAAATAAAAATTAGCATGAGAATCAACAAGAAATGGGAAAATGAAATTATAAGATCCTCGGCAAAAGGTATAAAAGTGACAACAATCTGTGATTCGCACCTGGACGTCGGCTTGTAGATCTTTGTGCTGCCATCCTCGCGGACAATTTTGTTGTATGAGTTGACGAGTTCGCGTATTGAGTAGGGTTCGTTGAAATCGATGCGTATCAATCCGTAGTTCGAGTTGAGCGCTTTCCAAATGCCCGAAATGGCCTTCCAAAATGATTCGGGTACCTTCTTTTCGCCCTTCTGTTCACGCACGAAATTACCATCGACCAGACGCTCATAGTTAACCGAGACGGGCACCAACAATGCGTCCGGTATGCTGCCATCCATGAACGCATTCACAATCACCGACAATATGCCGCCCTTGGGCATGCACGGTTTGCCGGTGCGCGTACGTCCGCCCTCGATAAAGAACTCAACGTTGTGACCCTGCTTGAGGGCGTGCGTTAGATACAAATGAAGTGCGGCCCGATAGAGCACATCCTTCTTGCCCTCGACGGGATCGATCTTGCGCTTGATGAAGAAGGCGCCCAAACCGCGCAACAATGAGCCAAAAACGGGTATCTGTAGATTGTTACCAGCAGCCACGAGTGGACTGCGTATGTCGTTGTTGGTCAGTATGAATGTCACCAAAATATAATCCAAATGGCTGCGATGCAGCGGCATAAATATCAGCGGTGTGTTTGGGGCACGCTGCGAGGCATTCTTTAGCATTTCAATTTGTTTCTTATGCGTGACGACTCCAGATAAGAAGCAAGGCAACAGTTTATAGAGCAGCCAGGACGTAATTGCGAGGAGCGTATTGTTTAGCGTTGAACCCATATCCTTGAGTATGGTGACGGCTCGCTGCTCCTGCTTGTGCAGTATCTTCTGATATGATATGCCCGTCTTGGCGTCCTCCTCCTCAGTCTGATCACCGCTAATGCTGCGTGCGAGCATCCTATGTCCATTTTTCGCATAGCGTTGATCTCGTAGCGTTTGCTCGGCAGCCTGTTTAATGGCATGCTTCAAGACAACATCGTTGTGCACGATTTTCGTGACCTACACATAAAATAGAAGTTATTATATGGGGGTTAATTTTAATGGTTGAACTAATGCGCGTGTTCACCTGTCGGAAAGCAAATTTCTCGCTGCGTAAGACTTGAGCCACATATGGGAACAGGCAGCCCCAGTCGTAAATGCTTTTGAATGGCTTAAGACCACCGTGCGGCGTCAACTGTAGCATATTCTGAGTGCCAACGCCATGCTCGACAGAGTTTTGTGGTTTCGGCTCCTACACGCGCAAGCAATGAAAGTTCATTTTAGAATCATAAAAGGTGATGAGTATACATAATGTGTGTGTGATGCAATTCTCCCGCGCATTTTCGCAAATTGCAATGCCAAAAATATATGACACATGATGGAAACTATAAGAGTGCTCACCTCAAACCAGCCGCGTATTCTAAATGTATCCATGACAATTATGAGATTCACATATATGCTTAAATATAGTTATCTGTTTCAAATCACATTTAATTGAGCAAAGCGCCGGCAGGCGAAGCGAAGGCGACGAGCGATAGTTTCCGTCTAGCTTTTCTTGAGTCTATCGATTACTTCTCGCGAGACAATCGATTACGACAATTATGCAAATCGGGCAACTCCGCGCGAATGTGAAATAAAAGCAGCGACACTTTTGGTATGCATGTGTGTGCCTTGTGTGATTTACTGAATGGACAGCTTATCCGCATTTTATTGTATATGGGCAAAATAACCGTATTGTAAGGTTATATATTTAAGGGTGTGCATGCATGCGGAGATGATTCAATAAGCATTTAACACTTACATTCGATGCGCGAAGCGTGAAAAGTATTTCGCTTCCAATGCTATTGAACTTTCCCAGCGATGAACGATAGATGCTTAGATTCAAATTGGGAAATAAACTGGCGATTATAGCAGGTGCTCTGCAAACAAAGAAATTTATACATTTATAAGTACATTAACGAGTAATTAACTTTATTTACGCAATTATTAATGTTATCGAAACAGTAGCACACAATTAACTTTATAACTGTTCGTAGGGGAGTTATAAGAGCTGATATGCGGACTGTAGTCCAATTTGTAGCTATTTTTATTTTTCAAGTTCAGTAACCTTTGTTGCCTGATAAGTTTTTAGTTGTCCCCAACAAAGCAAGCAAATTTACCTTTGAGCTTTGCGCCAACCGCAAAATGTTATACATGAAAAAAACGATTGTTTTGTAAAAACCAGCAAAGTGGCAAGGATGCGTTCGATGTATCAGTGCTGCCAGATAGTCAGGCAAAGCTCAACAGAATCCGTTAGTTGTGCAAAGAAATAGAAAAGTGCGTTGAAATGTTTCCCATTCATTGCAATAAATGTAGCAAGAAACGTGACGAGCACGAATTGCACTTTCAACTCACTCGTTGCCAACATATAATCTGTGCCAGTTGCACACCCAAAGCGACGGATGGCAGAATATGCCCTGTCTGCAATCGCGACTTTAAAAGCATCCCAATAACACGCAACATGCCCGGCAATACTGCCAACTATTTCGAAGATCCCAGCGTGTTTTTGAAACTATACCGAAACATTAATAAATTTCAGAGCGAGCAGCGCGTCTCGTACTACCATAATTTCTACAAGCAAAAAACCGAAATGGCCAACAGGAAGCTTAAGATGCAGGGATACATCAAGCTCGATGCACAATTGCGCCAGCAGAACGACCTCGAGAAGAAACGAATCGAGGAGCTGCGCAATTATATTGACTACCATGAGAAGCGCACCGATCCAACCAACTCCGCGGATATGTTCAGGTCCTCACGCAGGGTGTGCCGCCCGCGCACCCCTTCATCTCTAAGTGTCTCGGACACAACACTAACTACGGACAATGATGACGTACTGAAGAAAAGCCCCAACTTGAAGCAATTCAAGCAAATGCTCTCTCAGACTGTAAAATCTGAATTGAAAAAGGTTTAAACTTGTAAAATTTGCTATTACTATACTTACTCTATAAACAAGCTATCAATTATGAGATTAAATAATGAACATTAAAATATAATATTTTTAATTTCAATTAACTACTGATGTATATAAAAAAAAGTGATGGAAACTTTTTCTTTGGGTTTTATAATAAACAAGTACTTCAAACTATTTATAATACTAATTTGAAAGCATTATCGCCACATACTTTCTTTAGTTTTTAGTCATATTAAGCGATAAACAATAATCAGCAGCAATTATGAAATGAGCTTTGAACTGGAACCTTATAATTGCAGATTAACTTTATTGACCGATTAAAGGTGTCCACCGAATAACAACTGAAGTGAATCGCTAATTAGCTGCACATTTAATACACATACATATATGAAAATTTATATATACAAATGGACTTTTCAATTACGATAATTGTTGCCAAACGGTCCGAATCAGTTGCAGCGCTTATCGCAAAACAACAACAGCAGAGTGTGGGAGGAAAAGCGAGATAGAGATAGGAATGGATGGGGTGACTGCATACCAGCAGAAACGAAATGAATGAGTTCAAATGACCTTGTGGCATCCTTAGAATAGACATCCATCTCATTCATCGAAGCATCGCACAGTCAATTTTACTCTCGACTCACACGTGCTTGATAAGGCGGAATTCCACACACGTCGACACGTTCGGACACGCCGACTGTGAATGCGAATGCGCAACAATAACAATAATAAAGTGCACAGTGTTGAAGTGATCAAAAATGCCAAAATAACCACCACCTGTGTGACAGCGACAAAATCATACGCTCATTTTATAAACACTGGATAATAGCTAGAGTATAACTGATATCATTCACTTTGCAGGGCGGTGCGTGCGAGTCTATAAATAACGGCGCTTTTGACCGTCAATTTACAAAAACACATACACAATGTTCAATGTATATACAGTAATGACCTTAGAATTAAAGACAGCGAAAACATAAGAAAAAAAGAAAACGAAAAACTTGACTTGAAAATTTGTTATATAATCGTCACAACTATAAAATTGTAAATTTCTTTTCTTTCAGAAAATCAAAACAACTGCGTTTGCCCCATTTGTTTTGCAATTAATGTCGATTCAGTCCGTCAGGTCGATCAAGAGTTCGAAGTTCTTTACGAATATATGCACACAATTATCATGCGCATTTCACCAAGGCAAAAGGCATGAAATTAAATTAAAAAGCACAGAGACATAATCGTGTACTTATGCACATGTGTTGGGTGTGTGTGTGTGTACAGCTGGTTGTCTGCGTCATTAATTGAACTTGACAGCTGCTGCTGCTATTGTTCTTCTTGTTGCTGTGTTGTTCGTGTTAACCGGCAGAAGCAACCACTGCCACCGCATGATTTGTGTGGCTTCCACCACATCCATGGTACTCACCTAGTCTTGGCGAACACGTAGTAGATAACAAGACCAACAGATACAACTTCGATGCCACCGAGCAGCGAAATTCCTGCCAGGCATTGGGCAGAATTTAACAGACTCGTTAACATAATGCTGTTTTCGATCTTTCGTCTGTAGAAAATGCCCTTTTCTTTTTTGGCTGATGCTGACCCGCAATTATAATGCCAAGTAATATGGCACGGTGTCGTACAAAGATGCGGTTGCTGCTGATATGTACTTTCTGTCTGTCTGTCGCTGTCCGCAATCTTTGCGGAAAAATACGGCGCGCATGGAGAGCAGAGCGCGTCTCCTTCTTTCTCTCACGCTCTGTGGGATGATGTTGTTTGTGATGTGTTTATGTCTGTTTCCTCTGTGCTTGCCTCTTTGTCACACTCACTCACTGACTGAATGAATGACTGACAGACACTACGTCCGAGAGTATTGCGTTGTGCTCTACTATGCTATATAACCAGACATCGTTGATGTCGCGACCCGCAATTTTGCGAGACAACGTTGTTAATATAAAAAAAAATATCGTATGATTTGGATTCTGCGCGCTTTTGATTTGTTTTAATTTCGTTTTATTTTATTTGAGTTCAGATTTTGCGTGAATATTTTGATTATCGCACTGATTGCCTTTTGTTTGTTTTTGAAATACATATAAATGTAAGATAAGCAATTTCACAATTGGGTTTTGTTCTACTTTGATTGCGTCCTTTGCTTTGTTGCCGGCTCCTTTGTTAATTATTTGTATTTTTTATTCACGCCAATTGACAAAGCAGCGTGACAAACGAGCGCGAAAAATGTGAGACAACCGCTCGCTTCAAGCGCTCACTGCGGAATAAACACGCTTGCAATCGTTGCTGTTTAATTAAATGCCAATTAACGTGCGACAATAAATGTGTGCACAGCACAGAGCACATAAAAAATAATAACAAAAACAACGACGCACTCCGAAGATCAGCATCACCAGCGTTTCACGAACAGCGGCAGTCCGATAAGAGCATCGATAGGCAACGACTACAATAAATGTTATCAACTCGAAAGAGAAAACGTGCTCTTTGAAAAGAGCGAGAGAGAGAGAGAGAGACCGTAAGAGAGCAGCAAAAAGAGTGCAACAACTGTGTGCCTAAGACTAAATTTTTTAATCAGTTTAATCAGAAATTACTTTCACGCACTGTATTATTTTATGAATAAAATTCATACAACTTTTGTTATTTTATTTTATAAAAAGAGTTTTTGTGGTCTGCAACTAACTCGGTTTATTTCTTAGCCGCTGGTTTCTTGGCGGCGACCTTCTTCTTGCGGGCGGCGAGCAGCTTGGCGCGGTTAGCAGCAGCCTTTGTGGCGACATTGGCAAAGTGAGACTTGGCCAGCTCCACATTCTGTTTCTTGGCCTTGGCCAAAACCTTGGCAACCGTACGCTTCTCGGCGGCCAATGCAGCACGACGCTTGAGGACCTCAGCATACGGATTCAACTTGATCAGTTGACGCACATTGGACAGAGGATTGAGGCGACGCACACGACGGAACACATGCTTGCGTGGATCGCGGAGAACCTTGCGAATCTCCTCCGATTTCAAGAGGCGCGACAAGTCTGTGTTGGCCATCTTTGGCTGGGGCAGATTGTAGCCCTTCTTCAGAGTGGATGGCTTCTTCCAGGTGCCGAACAGATCGTTCAGGCGCGAGAATGCAGACTCCGTCCAAATGACAAAGCGACCCACATGACCACCAGGTGCCAACTTGAGCAAGTTCAGCTTGTCCACGCAAATGGTCTCAATGCCGGGTATGTTGCGGAACGCCTGGCGAAGACCCTCATCCTTGTGGTAGACCACAAGTGGACCCTTGCGGGCAATGCGGCGACGATCGCGCATCGTACCACGACCAGCACGGAAGCGCTGCGACTTGTACACCTGCAGAAAGAACAATTATGCTTAGAATCAATTGTTCCGATTTTAGTATTATTTGTATATATATATAGCTCTCCACTGCAAACGGTTGGAGCTTTCGGTCAGGCTACAAACGTAACGCCTAGGAGAGCAATTTGATATAGCAATGCATTACGAACAACATGCTCCAACGAAACACCACCAGAGAGACGCATTCCGTTCACATATACATTGCCATGGATTAGTTAACTATTCCGGGATACATACCTTCTGGATATCGGCCCAGACCTTCATGCGACGCAAGAAGACTACAGCCTGCTTGGTCTTCTGCAGCTTCTGCACTTCATCGGAGACGACCAATGGGAACTCGGAGATGCCATCGATAACGTGTCCCTTGGACTGGACCAACGCTGGCACACCGGAGGCGGCGATAGCCGAGACGAGAGCGTAGCGACGCTGGTTAACATTCACCTTGCGGTGCCAGCGACGGAAGGTCTTGGTGGGTGCGAACATACGACCGCCACGGCACATGTTGCCAAAGGCACCCTGACCGGAGCGATGAGTACCACCGCCACGGACACGGGGAATACGTGCAACGGCACGACCAGTACCCCAGGATTCGGCAGATGTTTGGTGACCTGATCAATGGAAATATCCAAGTAAAAATATTGTTCGTTCAATATGTGGAAGCGATGCGCACTCACCTGCAAGCTCACTGACAGCATAGGGCTGGCGATTGTTGCGACGCATCAGTTGGTGCACCTCGTTGACCACATCCGGACGGATAGGCGCCTTGAACACTGCGGGCAGGCAGATGTTCTTCTCCTTAAGTGCCTCATTCTTTTCCGTATACACGGAGACCAATGGCCTGGCGTTGCCTAAGCTCTGCAAAAACACGCATACAAACACACACAATTCGAATTAACAATAATATGAATGCTTAAAATATTTAATCACAATGCCACCGCACACTGCAAACACGTGGAGGTTAAGTCGAAGTTTGGGCATATATATTTTCATGTTTTCTACACTTTTCGTGTGTAAAGGTTTTGTTTTTGCAGCTTGCTGTGATCTGGGCATTCATTGAGCACACTTTCTCACCATTTTCGCTGATTTTTAATCCCAATAAATGGTGTTAAATTTTCTGCAAACGCAGATGCCGTCCTCTTTTTAATAAGAAGAACGAAGAAAGAAAGAGAGCTGCCGGAAATGGCCGAAAAGTGCTGCCAACCGCATTTCAGACTGCACGGTTGCATTTCTGCCAACATGGCTGAGCGACTGTCAAAAGCGAACACCGTTCGAAGTTGTACGAATATTTATCGAATGTACGAAATGCACTTTACAACACTACACACGAAACTATAAACAATTTCATCTTCCACATAAAATCAAATAATATCTAAATCAAATGGCCGATGAAGTTATTGTAGATGCATTACCATATATCGATCAAGGATATGACGACGTGGGCGTCAGAGAATCGGTAAATCAAGTGCTGTTTCATTCAGCCTGCTGAGAAATTAATATTTTGTCGTCTTTTGCTGCCAGGCGCTCGCAATGGTCGAGGAGGAATGTCGACGCTATCGGCCCACCAAGAATTATCTGGACCACCTGCCCCTACCGGCGAGTTCGCCATTCGAGACGCCGCTAATGATCAATGAATTTGAGCGAATACAAAACCGTCTGCCCATGGAAACGCTATCCATGAAGCGTTACGAATTGCCACCGCCACCATCGGGCAAACTGTCCGAGGTGTCCGCTTGGCAGGAGTCCATTGAAAATTCGATGGCACAGTTGGAGCATCAGTGGGTACGTTCGTTAAATCTTGAACTGATGCTGGACTATGGCACCGAAGCGTGGAAATCCTACCTGGAGGTGATTACAGCTATGCAAGCCAAAGCGCAGATCCAGCTGCAGCAGCTGAAAAAAGACATGCAGGATGTGAATTGGCAGCGCAAACAGGCGCAGACACAAGCTGGCGAGAAGCTCCGTGCCCTCGAGGCACACTGGGTGCTGCTCGTGTCCAAGAACTACGAGATCGAAAACGAGTGCGTCGAGCTTGAGAAAGTTGTGCAAGCAGCACGCGATCAACTGGAGCAACTGGTGCCGCCAGTCGAAGAGCAGCAGCTGTCGCCACAGACTGAGCATACAAACGGACATTCTGCACAGACGGACAGTAATGGTTCCAATAGCAATGAAAGCCAGAACAATGAGGCTGAGGAGAACAACAGCGATGGCGATGACGATAATGATGATGATGACATGAACAACAGGAATGGGGACAACAATGTGGTGAGCGATAGTGCTGCTGTCCAAGATGAGGAGGAATCCACGAATGATTCATAGGTGTTGCTGTAGGTTCTTCTTTATTATTATTATTATAATTATAATTTGTACAATTCGAAATACATATATTGAGTCGTATAACAAGCAAAATGCGAATACATTGTATAAATATAGGATTCGTGTGCGTTGTGAGTAGCGCCACCTAATCTAGGATCTAGATCATTAAATCGTATATGTTATGTATATGAATATTATAATATATATGTAATTGTAGTTAGCACAGCTTCATTCGCTGCCTAGTGAGTCGTCGTATGGCACATTCGTGATACTCTATGGTTATCTATGGCTAGTTCTCGCACGGACCGGAGCGGAGCGGATACGTGAGCTACACATTGCGGTGGGAGCAGGTGGTGGCGGCGGCAGCAGCAGCAGTAGCAGCAGGAGGGGAGAACGCGATATGAGGAGTGGAGCCATTTAGTGATATAGCAGGATATGTGGCATGCATGTGCGCTACTCCGCCCCGTCGCAAGCAACCAGCATAGATCATCTAATCCTACATTCTACAGCGTCGTCTCAGGAACATGATCAGTATGGTGCAACTGGTGACGACGTTGTTGCTGTTGTTGTTGCTCCTGCTCCAGCATCATGTCGCCAATTCTTTGCTCCATCTTTTTAATACGCAATTGATACTTGCGCTTGCTCTGCTCCAGCATCTGGACCAGATTGCTGCATAATAGAGAGATAATTTTTTAAATTCCTAATACCAATATATATTTAATTATAGGCTTACTGATTTGATTTTTGCAATTCCCTCAAATTGAGATGCATTTGCTCGCACTTCTCGTCCGTGGCCTTTTGACTGGCATTCATGTTGAGCAGCGTTTGAATGCGACTCTTTAGCTCCGTTTCTCGACTCAGTGCCTCGACCAGCTGTTGTTCGGTGAGTGCCGCATGCTCGGCCTCCGAGTAGGAGACCCGATTGGTGGCCTGCAGCTGCTTGAGGGCCTCATGGAGAATGCTGACACGCTCATTGGCATATTGCTGTTCGCGTTCGGCCTCCTCCTTTTTGGCCTTGAGCTGTTGATTCTGGTCACGCAACTCAAGCATCTCCTGCATAATGACTGCTGTCTCCAGGTCGATGGGTGATTTCTTTTCCTTGTCGTGCTTGCGCAACTCCTGATCCTTCTCGAGGGCTAAACGTTTCTTTTCGAAGACATCGCTGAACGGCGACTCCAGACTGACTATGGTGTGCTGCACAACGGAGCGTCTGCCCTTCAGCTTGGACACGTGATAACGCAGACGATTATCGTCATCGCTGCTCCAGTGGCGTGTCGACTTTGGCGCATCCTCGACACCTAAATTAATGTTATGCTGCCAGGGTCCCAAGCTATTCTCGCACAGATTCTTCTCTGTCTCCAGTCGCGCCAGGAGATGATGTGCCACCGTTTCCACGGCACGACGGCTTTCCTCAGCAGCGGCTGACTTGTCGCTTAGCAAAGCCAACCTATACGATAATTTTCTTTATTTATATAAATCTTAATAATCCCAGAGGTGAACCTACCTGCTCTCCAGCAAGGCTAACATCACATCATAGGCTTCAATGGCGCGATCGCTGCAGTTGAGCGCCAATTGGAGAGCAACAGCATTTGACTCGTATTTGCCACACAGTAGATAGAGATGCTCGGTGTGCTCCTTGGATTCGTCGAGGGTGAGCGACAATAGTGTGTTGCGCATCTTCAGTTGCTCCATTTTGCGCTGCAGTCGCTCCAACTCTAGCTGCAGCGGTGCCATAAAGCCTTCCATCAGCGAGCTTTGCTTGCACACTAAATGCTCAACTAAGTTGATGTCCTGTGGACCAGCAGAAGTGTATGAGTATGTATAAGGATTATAGATGCAGTTGACTCTTTACCTCATTGCTTAGTTCCGTGTGGCAATCGTCATCATGCGTTGCTTCCACTTGTGGCTCATTCTTGCTGGCGCAGCGCAACTTAACTCTCTCGGCCATTTTCACGCACTTCTGGGGACTGGTTAGCGAAACGCAGGCTGCAAAGGATAAATATATGTCTATATTAACAAATTAAGACTATTTTTAACAAACGCATCGATAAAAAATATAATTCATTTATCGTAACTGCCAAAATAAATATTGTTTCTATATTATTTGCATACCATTCAAGTCGTTGAGTTGCTGATCACAGCTGTTGCCATTTTCGTTGGCCTCCAGTTCGCAGGAAAAATAGATTTGATCCTCCACGACGGCCGAGTCCTTGTCCTTTGTGGCAATCTCAGCCTGCAGCAGCGCAATTTGTGCCCGCAAGTGAAGCACCTCCTCCTGCAAAGCATCTAACTGCCCCTTACTGATGGCATCTGGGGGTTTAATATGTAAATTCTCTGCACTGGAACAGGCACCTTCGAAATCATCGAGAGCATCAGTTTGACACTCGCCCTCGTCTGCATCCGCATTGGTTAGATTCAATTCCGAGTTATAAATGGAACCCTCCTGATAACTGACCTCTGCGACAGTAAGGGGAAAAAGCTCTCAAGAATTTTTCTATTTCATATTTAAATTATATTTATTACACATACCACTGCCCTCGCCCTCCGGCTCTTGCTCCTCCATAATGATATGCTCTTGTTTGCTGCGTAATTTCTTACTCAACTCCGCGATCACGCAGTGCATCTCGGTGAGGCGGCACTCATGAGCCTGGCTCACCACCTCCAAGCGCTTGTGGCACATTTCCCGCTCCACATTGCTCTCCGCCAATTGGCGGTCAGCCTGTTGCAGGCGCTGGGTCAGCTCACGCACCCGATTCTCCAGCTGCTGCACAGACAACTGTTCAACCTGCAAGCAAATGAAAATAATTATTAGTATTTATTTAAATTGGGATCATCATAATTTTCACATTAATGGGTCGACGTGCCATCGGTTGCGACATTAGTGTGTACTCCCAACTGCGTCGCTTCTCTGCATGCTGAAAGCCGCCAGTGCTGCCCCCGAGGGGCGTGTCACTGCAGCACATGCAGCTCAAGCTGCGAGGCAACAATTGCTCCGCTATCATGATCAGTTTACAAATTATTTCAGTATTATTTTGTTTTTTTTTTTATTTTTATTTTAATAGTGATTACGTCGTCCGTTGCTGTCCGTGAATGCACGTCGCTGCAACTTGACCCTGCGCCTTGCCACGCATCTGCGCAGTGCGCAACGCAGGTCAACCGACACACATACAAACATATATATACAGTGGTCCCTGGGTAAAACGAATTCCAGATAATAAATGCGTAATTTTTTATGCTCGAATTCCGTATTATAATTATTAGCGGAGTTCAATAATTCAATTCCTATTTGTACTTGAACTTAAAGCAGCGTTTTTCTCTGAGTGTATTTGTGCTCAGCTGTTCGTAACTAGCTACGGAATGTTTTGCAGTCTGTAAATTGCGCTTAGACCTTCCCAATATTTTTTCACACTTTCTCTTATTCGGTTTACTACTAAATATTCCTTGCATGATCCCTTTCGAGTAATCTGTAACGAGTATTCTATTGTCTAATTGTAAGTCTATTGTAAGACTTTTCCATGTAATCAATTCAGAGCCCTCAGTTTCTATCATAAAAAATCCATTTTAAGCATCTTGTCTCTTTAATAACATTTTGAGCTTAACTAATTCATAATATTTTTTATTTTGTTTTGATTTGAATATTAAATATTATTTTGAATTTAATTTCAGATTATTTTTGTGATATGATTTTTATGAAATTAAATGAAAATACAAAATAGTTTTGATTTTCTTCTATTTATATTTTTATGTACATTTGTGTATGTGTGAATGGGTGTGTGTGTGTGTTGCAAAACGTCACTTACTTTGTTGACAATGTCGAGCGTTGAGCAGCTGGAAATGTTGTTGTCGCTTTCTGTTGTGTCGCGCTGCGTGTGCTCTGGTGAGTCCATCTCGTAGGAGCCTACGACATGCTTGGGCTGATTGCCCAGATTGATGCCGCCGCCGCCGCGTGGTGAAATGCTGCCAAAAACAAATTCAATGTCATCGTCAATGACGCCTCCGCTGACACCCTTTGATATGCCCATTATGTTGGTATCCCTCTGCTGCTGCTGATGATGATGGTGATGATTGCCCTGTTGCTTGCCCTGTCTGCGAGCCACATCGGAGCCAATCCGGGAAACGCGGGCAATTTGCACATCGTTGGACATATTTTTTGTTTGGCAGCAGTTTAATTGCTTTGTGGGGGGAGTGGTGGGTGGGGGGTTTGGCTTGGGCCTTTGGCTTTGTTTATGCTGCGTTTATTTCGCCTTTTTTACTTATTTTTGATTGACGCTCCATTTTCATAGTTAATGGCACTTGAATTCACATGGTCTGTGCGACCTGCTTGCAGTTTTAAGGCATTTTTAATTCACAAAACAATTATTTCACATTTGCAACAGCTACAAATTTCTTATCAGAAAATGTATACTATATTCGTCGAGCAGTGCTGGGTAACGTTCGAACGTGAAAATGTCAAGCGGTGCTGTAAAACACCACTTAATTTAACGGAATTCCTTTGAATGTTTAAAATGTGAAATGAAAAATATGTTCAAGCTTTATGCAGAAATCTGTTTATTGTACGTTGTAAATATTAGATAAATATATAGTTAATAATTCGTATTCACTTAGTAGTGATATGCTATTAATGTATGATACTCCATATTTAAATTATACATATATATTGAACAGGTCTATAGTTAACAACTAATGCATTGTTGCAGCATTCTCTGCGCGTATCGTTACCATCGCCTCAAGGTCTCGCATATCTAAATCGTGCAGAGCCTTTTGGACTAGTGCCGCCAAGTGTGGCGGCAGATCCTTAAGATCCTCCATCCGTTCCCTTGCCACAGCGCTGGATATGCGCGGAGTGCCATTGCAAGCGAAACCACAATTGCCCGAATCCGTCGTTGCCGACGATGATTTATACGCATTGATGGACAGATCATTCAGTCCATACACAGATGAATCGGCTGACTCCGATGACAGCGAGGACATGCCATCATCTGACTGCAGTACACCCAAGCACCCTTTGACACTAGGTATATTTTCATATGGCTCGGATGGTATAGTATTTGTTTGCTCTGCAGCTGTAGCAGCAGCAGATGGTTCTGTTTCAGCAGCCTCTGTTCCTGGATCATCGACCATGGCGGCGCAGTACCCATTGAGCAGTAACTGTGAGGGCGCATACCCAAGCTCCTCATCGTCTTCCTCCATGGCGGTATTATCCGAGTCACCGCTTAAGAGTTGCTGCCAACGCCGTTCCAGTTCCTGCATTTTACTCGCAAGTATTCTGTGTGTGCAGCAGAAGCTTAGCTTAGATTGTTAAATTAACATTTCTTAATCCGACACCTACTTGTTTGTTCGCTTCTGATGCGTCAGCGCCAGATTCTTGTCGTTCAGGTTGTCCAGTAGCGCCAAACACAGGGACTTCAAATCGTGAATTGTCTCTGTTTTACCTGGCAAATCAATGCCACTCTCCAGTATTGTTTTTACTGAAATAATTATACGATTTAAAACCAATTTCAGGATTGGGCATTTAATTGGACTCACCTTGTCTGGGACTTAATATGGTTTCATCACTTGTGCTTCCTCCTAGCTTGACAATGCCCCTTTTTCGCTTTGCTTCCAGCATGGTCTAAATGAATTTTTTTAAAATTATAATTAATACAATGCATGATGTTAAGGACGTTAATAATACACCTTATACTTGCTGACAGACTGCTTGGTTAGTTCCAGCTCATTATCCTGAATCTTAACGCGCTCATGCAGGTACTTATTCTCCAGTAGCACACCGTCAATGTCCAGTAGCTGAAAAACCGCAACTTTTTATATTTATTTTCAGTTTATATATTAATTTAAGGAAAATTCATAAAATGTAAAAGTCCCCGAACTAGATGTAAATAAATATAAAGGAAATAATAGCAAATAAAATTAGACTCAGCTGAGTTCAAATATCCTCAGATCAAGAAAAATTTCTCAGCTTAAACATCTTTCCTTAAATGTAAAATAAATTTCTTTTAACTATCAAGTTTAGATTTCAGTCTTCTGTTGGCGTCTCAACACGTCTCCAATTTCTGATCAAAATTGATTTTCTGATAGTTCCTCATATTCCATGTTTGCTTACCTTTGGGTGCATTTTGTTGGCTTTTAGGGCAACCAATAATTCATGGTTGAGCCTGTGCGCCTTGCATTTGTAGGCATCGCGTTCCGTCATGAGTTCCTCCTTTTCGTCGATGATCGCCTTCAGATCGAATGCCAATTGTGTGTTCCTCTTTTTTAGATTCTCCAGATGACAAATAAAATCTGCCCGCTCCCGTTTCCATTGCAGCTCCTCCTTGTTGTGCGCAGCATTTTCACTGACCAGCGCTTGCAGTCGAGATTTACTATTTGCCTCTCGTTCGCGCAGCAGCTCCATGTCGCCCTGGAGCTCGCCAAGACGTTGCTTCAGACCCTCCACCTCGGTGCTCAACTTGAGATTCAATTCGCGCGTCTCGTGCAGCAGCGCAGCCAGGCTCGAATTCTGACTCAATGCGCCGCAGGCTCCTCCACTCCCTGCCAGCAGTTCACTGCTACGTTTCATCGCCGAATAGCGCAACTGGAGCGTCTCGGCCATCAATTTGTACTGATCACGTTCCACGCGAAATTGCTCCAGCTCCTGGCGCAGGATGCGCAATGCTTCCACTTTACTCTGCAGCTTTCGATGCACCGCAGAGTTCTGCAGTAAAAAAAATCCATCAGTTTGAATAATACTTGAAACGCAAGTGGGGGATTCCCTGCTTACCTCCACGTTGTAGGTCTCCATATTGCCACCAATTGTGAATTCGTATTGATTGGCATTGACACCGTTACTGTTACAGTTGCTGTTGCTGGCATTACTCTGACCATCATCCAAGTCCATGCCGATGCCGTATGTCGCCATATGTTCCACCTCAAGCGATGTAAGCTCGTAACGGTTGACATGAACCAGCCCAAAAACTATATACGTTCTATGGCATTATATATATTTTTTTTTTATGTATTTACTGTTGTCAAATTCAAGTGAAACACAAATTTTGTTAATTCTGCTCGCTTTCAATTGTCGCAATTCCTTCCGCGTATAAAATTAATCAATTTTTTACTTGAGCCTGCGCACACTGCACTCAAATCTTAATATAACAGTGTTGTCAACTGTTACTTGTTAACATATTTACTGCTAAAACAAGTGCAGCAAGTGGGACTTTTAAACGTTTTTTTTATTTATCTCAGATTTATTTTTAAGTATTACAGTTAATTATTACAGTTAAATTAATACACGTATAATTAATATAATTCAATAATACAAATCGGCATCTCTTTTATAACAGTTTGTATACATATCTTGTAAAATTAATAAAGTTAAATATGCATTAAAAAAGCACGTTGTGTTTTAATATTGTTATACATATATGAGACAACGACGAATAAAGCCGCAAAAAACCCAGCGTTTTCAAATCGCAAAAAATCATAAATTGAAATAATAAGGAAAAAATGGCATAAGAAACCTAAACGCAAGATTAAGGCACATGTCACTAGAGTCGGTACTGTCAACGCCAGAGGTAAAGAAGGTGGTCGAGTGCATGTGTCTGGCAACCGATATGCAATGTGGACGCTGCTATCCAAAAAGGAGAAGAATAATATGGTTAGCGACGACAAAATGCATTCAGAGAATCACTGCCTTGATGCATTTGCTTGCGTTTATTACAAATCCATTAACATCTGCGTGTTCATTTCTAGGTTCCCTAAACGTAATAAAATTGACATCTAGATTGGTCCCCATTGCAGTTTGTATTGGTTATCATTGTCACCCAATTGTAAGCACTGACAAACTACGAATTACAGCTAAGATTGGAGTTCTGCAGATGCAATCGAAATGAGATGCGCCGGAATTTCGCAGTTCAATTTGAAAACGAATGAAGTAAAAAAGCGATGGAGAATTATTTCTTGTTTTTTTTTTCCTTTTAACTCAAATGTATGCCCATTGATCTTTTTATTTATTTGAACACAATGAACACATGAGTGTCCAACCGCACATAAGTGTCCAACCGCACATGAGTGTCCAACCGCAGAGGCTATGCCTTTCAGTAGCGATTGGAAGCTGTCCTCGAGTAAGTTTTCCTTTTAGGCAAATAGTCCGTCGTTATACTCGTCCGCCGCAAGATCTTTTGCATTCTTTCCAACTGCTTCTCTATTCTGTGGAGCTCTGCATAAACTGCATCAAACTCCATTTTGGCAGCGAGTGAGCTAAACTCGGATTTTTGTTTTTTATTTAAATTTAATTTTTTTTATCTTTATATTAGAATTTGTACATTTAATATTGAACATGAAAAATAAACTACTGAATTATCAACCTTTTCTTTTGGAACAAATGTATTGGAATCTCGAAAAGGTAACTTGGTTATGTATACTCTAAGAGACAACTATTTAAATATATATATACATATATATGTATGTACATTATAAATAGTCAAAGCATAATTCAATTGAAATATTTGTATTGCTTTCTATGTGTTTATCTGCAGCTCATGGCACTGGCAATGGTGACCATTTTTCGCACAACGTTCACGTTTGTGCCATAGTACGGATCAATGTCCTGTTTGCCCATTGTTACGTCACAGTCCATGCGCGTGGTGGTCGGAGCACTGTAGTCTTCACTGGCGGTGTCCAATGCCGACGCATGGAACTCCAAACAGCGACTGACAGTGAGGATCTCTTCTAGATTTGATACTTTGATGCCGGCGCCGGGCATAATGATAATGTCCCGATGATGTTTCGCTATTAGTTGTGCCAAATAGTCAACACCCTCGGCCGCTGACGATCGAAACCCGCTGCTTAGGATCCGTTTGAATCCCAGTTCCTTGAGCAGCTCGACATTCTCATGCATAAACTTATGGTCGGTGAGATCGAAGGCCCGATGGAAGGTGACGGGCAGCCCGTAAGAGTGCTCCATCACACGTCGACACTTGTCCACGTCAATCGTGCGCTCTGGCGTAAGTGCGCCAAAAACGAAGCCATCGGCGCCATGGGTTCTCAGCAAATCCATGTCTGTGAGTGTCGCCTGCAGCTCCTCCTCACTGTAGACGAAATCGGTGCCACGTCGTGGCCGCAGCATGCAACAAATGGGTAATGCTAGTGGCAGCTCCTTCAGAGTCTTAAGCGTTCCGGTGGTGGGCGTCAAGCCGCCCTCCTGCAACGCGGCACAGAGTTCGATGCGTGCCGCGCCGCCTTCTTCTGCGGCAAGTGCCGATTTAATCGAATCCACACATACCTCCAATTTAATTTCGTGAGAAGACATTGTGGCTAATCTTTAATGGGCTGGAGTAAGCTTAAGCTTATTACTTCTTAATGGTTGTGAATATATTTTCTTGTTTTGTTTGTTTGTTTATATTATTTTTCAATGTTGGCGTCTCTTAAGCTTCGACAACAGCTGTTGTTTACCAACGACTTTAGCATTAACATTTGCTGTTATCAATATCGAGCTGCCGTTACTCGCCTATCGGTTTTGAAATCAGTGTAGAAATGAAAGGTTAATTGGTACTCTGCTATTATTTTCATTTGCAATTTGGTCCTCTATGTCTTGACTTGTAGTTAGATAAGGTATTATGTGGTTCCATGGTGACAAAGTGTAAATTTTAATATATTTTCTCGCTAGTAAATAATAACAGACCAGTGCTGTAGAATATGCAAAATATCGCAAACTTTAAAAACTGCATTTAATGACACGAATGGCGCAAATTATCGCAAACTTAATGTATACTTATCGAATGTAACTAAGATACATCGATGTATCGATAAAATGCAACATTCCCAGACGCAACACAACTCTGCTGTTCTAACCTCAAAGTGGCTAACAAACAAAAGTTGCCTCAATAATAAATATATTTTGTTTTGCCATTGAATACATTTGTTATTAATAACAGTGAACCGATAATGATGTGTTCGCGCTCGAAACACTTGCAATAGTAAATCGAAACAAAGCAACAAAACGTCCATTAAAGTCAAACTGCAGTAAAATCAGCAGCAGCACCGAGGCAACATAAATACAAATACACAAAAAAGAACACACAAATAAATAAATAGAAATGTGAAAAAGCAGCAGCAACATAATAAACAACGACTAAAACCAGTGTTAAGTGTAAAGCAATGCGTTAGTTAGTCGAAAACACATTGCATTTCAGTTCTGTTATGTTGTATGCGCAACTTGAATGAAAAATGCTGTAAATTACGATTTTCACTGCGTTCTCTCTGGCCGAGAGTTGCCAGAGGAGTTGCTCTAACTACTCCAACTCCTACTCCTGCCACCTTGAAACACACGCATACGCATACACAATATAGCAATGTGCAGCACAGTGATTTAAGTAAATCTATCTACGTCCGCACGGATCTTCTGAATGCTGGAGAGAAATGCACTCGCAAGACAATCGCAACAAATAACCACCAAACAACAACAAATAATCAGAGTTCGCGTCCGCGCTGCTACTGCTGCTGCTGCACCCACATCAATATATATATATATATATATATATATATATTACCGGCGACTGCAACTGCAACTGCAACAGAAACTGCTGTCGTCATAATTAGCCTTGTTTAGCATTTAATTTTTGGTCGTTTGCCGTCGTCGTGCCTCACACACTCTCTTGTTACATTCTTTTCGTTGTTTACGTTTACGCTTGTTGAATTTCTTTTTACCGTCGTGCAATTTCCTGAAGAAGCCCATTTACATTGCTACTAGTTACAAATTCTTCATCGTTGAGCATTTATAATCAAAATGAAAACTTCCTCGTCGTATTTGCCATCTATATCATCATTATTATCGAAATCACGTCCAGCCACAACAGCAACTACAGCAACAATTCAATTGCACCCGTCCAAACCCAAACTCGTCACCACCATCAACGCAGCTGCTACGCACGAGGACCACACACTGTCAACCGCATTAATTGAAACAAATGGAATTACAGCAATTTGAAGGTGCGTTCGTCGGTTTTTTTTTCTCTTAACAAAATTCAATTTAATAATAATCATAATTTGCTTTTTTCTAAATTTAGTTAGTTGTACATAATAAATTGGCAAGGATGTTATTGAATTGAAGTCTATATTTAAACAGCGTACGATTTCTGCAATGTTTCCACATACATGCTAAGATATATCGATATCAATTACAATCGAAGGCAATCTTGCTGCATTAAAATACCTAAATCTGTATCCATAGATTTGAAATCAGATAATATACATTTTAGGAGTTCTTCTACTATTGTCTGCACTGCAGATCTTTAAAATTTCGCAACATTATTTAAATATTGTTGATATATGAAAACTCTTGTTAGTGTTAAAGAATAGCATTTTATCTTTAAGTTTTTTTTTTTTTAAATATTAATTTTTTTCTGTACATATAACATTAACAATTGGGATAGAGAAAGTACATAGCTTAGAAATTGTTAAGACCTTTTATACTCTTAAAGGATATATTAAATTTTCCATTCTGTAATTAAATTAAGCAAGGAAGAACAGCTAACTTATACATAACTTAACATACTCTTTCAGACCGAAGTCATCAGTTTATATCTAAATTTCATGATAGAAACAGAATATGTTCTATGTTCTTCAAAAATGTTAAGAAACACATAAGCAGTTCATTTAGTCAGAATAACTTGATAATTAAAAACACGTCTTCTAGCCGATAGTTTTTATGGGTGTTATGTATGTGATATAATGAGCCGATTCTGTTTTATGGTAACTATGGGAGCTGTCTATATAATATAGTAATCCGATGCTGTTTTATGTGAGCGAACTAATGATGGACACTGCATAAAACACCTAACTAAATTCGTTTTAAAAAGCTTTATTTTTATATTTTTGTCATGAATTCGCGACCGCTAATATAATAAAATATCATTCTCCAAGGGAAGCTCAATATTCAATTTTACATTCGCTTTTGAAAAGCATTTCAATAAATTTGATTTTTCTCAGAAATTCAATAAAAATCTGTGTCCTGAATTCAATTACGCGTAGGCCAAAAGAATTCGTGTGAAAAATATTTGTAGTTTTCACCCTTTTGGGAAATAAGCTGCCGTGTTGAAAGCAAACCACATTTTAAGGGTTATTGAATTTGATGTGCACTGAAAAAGGAAAATCATATCAGGGAGATTACATTTTATTGCTTTCTACGATTGATACACATATGCAGATACTTAAATATTTTCAGTTAAACGCAAATAATTGAAAAGCGTGCTTCAGATAATACGATTTTCTTAAATTAGCTTAGCTAGTTAAAATTTTTGACTTTTCGCTTATCTACTTTTAAATACGGATGTGAGCAGCGGAAAGATTTCCTCTTACCAAGTGCAACAGGTGTAATATATTCATATGTATCTAACGCATTGATGAACGAAATTCCAATTTTATAAATTATATAAGACCTGGAGCGAAACGACCGAAAACTGAATCAAAACATTGATTACAAATATTTTACATTAATTTCATTCGACACTTAATGATATGAAATAACTCCAGCTAGAAATTTCATAAAGTTTAATTCATGTACAATTGTAAAACCAAAATGAAACACCTGCCTTTCAACACAAAATGTGTATAGAAAACAAGTAAACTTGCATATCCTTTAGACCGGAGTTAACCTGCCGACAAGTAAATTTTAGTCTCAAGTTCGAGATATTAATTTTATGATGATTTTTGTTACTGTTTTACGTATTGCTGCAAACTCAATATATTTTGTCAGACATGGATGTGAGGTGACATAAATGTTTACGACTATTTCGATCATATAACTTATAGCACACCATTTGCCATATTATTCTTACGTGAAATATATGATCAATTAGTCCGATAGTTTCTCTCAGAGTCACTAAGTGTCCTTGGCTAAAAGCCAAATATATACCAATTTTCATCAAGATCTGGACAGACGTAGTCGGCTAAAGATGCTGATAAATAATGCTTTACTTCGATCGATATTAAAATAAATAAGATAGAAAAACTTCCTTATTATAAAAACTTTATTTGTTATAGATATAATTACACCAGAATTACGCACCATATTATACTAGAATTTCATCATTATATCAGTTAAAATTCATTGTTAAATCTATTCTTTTTATCATTTTAGAAAGTACAGTGTTTGGAATCCCGAGATATCTTTCATATTCACGCAATCTTAATGCAAATTACACATGTAAGTATTTTGGTTCTCTCTATGTCTGCTTTTATTTATATAAACTAAGTATAGATGTATTTTAGAAGTATTTAATTGTGTATGTTATAATTAACTTTAGTTAAACAAGTTTCCAAAAATTGTTAACATTATTTTCTTTGATTTATTAAAATGCAGTAAGTCTAAATTTAAATAGTTTACATTTATTATCAAATATAGAAATTAAACAGTTATCTTTAGCACGTCATTTGAAAAACTGTCGGACAGTTTCCATGTAAGCACCATATGGTAGTCCATTGGTGAGTTTGGCTAAGTAAAATTATTAATGCAATAACTCAAATGCCGCCCAATGGCAGCTATATGATGTGATCCGATTCGGTTGACTTCCCCTTATACATTTACAGATTTCCTTCATGCTGCAAAATCCCCAATATATTGTCAAAGTTCAATCAAATTATCTTCAGAACTGACAGACTAGTTTTCACATAGACAGAGCAAAATAGAGACAGATAAATAAAAATTACTATATTAATACGGCTATTGATCTTAACCATTATTATAAATAACATAAAAATATAATAAAATTAACATATAGTTGTTATAAATTCTACAACATTTATATGTAAATTAAATATATAATAATGGAAAGGAATAGGCTTATTGACAGGACAATGTAGACTAAGAAGTCATCTATCTAAACTGGGTATTAGTAGCGAACTATGAAGGAATTTTTTTTACACGAGGAAGAGTCTTCAAGGCACATCCTAGCAGATTGTGATAGGAAAAGATGTAATATCCTGGGGTTACATGCTCTGAGCTTAGAAGACCCGAAAAAGATTCTAGCATTCGTGCACGAGTTGAGGTAGATGGAAGAGCTGTTGGCTCAGAAAGGGCCACAATAGATCTGGTGGCTCGCAGTGTATGAATTCAAATAATAATAATAAATATATAATCTTCAAATTGCATCGTATTTTGGTTTAAAGTCTTTCCTATTTAGTACTAAATACAAATTCATAACGATGGCCGCTGATTTGAGTGTAAATTAAAAATGTCTGCCAATAAAAGCCAATTAAATGAGTGCAACCATACAAAAAACATCTGTAAATTAAGAAGCACAAAACTACTTGTTATATTTTCAAAAACTATTTGAGTGTTTTTTCTTACAATATATTATTCCAAATTCCAAATACATATTAAGGTAGCTTCGGAAGTAAGTAGTGTAAGTACGAGCTAACTAATAAGCTGAGAGATAATAGTGGCTACTGAAGTCATCCATTAGCTCAATTTCTTGTTTTCAGAAGAGTTAAACACTTGGTCGCCCTGGAAACCTTCATAAATATACAATATTTACTAATTTAAAGGATTTCACTTGTAGATATTCTGAAAGAATATCATATCTTATGCCTAACTATTTTTGTTAAAGTTTTTTGATATTTACACGTGCGTTTTGCTCAAGTAAAGTTTTGCCGTTGACTTTGTGAAAACAGGAAGCATCACGAAGGTCAATTGGTGTGTAGGCATTACGAACTGTGTTATTTTTTTTCCCCCAGTTTTCCTAGTCTAGACTTGAATCAGACTCAACATTCAGCGCAATGGCGGTCGTCGGCAATTTGCCTTTAACCTCATTAGAAACAAAACGGCACCGACACACCGACAACTGACTGCAAATTACAACCAACCCCATCCGCCAATCCCCTTTTATTCACAGAACGCACTCATTGCTTTTCAACTTATTGGAAAATAATTTTCATACTTGTTTTGAGTTTCTAGTTGTTTGGGGGAGGATTATAAAAATACTATGTATGACAATGGGTGGGGAGGGTGCAAAAATTCAACCCTCACCCGTTCATACGATTTCTTCTTGTTGTTGTTGTTCTAGTTGTACATGGACCGTTCGAATTGTATAATACTAGTCTCCTTTGGGTTATTTTTTCTTCTTATTTTTTTTGCTTTTGCTTTTGCTTTATATACGCAGCAGCGGCTCTGGACCTGCGCATATTGGTTGTACACACAATGATTTCTATTCCGTATTGCCATCTCTTTTGCGCCGCACAAAGGGCCGTGCCGCAACCACTGACACTTTGAAAAGAACATCCTTTGTAAGTGTTGTTGTTGTTCTTGTTGTTGTTGCTGTTGTTGCTGTTGTAGTTGTACATGAAGCATCATTATGCTGGGCAGTCAGCTTTGGGGGCGGAGTAGGCGTTAGGGGGAGCAACTCTTCAGTTTGGCTCTGGTTAGCTTTTGGTTGAGTCATCCAACACTGATTGGGATTTGAAGTGCTCGAGTTTTTGCCATTTACAATCATCTAATAATCCTCGACGTAACGCAAAACGGTGCAGTTTACCAGAAATAAAATAATAAAAAGCGCACATGCAACAATTGTGCCCTAAACAACCACAACAGCTCTTAGCCCTTAGCTCTAAGCGCCCAAATGGGCAACCCCCAAAAAAAACAGTGATTATATACATGGTTTTTTATATACCAACACACACAAACACACACAGTCGCAGGCTCGTTTGCAGTGACAGGGTGTGTTTGGCAGTTAGCGTTCTACATATATATAAATATATATGTATATATCTGTGTATATGCTGCTTAAAATCTGGCTTGGATGCTGCTGTCATCGGCTGACGAGATTCAGTTTGACTCTTTAGCTTTGTGCCGTTGCTTTCTTTGCCGCTTGCTTTTGTCAGTCAGTCGCGTGTTCAACAACAAGTTTGTCAACAGTTTGTCAAGATTATAGTTGTCGAGGCGCCGCCACCTAAATATCCAGTGTGTCATCAAGCCATTGTTAATGCATCTCACGCAAGTGTCACTTGCTGCCAGGACGAGTGCTTCACCAGAATCACCTCAGACCTGAATCTCAACCAGTTCAAGACGGCTGTAAGTATTCCATGCCAAGATCGCAATTATCAAGTAGCGTTCTGCATCGTTTTCTTTCTTTTTTTATTTTCATCATCGTTGCTCAATAGACCTGTCAATCATATGAAATCATAATATGTTGGTAAGGAGCATTTATCCTGTGAACCGTACAAAATGTAATTGGGATAATGAAATCGCTCATCTGCGTCTCGTCGAGGGGATTTCTGTGCTGTTGCATTGCCCCGAGGTGTATTGTTAGTGAATGCCATTCAACCGGCTGGAACTAAGATACAAAAGAAATCGTTGCCACAATAAGTTCACATTCATTTTTATATCTTAAAACTATTTAATAAAATGAGTTGGTTCTCAAGTGTGCCTCCTTTTTTTGGCTTGCTCTTGCTTCAATAAATTCGCTTTTCAATTTATTTTCAATTTGTTATATAGTTGTATAAATATGTAGATAGTTTTTAATAGTACCTAAATTTTTCTTCAAAATTATTGAAGAGCACAAAGTTTCTAAATTTATTCCTTAAACTTGGTTAATAAGTATTATTGTAAACTAGATCTGTTAGTGCCAAAGGAGGGTTATTATTATTATTATTATTATTTTTGTTATTATTATTATTATTTTAGTGGTAAAGCAGAAAACAATAGAATTTCATCCGTTAAGGAAACTTGAGAAACTTTTATTTTTTGCGGGCCACTAAATCATTTAGCTGAGTGAGGAATAATCAATCGAAAGATGGATTATATAAATAACATTTTGGTTAACTAAAAAAGTATAGATCAAACTCAGACGTTACGCATGCTATTATTTTTCGAACATTCTGACAAAAACTTATCAATATAAAACTGTACTAAGATTAATATAGGAACAATCTGTCGAAGATATATCTTGTATGAGTTGCACTTCATTGCAAAAACTCAAAGAGGGATTAGAAAGTTAAAATGAAATTAGATATGAGTATTGGAAATCTGATCTTCAAGGTTAAACACGTCAAATTTAATACTTTAATACATTTTTCAACCTTTCCCTTTTGTGAAATTCCTTACAATCAAATTAACTCATAAATTATTATTTACTACTTGACGATTGGCGGCGGCTCAACACATTTGAAGCTAGCTCTTGAATAAAGCAACAGTCACTCTGACGTATGCTCGACTGGGAGCCGAACAGTGTTATTAAACTAGTTGCTCTAATTTGCATTTAAACACACTACTACTAATACCCTAATACCTAATGTTAATGTTATCTTCGATTCTTCGCCTCTCTTTTTGAAATTAGTTTTTTGGTCTAATTTATGTCCACGCCCGTCGGTTTCCGTGAAATCAGTCGAGCCGAACTTATTTAAGTTGTTGGCTGAATTCCCAAGTTCTTTCTTATTCTATTTCCATATAGCCACGAAAACTATTAAAAAAAAAACACCACAATACGCCCTCGTTACATGCAACATCAAAACTCTCTTCAAACTTTAGACTCTCATTGTAACAACGTGAAGACAAAAATGTATTATTATTGCCAACAGAAAATGAATTTCAAAAGATGAAATAATTTCTCTAAGTACGATTATTAATTCGATTCACTTTAATAGTTATTGTTAATATGCAAACAAGAAATAAATGCTATCTTTGACACACCGAAGATATTGATATCCTTGCAGATCGAAGTCAATCAGCCAACATTTAAAATCTTGGCCCAAAGCTTGACATACTATTATGTTTTTGTACATTTCAAATAAATTTAATTTATTATTTCACATGTATGAGTATTGCATCTACAGTGTCTCAGACCCTATTTCGACCAGTGTCTAGCATAAAATTGAAAGTGCTATAAAGATTAAGCAAGGAAACAAACGCAAAATGTTTAAATGCCAATTTGTTTCATGTTGTATCAGGTGTGAAAAAGAAACTTTAATTTATTTTTTTAATATTAATTAATTAAAATTAGTCAAAAACTGAAAAGATGTCCAAAATAAATGTCAAAACTTATTTCGAACAGTCTTAAAAAAGTAACATTTTTGCCGTATAAAAGCTTAAATAAGGATGTTAACTCTTACTACAATATCCTTTACCCTTAACAACTTCCCTTAAACTATTATTCAAGGAAGATACCAGATAGTAGTAGTTTCTGGGCTGATTTTGCTCCACTTATCCAGCAGAGCATTTTTGATATCGGATCTGTGATTTCGGATGTTATTTTCCAGCAGAGCCCACAAATTTTCAATAAAATTTAAATCTGGACACTGGGCCGGTGGAATTATCATCGGTCTTTGGAATTTTTTTTAAAATAATGTATAATTAATTAAAATTTTTGCGAGACACTGGCCGAAATAAGGTATGTACGTCTATCTCGAGACCACACAGCATAAAATTCATCATTAGACTGATTGTTCCTATGGCTGCTGTATGATATAGTTGTCTTGTCTGGTCGGCTCACAAAAATAGACGGATATATGCAAAGTTTAAAAATTGTAATACTGTTCAAAATTGTACAAAAAGTCATCAGTTTTTGACAGTTGGTCAGTAGAAAATTTCAGCTCGTTATCCGCAATGGTTCCGATTTAAATGGGTTGCGTTGAGCGAGAACGCGAACGAATTCTAATTACAAATATATCATTTTTAAAAACTCTTTATTTGCACTAAAAAAAAAGGCAACTCATCTAATGCAATATTGTAAATTGCTTTTTAATCGCACTAAACACTAAGCCAAATCCAAATCCACTCTTTGCCATTGAGCATTGTATACAAAGTAAATCTTTCTTAGTCGGTGCCTTTTTCATTTGCTGCATCCTTGTTGCGCTGCTGTGCACTACAAGCAGCTATTATGTCCTTAAAAAGGCAGCAGGCAGATCTTTGATGTTGGCTAAGGATTCAGTTGCGCCAACCATGCATCCTTGAAGCAGACTTCGCGCATTTTCAATAGTTTTTTTTTTGCCTTTGCCGTTGCCTTTGCCATTGCCTTTTGCTTTTGGGCTTTAGTTTAAATGTGGCTTGGTTTTTCGCCCCACAAGGAGGCCTTCAAGTGGCCACTGGCGCATTTTTAGATGTATGTGTGTGTGTGTGTGTCATCCAATTTAGGGTCTCGCTCTGACTGAGGCTGGGCACTGTCTCTTGTCTCTCTGTCGCTGCTCGAACGCTATGCGCTGAGCGTTTTAATTGTGCCTTTTCTTTGTTCTTTTGGGCTGTAATGGAGTGCTATGCAAATGGCGTTTTGATGAGTTTCCTTGGCTCTGGCGCTCTCTTTGTTGTCGCAGCAGACGTTCATCCCCCTTGTATAACACTAAATATATATATATGTACATGTGTATATATATATGTGTGTGTGTGTGTTGGCTGGGAAGGGCTGCTGCTGCTGCTGCTGCTGCTGCTGCTGCTACTGCTGCTGCTACTGCTGCTGCTACTGCTGTTGCTGCTGTTTTCATCCTTTGTTGTCGTTGTCGTTGCTGTTGTTGTTGTTGTTGCTGCTGTTGTTGTCATTGCTCTGTTGTTGGCGGCGACAGTGCTCTTATGTAGTTGTACGTACCAGTCGTTGTTGCTTTGACTGCTGCGGCAAAAGCGAAAAGCGAACACACACACACACAAAAAAAAGAAGCAAAATTGTTGATTTTCATGCGCGTCAGACAGAAGCAGAGCCATCACCACCACCACTACCACCACCATCTCTGTATATGTGTGTGTGCGTTCCATTTTCAAAATTTCGTACATCACGGATTATTGTCCTTCCCTTTGGCATGGGCGATGTGCCCTGGAATATTGTATTGGTCGATAACATGAACCAATCAAAAACGCTCTCAAAATGGCCGCCATTCAATTGCAGCAATATCAAATTATACATAACTAAATGCCATATGCTCTTGCCTCGGGCCATGCCCAACTTAACTTCTTATCAATTTGCTTCTTTATGTAGAGCAGTTGCAGTGCCACAATTGCATGCCACATCAGATATTTATGCTTTTCTATTGCAGCACTCAGTTTCAACTTTTCCATTTGTACAAATTAGTTGCAACTTGTTAAAGCACAACTTATCTTTGACAGTTTTTGCGGAACTGATTCTTTTGTCTGTTGTATAAAGTTTTAACTTTTGGCTAGGATATAGATCTCTATATTTTAAAATTAAATAAGTACTTTTATATGAATCGCTAATAATATTTTTTTTTATATTTTTGTATTTTTTTTTCGAAATATTAAATATATTTGTATTTTTCACCACTCTTTGTCTTATTGACTGTGTGCCTTGGTATTTTATACAATGAAAAAATGTTTTTAAATGCAGTTCTAAAATTCGTTGTTTAAATAATCTAACAACTGTTGAACATCGAATTATTTTAGTTATAAAATGTGACTATTCAAGTTATTTAAACGGATCAAGATCGTCAATTTATCTAAACACTTCTTTACTCAATTTAATTGCTTCGAAATAAAACTAAATTCACAAAAAGCAAATAAATTCTGCACATATTTCAGGTTAATAAATGATAATATGTAAATATATAAAAAAATATATTATTTAATAACAACAAGTTTTAGATTTAGAAATTGATTTAAAAGGGGACGATTCAGATTACATATTCTTTGTTGGGAATTAAGAGTAGTAGTTGGACAAGTATTTTTAACTTGAGTTGCGGAAGTTTGTTGTTTGAAGAATATATTTTCCATATTACATTAAATATATAAGATGTACGATATAACAACAACTTTATGCATTGTATTAAGTGCCATAAAAATCATATTTAATTGAATATTTCTCTACTGTTATACATTTGTATAAATTGTAGATAATAATTAATAATTTATACTCTAATTATAATTTAATTATACTCTAATTATTAATATGAACACATATGCATATGTATATGCAGATCTGTATAATAAATTAGCTTGTTGTTCATTTTCTATATTTAAACGTTATTTTTTTTTGTTGCCATTTTCTTTTCAGGCCTTGTCTAACTGCCTTCCAAATTCGCAAACGAAATACACACACCAAGAGCATCTTCCATATCCCAAATATTTTTTAAAAATATCTGGTGTTTGTGATTTGTTAAAACGTTTGATTGTCTTAACTTAAGCATAGCAATAGATTAAATATTTAGCACGAGCACGAGAGCTTTGACACGGTTGGTGGAGTCATTGTGTGCAACTTTTGTGTTGGCCGCAGTAGGAAAGAAGCGGGCGCATTTAGAGTGGCATGAGCCATCCGTTGGGACTCCGGAAACATGATGATAATGAGTGTAGTGGGCCACGACCACCTGTACCCGGAGAAGAGAGCCGAGTTAAAAAGGTAAATTAAAATGAAATCCAAATTTGGTATTCAATCATGTCATATCAACATTGATATGCTGCAGATGACCGAAGGGGTGATAGATACCTTAAAGAACTCACCTCCATCATATCTGAACTGGGCCCGCACGCTAAATCATCTGCTTGAGGATCGCGATGGGGTGGAGTTGTTCAAGAAGTATGTTGAGGAGGAGGCGCCCGCCTACAATGATCATCTCAATTTCTACTTTGCCTGCGAGGGTCTGAAGCAACAGACAGATCCCGAGAAGGTCAAGCAAATAATTGGAGCCATATACAGGTAATCTACAAGTCTATCCACAAAATTTGTTCCAATAATCCAATCATTCAATAATCAATTAACTTTGCTTTATTCGCAGATTCTTGCGCAAAAGCCAACTGTCCATTTCTGATGATTTGCGCACACAAATAAAAGCCATCAAGTCAAATGAGATTCCGCTCAGTCCGCACATTTATGATCCGATGCAGCAGCATGTGGAGGCCACCATACGCGACAACATCTATCCGAGCTTCCTCTGTTCCGAGATGTACATACAGTACATACAGCAAATGTCTGCGGTGCAGGAGCGTTGCAGCAGTAGCGGCGCCACTGCATCGGGCAGCGCCGGCAGCAGTGGCAGCGGCGGCAGTTGTGGCAGCAACAATGGCAGCACTGCCGGCGCCTGTGCTCTGCCGACGGCAACCACCAAACAACTGCTCGCAACATCTGGCAGCAGTGGACCAATTCCGCCCGGTGTCTTCATCAATTTGCCAATGAATAGCGGTGCGGTGATGCCAGCTGGCACATGTAGTGCCAGCGGCAGTGTTTACGGTCCATCAACGTCAGCCAGCTCCAGTGGGTCGATCAGTGCCACAGACACGCTGCCACGCAGCTCCACACTACCCACGCTGCACGAGGACTCGGAGCTGTCGCTCTGCGATGATTTCGAGAAGGTGCAAGTCGAGGGTGGCTCGGCGCGTCCGCATATCGATTTACCCATGCGACTGACGCGCGATCTATTGATAGCAACTCAAAAAAGAAGACTGGAAATCCGACCACCCGGGTGAGTAACTTGAAAACTTGAAGGGATTGCCAACCCTTGTTGCACAATTTTTGATTCTCTTTAATAGATTAGTTCAAAATCCTGCATATTTTCAAACACTCGTTTGATGCATGTTCACAAAACGACTTAGACCCATTGTGAATAGATTTGTTTTCAATATTTTTATTCCTTTTTCATGTTCAAATATTATATTCGTCTTGAGAGACTTACTTGGTTCAATAGATATAGAAATAGCAGCCTAAACAAAGTTTTTCGAAGTGTTTTAATAGAGATTTAACTTTAAAATTTTATTTTCCGTTGATATATTTTTGGTAAATTCGCATAATACAATTAATACAATTTTGTATATGTTTATGCAAGATTATTGAATGAAAGATGTATATTTATAATCATTTTAAAAACATTTTTAATTTAAAGTAAATAACACTTTTCATTAGCATGCAAATTGCAATTACTTAATTACATATATTTTATTTGTTAATAAACAAGAGTTCAGTTTAATCACTGTTCTAAACTCCGTTGGTATTTATAAATTCACCAGTTGAAAGAGAAATGATGCAAGTATATAAGATATTTTCAAACAATTATTTAGAATACAATTCTTACAGTTTATATTATTTTAATAAAATCGTAAACTGTAATTTAGGCCTAAGCTAGCCTAAGTGTTATTTAATCAAAGATTTCATTCTGTTCTTAATTATGTACATATTTATTTATGAATTGTGTTAATTTGCTTAATTTGATTTCTTTTTATTTACATATACCCTTAAACACACATATTGAACGATCACAAATCGCACGTACGCACGCACCCACCTACAACAAACAACAACACAACCATGAAATGTGACATCCATCTGCATACATATTTACAACAACAACAACAACAATAAAACAACCACAACCACAACACGGATTTACAAACATCGATTTATTCGTTTATTCTAACTATTATTTATGTATATTTTTGATTTCTGGACCAACACACAATTTGTTCTGTACATAAACCAAACCAAACCAAAAAAAAAAAAAACAAAAAAACCAATTACCAAATACCAATTTTGCCGCATTGCATGGATGAAACAAATAATGTTGTTGCCTGCCTGCCCCCATTTAAAATATGTGCATGCGTATGCGAATAGAGCTCACGGTTATGTGTACACTGCGAGCACAAATACATCCTTTATACCGAACTCACGCGTTGATTCGGAGAGGGCGAGCGTAAGCTCCGGCGGCCGCACCGACTCCGATACAATGTCACTCTCCAGCTGCTCAATGTAAGTAGTTCTACACTGCGTCCACCGCTTGAGATAGAATTTGACATTTGGCTGTCGTTGTCATAGTTTCTAATTCATTGACAAAATCTATATATTTATTATGTGTGTTTTGTTTTTCAGGGATGGCCGCCCGTATATAGATCGCAGACACAGCTCCACGGAAAACAAGGCCATACGCCAGAGTGCCATGGCCAACAAGGAAACGAACTCCTTTCAGGTAGGCCAAAGAAAAAATCAATGAATTTAATTATTATTAAAAATGGTGTTGTTTTGCTTGCGATCTTAGGTTATACCCCGCACGCAACGATTACATTCAAACGAGCACAGACCGCTGAAGGAAAATGAGCTTTTGGCCCTGCTGATACCCAAACTGGAGGAGGTGAAGCGCAAGCGTGATTTAGAAGAACGTGCCCGCTTTGAGGTAAATAACTTGAACAACATGGATTTCTTATGTATTTCCCACTTGTAAACTTAATTTATTTATTTCTGTATAGCGTATGCCGAGCGCTTCGCTGCCGAACAACGAAAGATCCAGTGCCAGTGATCGAGCATTTGCCGAGGCGATACGGGAAAAGTTTGCACTCGATGAAGACAACGACCAAGACATACTGGACCAGCATGTGTCGCGTGTGTGGAAAGATCAAACGCCACATCGCTCACCTGGCACAATGTCACCTTGCCCGCCTATACCATCGAGAAGACGCACTGCAACACATGACTCGGGCATGGTCAGTGATGGTGCCATGAGCTTGAGTAAGTTAACTATCATTCAATCAATCAATCAATCAAGTGCTTCACATTGTATATATCAATTGTCCAACCAGGTGGTCACTCAATGAAGCACTCAAAGTCAATGCCCGATCCCAGTTCCTGCTCTAGGAAGCTAACAAATAAATGGCCTTCAATGAACACAGACAGTGGCATCAGCATGTTCTCATCTGATACTGTTATGAAATACAAAGAAACCAGGTAAACAAATTAAACAAATTGAATTAATTGATTTATATTAATATATATGATAAGCAGCTCCCGCTCTGGTTCAAGCACGGCCTCAAAATTGGAGGAAGCAAAACGAAGACTGGAAGACGAGCCGCGTCGCACTCGTCGATATGCCCAACCGCAACTACAACCCCACATGGTGGCTATGCAGCAGCAGCAGCCGCTATCTTCCTTCAGTAGTAGCAGCAGCGGCAGCAGCACCCTGCATCATCAGGTCGTGGTGGGCCCACCGCCGCTGCCGATCAAGCCGCCGGAAACAGTTGTGGTGTTTTCATTCTGCGAAGAGCCAGTTCCTTACAGAATTAAAATACCCGGTACTCAGCCGACCCTGCGCCAATTCAAGGACTATCTGCCACGAAGGGGTCACTTTAGGTAAGCAGATTAACTTCGATTTGATCTATTTTGAAATGATTTTCATTTTGGTATGCGCACAAATTTTGCAGATTCTTTTTTAAGACGCATTGTGAGGACCCGGACAGTCCAGTGATTCAGGAAGAGATTGTTAACGACTCCGACATACTGCCGTTGTTCGGAGACAAAGCGATGGGTCTTGTCAAACCATCCGATTAATCTTAAGGATAACGTGTAGATTTTCTATTAAGTTAAATTATGAATTGAGGGGGGTCACGATAATGGAGTATGTCTGTATGTTGAGAATACAACTCAAAAGAAGCTATTCCCAGAAATCAAAACTTAAATAGAACTAACTGTACATTCAATAGGCTTTTGCAAGCATCACAAACTATTGTACGGGGTCGGGGACGGGAGCGACAGGATATGGGTATGAGGTAGAGTTAGATAGGGGTAGGGATAGTGCGTTTAGGAGGAGCAATGTGTTTCATAATTTCGTCCTTAACATCTGGAGGTATTTTTTTAAATACACACACACATATACATGCATATGAAATGACAAACCCTTATAAATTAACACCGAGGACAACGTTAAATCTATATGCGATTATGCATGTATGTACATATATGTAATATAAATCGTACATATACGTATATGTATTTATTGTAGTTTGTATCTTTTACCATATAAACTCAACGAAATGCAAGGAGAGAAACAACAACAAAAACAAAAGCAAAAAAAAAAAAAACGTTAATCTGAATTTCGTTTCAAAAACACACTTTGTATATCCCGAACCATTTTGTCGGCTCTAAATCACGAAATATATATAAAATGAAAAAGGAAAACAAAAAACCAATAGAGATTATTGAGCACAGCACAAAATAAGTAAAAAAAAAATATTTAATTGAAAAGTTTTGATGGGTATTCCTAAATTCGGATTTGTTTGTTACTTTTTACTAACTATGGACTGCCTGCAATAAATTTTGTTAATATTTTTATAATGTGCATTTTATGATATGATGATATTAACAAAGTTCTATTCAACTCGACAAAAAATCAAAATATAATCTGTTTTATTTTTGTATAATCTATTATACTCGACGTATAGAAGAAGTATGTACATTTGAATTTATGTATTTATATACAAATATACATACAAATATGTATTGTGCTTTTGTCTATTATATATGTATTTAACATTGGACAACATTTCTTTTTATAAACGATGAGTGCTAATTGCTCCAATAGTTGCATAATTGCTTAACACATTAATTGATTAGTTCTATTTTCATAAGTTACAAGAAAACACAAAAAAAAAAAACAAAACATACAAAATACATATTTTTTTAAGAAACTGAGAATAACCGCAGAAATATGAAATTAATGAATATACATTTACCATAGTAAAAACCATATTTTATTTGTGAGCAAAATGCATGTAGATTTAATAAAAACAACAACAAAAAAAAAAACAAAGTACAGAAATTGACATGTAAATCGATTTTTATTTGAAGTACATAAATTTCAGAAGACTGATAACTGCCACAGCAACTGGCATTTTGAAAAACGTACGAAATATTAGTATTTATGTACAATCGTCACGCTCAAATCCAATGCCAATGGGATGGATGCATCCAGAATGTGTGCTAAACAGGCGTACAATCATTGCGCTCGCAATGGGTTAAGTAGTTCTGTTCGTTAATGAATGTGTGGGTGCATTTGGGGCAGTGGAAGCGTCGATGTCGATTGCTGCCGGGATTCTCGTGCTCCCGGAGATGTGCCTTCATGTTGTACATTTGAGAGAATCGCTTGTTGCATACCGGACAGGCAAAGGGTTTGGCGCCCGTATGCGATCTTGTGTGCCTTTCCAAATGGGCTTTTGTCCTTGTCTTAAAACCACACACCTGACACTCCAGACGCTTTGAATCGGTGTCATGGATCATTTTGTGCTTGTACAGCGCCACCTTATGCACAAAACGTTTTGAGCACACCTCGCACTGATACGGCGTCTCACCCGTGTGCCATGCCATATGGTGTTTCAGCCGAAACTTGCGGCTAAACCGCTCACCACAATGCGGGCACTCGAACTGTTTAACTGGCTCGTGATTCTGGAGGTGGCCAATGAAGCCGGAATACGATTGCAGTGTTTTGCCGCACTGATCGCAGACGTAGCCGGGGAAATGTTCGCGCTTTGTATGCGCATTGTATGAGCGACGACTGCTGAACTGTTCCGGACAGCTCGGACACTGGATGTTTACCGTATAGTCGCCAGAGCTGTCTTGATCCTCGGCATCGGAGATTAGGTATTCTATGGTGCCATTAATTTGGTCTTCAAAATCGCTTAGGACATCCTTATCTTCTTCCTTAAACATTTCAAGCTCATCCACCGTTTGCTTGACATCATCTTCATCATCGTCATCCTCATCCATATCCGCTTCGGGTACCTCTTCATTAATAATTATCTCGTTCTCAATATCTAATTCTAAGCCAACTGTCTGAAATTCCTCAACTTCCTCGCAATCGGAGTTATTCTTTTCAATAAAATCATGTTCGGTTTCCAGTTCCGCTTCCGTTTGTACTACAACCGTTTGATCTAAAATTGTCGCCTTGCTTTGCTGTTCTCCTAAATCGGATCCTTCATCCAAATCGGCAGCTTCCACGGTTTCGACCATTTCGACGCTGACGCTGCTGCCATCGAATTTGTCGACGTCGTCAATTTTGTGGTCATTCCGTGAGATTGTCGTCTTGAAGTCTTTTATAATGAATGGACTGCGTATTAATTCCAGTATCTCCTGGCGCAGCTTGCGGGCGATTTGTATAGATTTGTGGTATCGTAATAATTTCTCGCAGCATTTCTTGCAAATTGTCGAGCCAACCTCGCCAAGCACATAGCTGGTGCCCTTGGTGCACTGCAGCACCAAATCACTGATCAATATGGGTGGCTTTCCGATAGTCTCCTCGTGTATATTTCTGGGATTGCGCACAGAAAACTGGCAAATGCAACAATTCATTTTCAGATCTAATATATTTTAACAAAATATTAATACATTCAGTTCTGCTTGCCGAGAAACATCGTTGCCCAATACTAGTTGTCAGTGTGGGAAATGCTTGAAAATGCACCGATATTTTACAGCGTTTCCACTGCGACCGATAGTAAATAAATAAAAACTATCGCTCTGCCCCATTTATGAAATTTGTACTGACTGTATTTGTATTATACAATACCCAATAAAATTGATAACAGAAAGACATGTTATATTTCTATTGGATTTATTAATAATTTCATAATGCCAATGCATTTCTTTTAAAATAAGACCGAAATGGCTTTAGCGATTACTTTCTTACAGATATTTTGTATTTGCCGTATTTCTTTGACGATTTCAATATGTCTTTAGTTCTATAGTGATCTGCTCTTCCAAAGGTCTAGAAAAATAAAATACAAAACATTGCCAATTTACCGTGGTCAATACATTTTTACTTACCTTGCATTTACCATATATTTTTATTTTACGACTGTCACTATTGATGTTCATCATACCACCGCCCAGAGCCCGCGTACAAAGTCCCAGTTTCTGCATTTCGGAGCGAATGCGATCGTATAAGTTAACTATGAATATGGATAAATTAAATACAACTGTCAACTAGATAATCCAGTTTATAAACTGACGATGTCGTTTTGCCTTTCGACCACGCACGATAGTCCTTGCGAATAGGCTTTCACCATGAATGTAGATCGAGATCAACAGGTAAAGAATTTCCCCACTTGCGATTTGAATCTTGGGTACACTAACGAGTGCTCTGCCAGTCTTAGAACTGACTGATCTAAACTGTTGTACTACACACAATAATGCTTGATTGATTCTCAAACGATTTGCACAATTATTATTAATATAACTTACGAATATGGTTTGCTGCTATCCGGAATGGAAGCGCGACTCGGAAAGTATTCATTTCTGTACGTTCAAAAAAAATATTTGTATGGAATAAAAAATTTGGAATTTTTGAAAATGTTTCTTCCGAAAAATGTGCTGTCCAACTATTTTTAATGTTTAGGCCAAGCACATCGTTGAAAATTCTCAAAGATGCTACTACGATTGGAAAACAAGGAGAAACAAACAAGTTGTGCTCATAAGTGATACATATTTAATTTATAAATTAAGTTGACGTATGCTCAAATAATAATATCGAGTGCAACTAATATCCCTCATCGGTTGTTTCGATTTCGTAGTCCGAATACTTGGTTTGCAAGATTCTTTTTGATTCCATGTGATCAGCTTTCCCAAAGCCCTGTTATACAAAAGAATGTAAATTCATAAGAACAGTTAAAATGCATATTGAATAATATGCACTCACCTGTGAATATCCATAGACCTTGAGGTACTTTTTATCTGGATTGTGTTCAATGCGTCCTCCACCCAGGCATTGAGTGTCCAGGCCCTTTTCCTTACACACCTCCATTACACGATCATAGATATCCGCTAAAGTATACATCAAATTAGTTAAATCTTACATTCCCACATATGTAACCAAAAAAAAGCTTACAATGCCATTGACAATCGGCATATCCACGAACAACATTCTTTTCAACTTCACGTGAATCCTCGCTGCCAGTGATTTTTATTAGAACGTATTTGAAAATACCTGCGCCGTCTATGTCTACCAAAGGCAGTGCCAAAACATCCTTTTCGGTCATTTTGAGAAATCTAAATCCTTTTAATAGTGTTAATAGTGAAATTTCCTAAAGCCGGTATTTAATTATTCCATTTATGAGCCTTACCGTTCGGGCGAAAAACAGCTGGTTTTAGCAAATTTCTGAAAACACAATGCATATTAAATAGTGATGACATAAATTGAAACAGTGCTGTTATTTTTGTAACTGCGAGTTTCGATGGTATTCCACATTTATCGCAAGTATTTATGATATTCCGGCTGTGACTAGTTCAGTGACGCACTGTGGTGTTATTTAAGGCTTCAGCTGCTATAGTTTATTTTCTAATTTGCGCACATATTATAATTTCGCGTCAACTTCTTAATAATAAAATTGCGGTGCCTTAATTCGTTACTTTAAGTGACTGGGCAGAGTAAGGATCGATAAGATAATGCTCGCTGTTAAGCAACAGCGCCGTAAATGTTATGTTAAGTAAACAGCTGACGGCTTTTCTGTGTGTACAGAAATCATAAATGAGAGAAAAATCGCCAATTGTGTTAAACACAGATTGTAGTCAAAGGAAAGGAAATATTTAGGAATTAAGAGTACACGACGGGTATGTATAAAACATGTATTATATGAAGTTAATAATTTACTGAATTACTTTTCTGAAAAGACTATAAAGTATTTCTCGAAATGAGCGCAAAGCGGCCGTTCTGTTTCGTTTGTGGCAAAGTGAAGTCTGTTGGCGTCCTTCAGCTCATTGAAGGCAAGTTTATCAAATTTGCACAGCTCAACAATAATACTAAATATAAGCAAACATTTTTAGGATGCATCGTACCTGGCACTTTTAAGCCCATCAAAGATATACTGAAATACTTTGAGAAGGTAATTAATCAACGTTTGGTACTGACGCCAACGTCCGTTGCTTGTCGGGATTGCTTGGAGTATCTGTTTAACTACGACCGGCTTGTTAGAAATCTCAGTCAAGTGCAGCGTCAAATTGCCGACTCCTTGCTGAGTTGTCGCAAAAAAAAGACGACATATCTGGCGCCAAGGAAAGAGGTTGTCAAAGCAAAAGCGCCTGACTCGAAATCAAGAATCCCAGATGACGAGTCGCGGCATAACTCATTGTCCGAAGATGTAAAGGACGAGCAACAAGATGATCAGTATTCCACAATGAGCGATGAGCAGCATCAAGAGTGTCAATACAGCGAGAGCGAGGAGAGCATGGATGCATCAGATGGCGATGACAATCTTGATATTCCCTGTCACATATGTGGCGAACTGTTCTCAAATCAAGATTCCCTCGAGCGGCACATCAAAACGGACAATTGTCAAAAGAACGAATTTGCCACCTGTAATATCTGTGGCCTCAAAGTGAAAGACGAGGAGGTCCTTGATTTGCATATGAACCTGCACGAGGGCAAAACTGAATTGGAGTGCCGCTACTGCTCGAAAAAGTTCTCGCACAAGCGCAACGTGCTGCGCCACATGGAGGTGCATTGGGACAAAAAGAAGTATCAGTGCGACAAATGTGGGGAACGTTTCTCCTTATCATGGCTGATGTACAATCACCTAATGCGCCACGATGCCGAAGAGCACGCCCTGATCTGTGATGTGTGCCATCAGCAGTTCAAAACGAAGCGCACCTACAAACATCACCTGCGAACCCATCAGACTAACCGGCCACGCTATGAGTGTCCTGATTGCGAGAAGTCCTTCGTCGACAAGTATACGTTAAAGGTACACAAGCGTGTGCATTTACCCGCTGAATCAACAAAGTCTACAGCAGATTAATAATAAGCTAAACATAACACGAAGACATAGTTTATTAAAAATGTGTATGATTTTATTATGTCATTTTATTATGTGTTTTTTTTAATATTGGACTGATTTTCAGCACGCAAAACGACATTGTATTGTTTATTGTCAAAGAAAAAACGTATCATTATTATTTTTAAGAAATTTGATAAAAATAAAACTAACAAATATAAAAAATAAAAAAAAACATTCCTTAGAAATTTATGGTCGAACTCATAGAAACCTATTTATAATCCAAACTGGGAAATTTTGAATATTTACCTGCGCAGGCTTCAAAATCTGAGCAATAAAACAGCAGATGTTGGGTTTTAAGAGAAACTTACCTGTTTACCATTTATATAGCCTGGACAATGCACTTTTGTACTTAGTCGAGCACTTGCCTTTGAAAGAACACATCCATAATGGACATATTATTTATAAAATTAAATGTGTGCTCAGATTTGATTGGAAAGGGTGCCATAGGGAATATAGCCTGGTTAAATAAATTCTGTGCAGCATTTCACGAGTTTGCCAGCAAATTTAAAATGCATCTGCCAGATGTGGCGCCCAAAGATGACATGGAGGGTAAAATTAGAATACATGTGGAGACATTATTTCTGTGTTTTATCCAAGTGGTCACCTGCATCACACAGCTGGAGCGGACGATCAATATGGAGAACACGCTGGGCAAAAGAGTTAAACTGCGACTGACTCGGACACACTTCGTTGATCGGATCGAGTGGTGTTTGCGACGATTGCAGGCATCGCTTTATCATCTCTCCGAGGAGGCAATCGCCAGCAGTGGCGTCAAGCTGGAGGATTTATCTTTTGTGGAAGTCTTGGACGTGGCTCTCGATAAATTGGAAACCTTTAACGAAATAGTGCACGATGTGGACACAGAAAGCCGTTTGGACAGTGAGAATCCCCAGTTGTGCATTGAAGTGAATCATATTGTGAGGCATGCCTTGGCCTTTGCAAATGTCGCCCTGGAATCGGATAAAAAAGCTATGACGGTTATTTGTGAGACTGTTTTAGATGAATGTTCCGTCTTTGAGCATAACTTTGATCACCATAATCTTGGTGAGCGCAAATTGGAAGCTTTATCGATACAACGTGCCTTGTATTCCCTAGAGACATATCTAAATGAAGCTCTTTTGCGCTTGATCTTCACAAGCTTCAGCGATGCGGACGAAATATCCGTAAACAGACTGAAGAACGTATTGCAAAAATGTGAAATTTCGAAAGATGTAGAGAAACGTATATGTGATTTTGATATCAATATGGATCGCATTCAACAGATTGGTGTATTTGCCATAGCTTTCGCATCGGATGTTAAGACAAAAACAATTATACGAAGTTGTTTGGCCTCATTGGAATCCCTCGATTCGTGCATTGTGCCCGCATTTCAACTCCAGACATCGACGTCGGCTTCATATCATGCCAATATTTTAGAGCATCACTTCAAGGAGGAACTTATGGTTTTTCGGAATGTTATTCATGAAATTATCAACAGTCGAGCGCTGATTGACATCTATTTGGATATGCTAGCTGAGAGTATTGATGGTGCAGAGAAACTCTACCAGAAGCAACGTTTGTTGCAAGTTGCCCAAATGGGAAATGTTCTCTTTCAGCACTTTCATCTTAAGGTAAATTATCAGGAATTGTGCGCTGATGAATGTGGCAAGCGTTTGCATCAGGATTTCGTTGTAATTTTGGGCGAATGTCAGGCTATACTCGAACTTACGGTTCCAGTCGATCCCAAACGAGTTTTAAAGCGCTTCAAAATTTTATATTCAGTTTTAGCAAAATTACGTGATGTTTGTGGAGGAAGTATCAGAGAGGGATCTGTTTGTCCCAATCAAAATTCCCACATGATATCAAAAAATTTAAAACACAATTCTATTCGACAGCAAACATTCGTTAAGCCTGGAAAAGAATTTACACATGATAAAAGCTCTAATAATAAGTCTTCAAATTCATTATTGCATGAAAGCGATCTAATTAGTTTTCAAATAACTGAAATTCTTCAAATTAATTAAAATATAGTGATATTTAAGGTTAAATTTTAAATTAAATAAAATAAAACAAAAAATACAATTTACTAAACTTTTCGCTTTTTGTATTTGTTGATATCTCAGCCGACTAGTAATTTTAATTTTAGCAATTATTAATAATGATTTCACTGGCGTGGCAGCCCTAAAATAAGTGTTGGTAAACCAATGAGGTTCGTGAACGATAGTTCAGACAGCGACAAACTATCGAAACAGATATCGATTGCTTTGCAACGCTGGGTGCAAGCGAATTAGGTATCTAGAAAAGGTTGAGTGAAAAAGTTAAGAAATCTCTAAAAGTGTACAGCACTCACTTAAATATTATAATATCGGTCCATCCCTAAAACACTTACATCCCTAAAACAAAAACGCCGAATATTGTAAATATTGGGTGGGAAGGAGCACCACAAATAACAGACTGGCAATGAATTCATGCTTCTTTTGTGGAGCCGTTGACTTACACGGCACTGCAAACTATGAATCGCTCAGTACAAAGGTGCCCTCGTCCCAGAAATTGGTTTCACTGGTGCTCACCCATCTCGCCAGCTGTATGAAAACCGAAATGAATCTGAAGAAGGATACAAAGCTTTGTCCGCGCTGTTTTCAGGAATTGGCCGAATATGATACGATTATGGTGAACCTAATGGTTGCCCAAAAGAAACTTACAGCTCAATTGAAGGAGGCCCTCAAATCCGAGTTCGAAGACGAAACGCTAATCGATGATTTTGAGGATAAATCCGCTCAAGACGATGCCGAAGCTGAGGCATTGTTTGAGGAGCTCGTCAAAGAGGACGATCAAGAGGTGGATATTAAGGAGGAATATGATGATGATAACGCTGACGACGACGATGATGATGAGGAGGAGGAGTTCCTATGCGAGGTACGGCCCGATGAGGGCGGCGTTAAGCGCGGAGGTGCCGCCGACGATCAAAAGAAATTCATGCCGAAGCGCATTCGGCAGGAGTGCGGCACTTGTGACAAGGTCTTCTATGCCCGCTATCAGCTGCAGAAGCACATCAGCGAGGAACACAACAAATCGCAGGCGCACGTCTGTCCCATCTGCGGCGTCATCCGCCGCGACGAGGAATATCTGGCGCTGCACATGAACACGCATGAGGGCAAAACGGAGAAGCAGTGCCGCTACTGCCCCAAGAGCTTTTCGCGTCCAGTGAACACGCTGCGACACATGAGAATGCACTGGGACAAGAAGAAGTATCAATGTGAGAAGTGCGGATTGCGCTTCTCGCAGGACAATCTGCTCTACAATCATAGGTTGCGGCACGAGGCCGAGGAGAATCCCATTATTTGCAGCATTTGCAACGTTTCGTTCAAGTCGCGGAAAACATTCAATCATCATACGCTGATCCACAAAGAGAATCGACCACGGCATTATTGCACCGTGTGCCCCAAATCTTTCACAGAGCGCTATACACTCAAAATGCACATGAAGACCCATGACGGCGATGTTGTCTATGGGGTGCGAGAGGACGTGCCCACAGATGACCAGGTGGTCGAGGAGCTACAAGTGGATGTGGATGAATCCGAGCAGGCCGTCACGGTCATAATGTCGGACAACGATGATCCCACTTCCGGCATTTGTCTCATTTGCAATGTGAACTACGAGAGCAAAAAGGAGCTCGCCCATCATTTACAGTATGAACACGACGCTGTATTGAATAATTAGCAATAATAATTGTAATAACATTAATATTTAAAATCATATGCACGCCACAAATACGCATTCGTATTTATTTTTAGGCTTCTATAACCTTATGCACATTATTTTTTATAAAATGCCCCATTATGTATATTTGTTTTTTTTAAATAAACTTTGTGTCAAATTTCATGAAATTAGAATCATTGGAAATGAAACTTGAATCTAGAAAATTAAAGATTTTTCATTTCTAAACATTTTCAAAGGTGTATAAATAAGAAACAAAAATTAACTGTGTTTGATTCGCTAAAGAAGAATTATCTTTAATTTCTAAGCCCATTTCGAAGGCGCTTAAAAAAAGGTTCAATCAATAAAAGTAGGAAAAACCCCATTTTCTAAAACTGCAGCTGCAAAAATTAGAATATTTATCTTTGATTTTTAAACACATTCTGAATGGATCCTAAAAAAATGTTCTATTAAAATCATAAAGGTAAACACGACAAACATCAAACTGCAGCTTCAAAAACAAGAATTATCTTAGATTTCTGAACACATTTTCGAAGGCGCCTAAAAAAGTTTCAATAAAAGCAGGGCAAACACTATTTTTTTACTTTAAAAAAGCAGCACCAAAAATAAGAATTATTCACGATTTGAAATCAGCTTTGCAAACGAAGAGTTTTTATTTTTGACCACTGTGTATCACAACAAAAATGGAACCCAATTAATTTTAGCCCGTAGTAAATAATTTACGCACTTTTTTTTGTGTGTTTTTGTTGAACGTTTCAAATGTTGTGTGTATTCCGACGACTACGTTATAAAAACTCGATGAAGCGAATTTCTTAACTTAAGCTTATTCGTTCTCCTGAGAGCGCAGACGACCATTGGGGTTCGTGAGGCGCACGGACAGCTGCTTGGCACGCTCAACGATCTCCTTGCGCTTCTTCGAGGAGACGCCGTGGGCAATCTCGCCGCAGTAGATGCGATTCTGCATCAGCAGCACCTCCAATTCACGCACGTTGTGCACGAGGAATTTCTTGAAGCCGGTGGGCAGCATGTGGCGGGTGCGCTGGTTGGAGCCGTAACCAATGTTTGGCATCAGATACTGTCCCTTGAAGCGACGACGTACTCTGTTGTCGATACCCTTTGGCTTGCGCCATTTGTGCTGCAATTAAAATTAAAGCCGATTAATTTCTGACAAAAATCTAGTTTTTGTATTTTATTTTATATATTCAACTGCTTACCGACAACTTGGCATATCGATCCGACTGGTGGCGGATGAAGTGCTTGCTGCGCTTCTTAACAATCTTGGGCCTGTATGCTGGGCGAATGGTCATTTTGCAGCTGCAATATTCAAAAATCTCTCAATTTAATTTCCATTTAACATTTTGTTTTAGACGAATGTCAACAAAGTTGGACATTGTGTAAACACTGTAAAAACCATTTAACCACAGGCAATTTGGGCAGCATTAGTTTTCTCAGCTATTCGGTTGGTGTTTTAGTTCACAAAAATCCAACAGTTAATGGTGATGTTAAGGAAAATTGTAGATTTTATGGAATATACGAACCGCTAATATGCTAAGAGCACGTCAAAAAGAGAGAAAAAAGACGCGAAGTTGGGCGCGCTTGACAGTTGTCAGCGCTGGCAGTGCGACCAGAGCAGTCAACTTTTGTTTCCGTTTCGCATTGCAAACTTATCATGCAAGCATGACAAATTTCATGTTTTATGTATTTCATTTAAATTGCTTTACATATGTTATTGTAAATATATATACCATATTTTGCATTGTGTTTAAGAAAATTTAAAAGTTAAAACCGCATTATTGTACATAGATTAATTCTTGAATATATGTGATTTAAAGTCGCATAGTTGCTCGTAGCCCTAAATATCACAGTTCTTGACATATGGTGGAGCTATCGATAAATATTTAAATGCAAATACAACACAAGTGGAAATAGTGTTGCTGCAGATAATCTGTAAGCTCATATGTGGCTATGATCTATATATAAAGACACAAGGAAATTAAGTAAATATTAAGTAATTCATCATTCATAAGCACAGCGTAAGCAGTTGGCGACACTCATCAGACACACGGTGGATTAGAACAGTTATGTTATTGAAATAAGTATGCAAGAGTCTCGACCACACTGGACACGCTCGCCGTAACAATTATATAATTAAGCGAATTCAATGTGAACGAACGACCAAAACAAAAGGAGCGATCATACAAATAGTGCGCGACTAAAGCCTGCCACCATTCTAAACGATGGTAGCAAGCTAGCAAATGCGCACGCGACAACAGCAGCAGCAACATGAAAACCGATCTCGATGTCGATGTTGCATTATCAGACGACAGCAGCAAAAATCCAACGTCGCCGGTGCCACTTGCAACAGCAACAGCTGTCCGTGGCAGCCATGCGAATATATTTTTGAGGCGCTTCTTTGGCGCCTTCCAGTGGGAGGAGTTCGCCTGCGGCTGTGGCTCCGCGTTTGTCAACATCTCCGTCACATATCCCATATATAAGATTATTTTTCGTCAAATGTTGCATGGTGTCCCAATTGGTTCTGCCCTGCTGCAACTGCGACATGAAGGTCTTGGATTTCTTTATCGCGGCATGCTGCCGCCGCTGGCACAAAAAACCATCTCGCTGTCGATTATGTTTGGCATCTTTGATGGCACACGCAGATACCTCGTCGAAGACTATCGCCTCAATGATTATGGGGCTAAGATAATTGCAGGACTCGTTGCTGGCAGTGTTGAGTCCATTTTATTACCATTTGAGCGCGTTCAAACATTGTTGGCCGACTCGAAATTCCATCAATATTTCTCCAATACGCAAAATGCGTTTAGGTGAGTAGCTGACAATAATTTTTTGACTCTGCAGAGGACTAAATAGATAATTTGTGTGCTCCTATTTTAGATATGTAGTCAGCAATTATGGATATCGGGAACTATACAGGGGCATTGAGCCAGTCATTTGGCGCAACGGATTATCGAATGCATTATTCTTCATGATGCGCGAAGAGGCCAGTACTCGCCTACCAAAGAGGGCAAGTATTTTAATATGCCTCTTATCTTATATTGTTTATTATCATTATAATTGTACTTACAAGTGTAATTTAATTTAATTATTGTCTTATTGCTTCGTGGTATAATTCAGTATCTTAGTATATTGTAGATATATAAAAATTACCCCGAAATTTTAGAATTTGTTAATCAGCCAAAAATTTGAGATATTATTTGAGATTTTAAAAATGTTAAACAGCTCAAAAATATTCAGAATATGTTATTGAATTTACTTAAGTTATATTTTGCGTATTATTATTTTTACATTATATTATATATATATATTATATATTCTCCAACGATATCAGACAAAAACACTTTTTTATATGTATATATATTTTGTGCTACAAATTAATCAATATTTTGAACATCCTTTCAGAAATCGGTGTCGAGCAGAACTGCACAAGAATTTATGGCTGGAGCCGTGATCGGAGCCAGCATCAGCACATTGTTTTATCCGCTGAATGTGATCAAAGTGTCGTTGCAGAGCAGCATGGGCCATGTGTCGGAGGGCAGCTGGCAGGCGTGCAAGCGGATTTATCGTGAGCGAGACAGTCGCATTGGTAACTTTTATCGCGGATGCGCTTTCAATACGGGCCGCTCCTTTATCAGCTGGGGCATCATGAATTCGGCGTACGAGAACCTCAAGAAGCTGATGAGTCAACCACGATTGCAGCAGCAGCAGCAGCAGCTGGTGGCAGTGTCGAAGGGGGACAAGTAGGAGGAAGACTTAAATGCTGACGTTAACTATATATATATATATATACGTTTATATGAATGCTATGATGTATTACGTAATACACGTGAACCAGACTAAGCTAAACTAAATTCGTAAGCTAATTTGTATACAGAAAAATGTTTCCTTCTGCCTTTAATTAGCAAATTGTTCGTTTTAAGACATAATTAAGTGGTTTGCGTTCAGAGTGCCATGTTTTAAGCACTCCATGTATGTCCTCATACATGAAAAAGCTGAAAAATAATATGTTCGTATATCATGCCTACATAAAAGTATTTGTGGCAAGTGCATATAGACTGCAAAAACTGAACTTTTATTTGAGTAAGCCCGAAACAAAGTCAGTTTTCTTCTTTTTCTTTTTCTTTTTTTTCCTTTTCTTTTTGTTAATTTAACCAACGAGATCGCAATAATAATTGTGTGGCTTGGCGTGAGTACAATAATTGTGAGCATTTAAACAACCCAAAAAAAACCAAACACAATTAGTTAATTATTAACACATAGATGTCAGATATATATATATATATATTAATAAGAACATGACTTAATTATGTTGTTACTGTATATACACATATATATACTTGCGTGATGTTTACGAAATTAATAAAATTATTCGATGTATTAAAAAATGTGTTTATGTATAAATTATGAATTTGTATACAATAACTATGCAAAAACATTATTGTCTGGAAATCTGATAATAAAAACACATCCCATCATGTTCCAAGTAAAACAATAATCAAAATCTTGATATACAATACGATTCAGCATATTTGTGTATTTAGCACAATACATAATACATACAAATAGTTAGGATCTACAACTAAATTTTCTAAAAATAAATTATATACAAAAACTACCACACATATCACATAGACGATTAACACGAGGGAAAGTGGACTCATTAAAACTGAACTTAACGCTTTTTTAGCGAAGTGCGATATCTTTGGTAGAAATCCTCCATGGCTCGATATTCGGGCTCTAGTATATCGGGAATTTCCTTGTCCAAGGATGCAAAGTAAATCATCTCAACAGAGCAGCTGCCTCGCAAGTCCTGTTCATATTGCCGCAGCTGCTGAAAGAAGCCGGAATTGGGTCGCACTTGGGGCCTTCGCGACTGCACATGCGTATACGCTTCGCGGAGACTCATTCCGCCGTACTTTATCAAATAGGCCAAGCACAGCGAGGCCGAGCGACTAACACCAGCGACACAGTGCACCAAGGAGCAGCCACCACTGAGGCGCACCTCTTCGATCAGATCGGCGACCTCCTCGAAATGTGCTGCCAAATTAACTCCGGCACGATCTTGTGCATTTATCCGTAGGTATAATGGATTGGTAACGCTGGACAGCGGCGTATCCGGTAGTTCGGGTGCCACATTAACCACACAGCTTACGCCTAGCTTGTCCAGATGCGCAGGAACCACAGCTGCAGCCCCACAAAGATACAGCGATGGCGTCAAACGTGATATGCCTGGATAGGGTGTGTGATCTTCCAATTTCGTCTGACTGGAATGAGTAGTAAGATAGAAAAAATATATATTAAACTATATAAACAATAAGTTTAACAGCAAAATAGGCTATAAAATTTAACACTAAACAATTATTGTGAAGAAAATTCTTAATTACAAAAATATACGTTTTTAAAGTGTAATTTTTCTGTTCGGTAAGAGTGCTTGTCTATTTAAAAAATATAAGAAAAGAAATCAAAATAAAACAATAAATTAAAAAACTAAACAATTTTAGCAATAAATAACAAGTTTTGAAATAAATAACTGAACCTATTTAATTGTAAAATGGTCCAAAAGGATTTGGGAAATCCCAGAAAAAAAATTAATTGGACTCAATGTTAAATGTTATCTGAACTACAATAGATTAAAAAATAAAAATAAAATAAAGGGACGGGAAAAGAAAAAATTAAATATTATTAAACTGTCATAAACAATTTTATAAGATTTACAAAAAATGTAAACAGATTCTAAAGTTAACTTATTTATAAGGAAAAACACCTGTCAACTGCTGGCTTATATATACATATATCTATATATAATGCGTCGTGACTAATTGTTAAATGATCCAATACATAAGTTTTTTTTTAAAAGCAAAAATATAAAACATGGTAAATAAACTGTCAAAAGAAAAAGACTTTTTCATATTTTTAGCCAAAGTTGTTTTCCAAATTTAAAAAAAAAAAATAGTATTGTAAATAAAATCTGTGAGTTATATTTAAAAATCTTAAAGCGCAATTTCCGCTCTGACAAGATTTTATGAATGGACACCAAGAGATCACCTTTGCTTTTCTTGTTTGCGCTTCTTTTTATTATTTTTGTTTATAATACCCGAGCGTATTTTTCTTAGTGATCTATGGGCGAACGTCACTGTTTTATGGCTCCTACGTAGCAATACTATAAAATAATAAACATTTTTTTTGTTTTTTTTTTTTTGTTTTTGGAAAACTGAAAACATATGTACATGTAGAATACTACATGAAGGAATTTGTTGCTTCCTTATAATGCGCATTATACAAATAGAATTGATTTATCAAAGTGTGCTTTGTTTTTAAAGGTAAATAAGACTGGAACGAAATGAAATACAAAATTAAAATGAAAAGAATTTGCTATTAAAAAGTTTGGTGGAAATAAGCTAACGTTGGCTTTCAGCTAAAAACAAAATGCGGAAAATCATTTTTACCACCAATTTGTTAACAATTATTGCCATTGATTTTCCCAGAGTATATTTTTCAGATATATCTATAGGTGATCGTCATTGTTTTTTAGCTCCTACGTTGAAATACTACAAAAAATGGAATATTTTTTTTGGAAAACAGAAAACATATGTTCATATAGAATACTGCATGAAGGAATTTGTTGCTTTCTTATAATGCGCATTATACAAATAGAATTGATTTATCAAACAAGTGTTTTGTTTTTAAAGGTAAACAACTCAAGAACGAATTAAAAAACAAGATGGAAACTTAAAGTTTGGCATTATTTAAGTTAAGTTTTGGCTTTCAGCTAATAACAAAATGTGGAGAAACGCTTTAGCATCTAACATTGCTAAGACTCATTGCCAATAATCATGGAGAGTTGAGCTTGAGAATGTTTATGTTTTAGCCGACTACTTGGCATCTGATTTCGGCCAATTCGCTATCCGATAAGTGCTGACAGTGTGGTTGACAGATGCGTTCACACCCAAAGCCAAAGTCTGAGGTATGTTAATGTAAAATAGCAACAACAACAAGAACAACATCAAACTAATTTATTTATGGATTTTTGCCTGGCGACATTTCGTCGTCATTAAATAATAATCACAAATTCCGCTGGCAAACTGCCAAAATTAATCATCGGACACTTTCACTTGAAAGTCGCCGTCGTCGTCGAAAATGTTCATATATATATATATATATATATATATATATATATACATATTTATACAAGATCCACAAAAAATGCTCTATTTTGTATTTATAATTTGCTGCCGTGTGAAAAAATTACTGAAATATGTATGTAATGTGTGTGGATATTTGTGGGCGACCCAATGATCATGTTTATAAGGCACAACAAATGCAGCAACGAAAACAACAATAACAATTTGTGATATTTCTATAATTAAATCGAGAAATTTATGTGTGTTTTTTAGACAGGGTGGGAAACGAAGGATATTTTTTTCAATGGTGTTATTGACACTCTACTACAATTTTTTTTGCAAATAGAATCATGTGATGATGACAAAGACAATTAAATGGGTTAATGGTATCATTTAAATTGAGTGCAGCCTTGTGGATATTTTTCGTTGTTGTCCCATTTCCTAACTGTGCTCAATTCAAATGTGATTGCAACACAAGAATGTTGGCCAAGTAGCATCAAGTGCACAGAACATTTATTTTTAAATTAACACCTGAGCAATTTCATATATACATGTATATACATATATTTACATGTGGACAATTGCAATGCGGATAAACTCATATATGCATTTATAAGTGTTTGCTTTGTTTTGGCATTTAAAATATGCAATTCAAGGTTAAAATTATTGCCAATTATTTTGTTTTTCGAATTTGACAGTCAGCAGACAGCATAGAAAGACCTTTGTCTGCCTCAAAATGAATAATTGTTTGAATTTTGTTTTTATTTTACTTTTTTGCAATTAATTTGTCCTTGAATTTAATTGTCAGAGTCACGGCTGTCGATGATGAACCCCCAAAAATTTGCAAAAAAATATATTTATTTATTTATAAATACATATTTCTTTAAAATATTTTGGGAAAAATGTTTATTGATTTTAATATGTGGCAACTCTGCCAGCTAAAAATTATAAAAGTCAAACCTGTCAAAATCGTTAAAAGATGAAAAAATATATTATGTTAATTTTAAAACATGAATATACATTAAAATCAATAAGCAAAACAAAATATCTTCAAGCTGCAATCTGCTTAAAATCATTTTCCAGCATTTTTAAGGTAAGCTGTTCGATAAGGCAACTGTTGAATGTGCTGCAATTGTCGATTCAAACACGAACATTTGAATATATTGCACAGATGCAGCTTCAGATCTTTAAAGGTATTCGCCATGGAATTTGGCACACAGAATCGAAATAAAAATGTGTGCATTTGGCAAATTTTAATGTACCTGAAAACATAGCCATATGTTGCTTTTTTTTGGAGGAAGTCGTAAAGCGGATGTAATTTTTTAAAAGTATTCTCATTTTCCAATTTGATTGGATAAAATTGAATAATTATTGTTAAATATTAACAATTATAACTTTTTATTTTGCAAAGAATTTTTTTTATTTTCATTGTTTTATTTAATTAATGTCGACTTATATAAATCGATACATAAAAACACAAAAATTGTGTATTTCAATGCAAGTTTAAAAACTTAAGAAATATTCTCAAGCTTAGCTCATTCTATTGAATATTGATGAAGTCAATGTGAACGCTCTTAATTTTTATGTTGTTCTAATTTTGTTTAAGACTAATTTATAAATTTATTTATTTTTAAAGACCAGGCTGGAAACAGCGTAATCAAATAAAGTATAATTAATATTTGTATAAAATATAAGAGATATATTTTTAAAGAGCTTTTAAGCCGGACAGAGTCTGTTATTTAAAATAACAATACATATCCAAAGAGGGTATTTAATGACGGGAACCCAAAAGTAGAAAGCAATACAGCGTATAAATTACAATATTGCCTGTTGACTTCAGCTACAAAAAAGGTAAATATAATAAATAAATAAATGCTAGGCAAGCTCTGCCAACCCATTTAAAACTAGCCTTTGGGCATGGCTGGCATGACATAAGCGCGACCTTGACTTGTATTGAGCGAGTGCTAACATATATATATATATATAGATACATATACATATGTATATAAGATATATATAAAAGGTAATTAAAAGCGGCATTCTGCTGGGCTCAATTTAATGTAGAACAAAGTAATTCGTACAATCAAAGCAGGTGTGTAATTATACAGAATATTTCAAGTATTTGGGTGACTCACATTTGACATTCGAGGTCCTTGCGATTGGTATCATTAGTTTCGGCTAATACCGATTGCGATATGTTGTTAATGTCGTCCACAATGCTTCTGAGTTTCTTTTGTGTGCCTGCTGGCAAATTGGGTATAGTAATTAATTCTTGCATGTTTACGAGTCCGTTGCCCGATCTACACGATCTCTATGTATGTTTTTCGTTTCGCGCGCAACACAAGATATAAAAATTCCACAAATTCCAAACAGAATATAAAAACTATTTTGCTTCACTTAATTTTCGGCTCGTCGCTGCGTAAACAAATTTGTCTTTAGCACTCTTTGGGGTGAATGCGGAAAATACAATGCTGAATTTTCTCTTCCGACGTGCAAACGTCGACTGACTCATTTAGGCGCTAAACACAAAACACACAATTCGAAATATGTATTTTCAGTTGTAGCGCTTAGCGTAAACTGATGGCGTGGTGAATTCCCACCGCAGTGCGTAACTTGTTTGTGTGGGTGAGTTGAAATGTGCACAATTTGCTACCTGTGGGAGGTATAAATATACATTTTTGCATTGCACACTACACAACAGGTATTTTTTTTCCCCGTAATCGCTGTCTTGAATTAAGAACTTCTTTTGTATTTATTTATTGTGCATAATTGTTTGATTTTTATATCATTGCATATGAAATTGTAATAACTATTAATTGTAAATTTGTGTATCGTTTTTCACAACACAATTTTATGCATTTCAGTTCAATAATATTTATTTGCCGTTTGCTTTAAATTTTAAATTTAGCGCACATTTAACAGTGCCAATGTTGCCAGATGCTTAGATTACCGCTCCACTTTAAAATGTAACTCGAAATCAATTGAACGTTTTGTTTTGACTTAACTTCACATTCAAATTATATAAGTAAATCAGTTAACAAACCTGCAAAACGAGTTAGGTTGGGTTTTGGTTAATTTTTTTGTTTGTAATAACAGTGTTTGCTTTAACAGTACACAGTTTGTGAGTCTGTTAGGCAGGCAAAAGACAGCTGATCCAATCATCGTGTGTACAGCCATAAGAAATTGTGAATAAGACAGAGAATACCGAATGCTAAAGAAGAAGAGCAAAGCGCGAGTTTCTTGTGAATGAGAGGAATAGCAGCCGACGCCAACTGGCCTCAAGTAACAAATACATATTTCCCACAAATTCGAATCAAATATTAAAAGCACCACAATATGGGCAAGGAAAAGGCTGGCAAACAGTTCAACATTGGCGACTTGGTGTTCGCCAAAGTGAAGGGCTATCCAGCATGGCCAGCAAAGATCACCAAGTACAACAGCAAAAAATACAATGTTTACTTTTACGGCACGGGCGAGACGGCCAACATTAAATTGGAAGATCTCTTTACCTATGCGGACAACAAGGAAAAGTTTGCCCATCCCAAGAACATGAAGCGGGCCAAATTCAGCGAAGCCATCGATCAAATTGAGAGCGCTCTGCGTGGCGAGGACTCGGCACCAATCGATATGCCAACCGCCGACGAGGGCAACATTAGCACAATGGCTGACGGTGGCGAGGTGCCGACATCGGATGCTGGTGCCGCTGCAGAAGCTGAAAGAGCAGCCGAAGCTGGATTCGCACCAGATGCTGTTCTCGAAGGTGCAGCCGCAAGCAGAGAAGCAGAAGCAGAGGCAGCAGCCGCAGCAGCTGCTTCCATCGACGAGAAGAAAAGAGGAGCAAGGAAGACGAGGGCACCGCCACGCCATGTTGACGGCGATACAGAGGGAACGAGCACCGATGCCATGGACGACATACCACCGCCGCAAAAGAGACGTGTTCCACCCGAAGGCATCGCAACCACAACAGCAACAACATCAAACACTAAAAAGGCGGTGAAGAAATCGAAGCCAACAGCAGCCGTGACTCCAATGCAGAAGCGTTCGCGCCAAGCCAACGCTAACAAGGTAACTATTAATTAACCAATTTTATCATTCTAATTTGCAAAGCATATTTTTCTGGTCATCGTTAAATGAAGAACAGTGAAAAGGAAAAATGGTTTTCATCTGATTATTTGTTACTTCAACATCGACTGCTCTTTCAGTACTAATTCAGTGTTTTTCACACATCCAGGAGACACAAGAACCGCAAACTTAGATACAATAACTTATATATCCTTTCTATATATATATCCTTTGGGAGATTTATTGCTATCGCATGTAATCAAACTCAATTAAAATATTAAAAATGCAAGCCCGTAAACTATGCATTAATTACCAAAGTTGGCGACTTTCTCGCAAATTGCATTGTCCTCAATTATTTTAATTTGCCAAATGGTGGTAATCTTTCAACTTGCAATCAATTGCAGCGAACACTGTATGAGTAAATCAATTTAAAATAAGGGAAATGTTCGCTTATCACGTTTTGATGTTCGAGTAAACAACTTTTTCGCTTCTTGCAAATAAGGTTTCTTCTGTACAATAAGATTTCTGGATGCTATTTTTTGGGAAGCTCGACTGTATAATAAATAATTAAGGTTTAGTGATTTTCAGATTTTCTTAGAAAAGAAATTTGATTGACTATATGCTAAATTCACACATTTTATGTATAATATTGTAGATCCATAAGATACACAATGATTTGCTCATGGTATACATGCCAACCGCAAAGTGCTTGGGCATTAATTTGAACTACAACAAACCGGCTAGTTTTGAGAGCCCAGTTGCAGAACAGAACTGGCATGAGAAGTCGCGCAAGGAAGCGCTCGAGCTGAAGATGAAATTGGAGTCTGCACAGATCGATCCCGAATCCTTGCCCGAGCGCATTGTAATTGAGCCCGTGCGCAGTGAGATACCCAAGCAGGAGGCTGCCCGATTTATAGAGGAGCTGATCGACCAGGAGGATGCCTTGTTTATGGAACGCGACTTCATTCAACTTTCGCAGCAGCTGCGAGAGTGTTTGGGATTGCGTCGGGCCAATGTGGGCCGCTGCCTGGAGATACTCCAGCAGCTCAAGGATGTTGAGCTAAATAAATTAATGCTGTTGCGCAATCCGGAATGCGTAGATATCATGCGTCGATTGCGACGTTATGTTGGCAACTTGGACCTGTGGAAAATGGATAAAAATGATGAGGAAGAATTCAAAGAGAGGGCGACTATTATCCGGGAAGTGTCGACGGGCATTTATGATACGTTCAAGACGCTCTTCAACACCGACACCGATCCCGAGGAGAACTTCTGGATTGAGTTCTGCGAGAAGGTGAAGGTCTACAAGGCCTACACGACCAGAATCAATGACAATCTGCGCGTTACAATGAGCCAGCGCAGCTACGATAATCTGGTTAAGACAAAGAAGGAGGCCGCCGTGGCAACGAAATCTACGGAAGTTGCTCAAAACTAAACTGGCAAATAATAATTTAAAGTTCGCCGTCTTATTCTAGAAGTCTAAATAAGGTAGGTATTTCAATTACTCTCCATTACCCAGAGCTCTATTAATATATTATTTCATTCGTTTCTAGTTAATATTAAGATTAAAACCGCCGCCCGAGCGGGGGGCGATAATTGTGAAGTCTTGCATCATCCCAAAAACCTAGAAGCATGAAACTGACACACATCGGACATACTGTTTTGCTTTTTGAGTAGCTATACTCTTTATATATATAAACATCTACGGGCGCTTAAATCCAATATGATTTATATAAACCATTTTGCAAGCACTTCGTTTACGAGCTGCATCAGCAAACCCACAACAGTTCTTAAATACAATTAATATAGTTTACAATGTTGCACACATAATTATGAAGATATGTGTTTTATGATTCATTAAAGAAAAATAAACTCTTGACGTATTTAGCTGAAATTAATCAACAACAACATGCATCTCTAATAGTTGTTCAGGCTGCATTCAATCAGTATTTTTCAATATTGCAAAATCCATATTAATTAGCTAAACGATTTCGTTTTTAATTCAATTGACGTCAAAAAGCATTTTTTATATACATGTGCGAAAAATCAATTGAGGCCTGGGTGCAATCTTTTGGGAAACCCCCGCCCTTTGAGTGGAAAATGCGGTTTCATGGTTGTGTGGTAGAATCTTTAATTTAAATTCAACTGGATTCATTCTACTTTTTTTTTTATATAAAATTTTTAAATCATTTATGAAAACAAAAATTAATAAAAAAAATTAAATTAATTTTAGAAAATATTTATATGGTTTTTAATGAATCTCGCCGATATTCATCATGCGCTGCCTTCTGCCTACGTAAGGGCGAGCTTCTCTACGTTTTGGCTCGTCCCGTCGTCTGTTACGTTGCGCTATTTTTCAATTCCAACGTTTTTCCCCATTTTCTTGTGTATTTAGTTAACGTTCTCTCGCATTTGCTTTACTCTGACAATTCTCTTTTGCTCCGCTCTGACAATTGCCAGCTCGGCGCAGCAATTAATCGGTTTGGGAGCATATTGATCGTTAGGATTTGGCGCCATTTTATTTTCTTAAGCACTAACGCATGCAACAGCGACAGCAAAATGGCCCCAACACCAAAAAAAAGAAACACCAAAAAGTCGCCACAGAAATCGAAGGCTGATCACAATAAAGTGGGTACATATTAATTTAACAAAAGTAATAAACTTCATTTACATAACCTGAAAATTGCATAATAAAAAATAATTTTAATTGATGTATCTAAAAATCGTGAGGTAGAATCTTCGCCGCTTAGAGTATACATGTGTATATATTTTTTATCAGTCTCAGTATGCGAGTCATTTCCGTCTGTCGATTTTAATGACGGCTACTGAATTTAAAGGGTATAGTTTTCAATTGATTATGAACGTAATTCTTTAGCTAAAATCGTTTAAAATAGTTTCAATTGATTTTAGAAAGTATTAAAAAAAACGTAGCTTAAAATTAAAATGTAAAAGTTTTTGTTTACTCAAGTTTGTGCTCAAAAACATTTAAAATTAGAATTGAAGCTATGCATTAGTTGCAGCAGCAGTTGACAATTGCTGCGAAAAGTTCTACTGTGTTATATACTAAACACATATAGTTTTCCTTGCAGACTAATCAGATACACAATGATTTGCTCTGGGTTTATATGCCCACCGCTAAATGTTTTGGCATTAATTTGAACTACAAGAAGCCGGCCAGCTTTGAGAGCACCGAAGCAGAAAATGATTGGCGTGAGAAGTCAATCGAAGAGGCGCTCGAATTAAAGATTAAATTGGAGTCTGGTCAGATCGATCCCAAGTCCTTGGCCGAGACCGAGCGCATTGTAATTGAGCCCGTGCGCAGTGAGATACCCAAGCAGGAGGCGGAGCGTTTCAGAAAGGAGCTGATCGACCAGGAGCATGCCTTGTTTATGGAACGCGACTTCATTCAACTTTCGCAGCAGCTGCGAGAATGTTTGGGGTTGGGTTGCGCCAAAGTTGGTCTTTGCCTGAAGATACTCGATCAGCTCAAGGATGTTGAGCTAAATAAATTGATGCTGTTGCGCAATCCGGAATGCGTAGATATCATGCGTCAATTGCGACATTATGTTGGCAACTTGGACCTGTGGAAAATGGATAAAAATGATGAGGAAGAATTCAAAAAGAGGGCGACTATTATCCGGAAAGTGTCGACGGGCATTTATGACACGTTCAAGACGCTCTTCAACACCGATCCCAAAGAGAACTTCTGGATTGAGTTCTGCGAGAAGGTGAAGGTCTACAAGGCCTACACGACCAGAATCAATGATAATCTGCGCATCACAATGAGCCAGCAGAGCTACGATAATCTGGTCAAGACAAAGAATGAAGAGAATGAGAAATCAGAGGAAGGTGCCAAAAATTAAACAGCCAAATGATAATTAAATGTGCACCGCTTAGTTTTATAAGAATAAATAAGGTGTGTGTTTCTATTACCCTCCATTTCCCAGAGCTCTATTATCATGTTGTTTCTATTTTAGATCAAAACTCTCGCACGAGCGGAAGGGGGTTACTGTGAAGTTATGAAGGACTTTAAAACTCAAAAAACCATGGAATTGACAGATCATTTTTGAGTAGTTAAAATAAAAAAAAAACATATCGGACACTTCAATCTGATAAATTTACTGAAAGATTACTTGAAGCAATCTTTTGTAAAACACATTTCACATTGGAAGGAATGAATTGATATTCGAGTGGATTTAATCTATTTTCTTTTTAAATACAAATCATTTTATAAACAAAGATTTAAATAAATAATACAAATAATTCAGCACATTAAGCAAAATTAATGGGTTTACGATTCGTTCTATATAATCGCCGATATTCGTTGAGCGCTGTCTTCTGCTCGGTGTTTTCTGAGCGGCATCGTTTGGTCAAATAACGGCGATTTTCCTCGCGTTTTTTCGCTCTTTGCATTTGGCGCTGTTTCTTGGTTTTCGCGATTTTCATCTCCGTTTCCTTGCGTCGATAGTCGACGTCTGCATTTGTTGCCCTTTGGCGACTCTCTCGAGTTTGGTTTGCTCGTTTCTCGCTGCGCTCTGGCAACTGTTTCAATGTGACCAGCATGCGTTGCTTCATGCGCTTGATGCGCTCCACCATTTTGAGCGTAAATGGAAAGAGTGGCGCAGGACTTGAGTCATCGTCAGTTTGTCGCAGCTCTACTTCTGTTTGTTGCACCTCCACTCTTAGCTGATTGTTGCTGCATCGCTTACTGCGCCGCAGTTGTCGAGTGTCTTCAATAATTTCCGGCTCGAAACTGATATTTATACCGTATTCCACGCTATCCTCGGTTTCCGGCTGCAATGCGAGGGGATCATCATTGTTTGCATCTGCATTAATTGAGTTTTCCATTTACGTAATATTTGCGGCTTGTTATTGTTTACAAACGGCCGCAATTTGCATTGAAACGAGTGGAATTGGGATCTTTCGCATTCCGTGTCCATGTGTGTGTGTGTGTACGAATACACTGTAATTATTTATTTATTTATGTCAACCACAAAAATACAAAAATTAATAAATAGATTAAATTAAATTAAAAATAAAATGTAATTTTAAATTCAATTGAAATAAAACCAAAATTTATAAGATTATGCACAGTAAATAATTGTAATTAAATATATCTAATATTTATATTTTATTGAATTGTAAATATTCAATACAATTACAAACAGCTCACAAAAGCTAAATATTTCATTTTGAAGGAGTTCAAATTGTATTTATTTTTGTGGCAAAAGCTTTTAAACTCTTCTCTTTTATATATATTAAATTTACATCCATTAAGGATACTTTATTAAGACTGCATTTTATATAAAAATATTTATTAAATAGTAGATTTATAAATATTGAAAAAAAAAAAAATTCACATTCAAGTTTTCATTTATACATTTATTAAATTTACACCCATTTAGGATATTTCATTAAGACGTCATTTTATATTTAATTATTTATTAAATCGTAACTTGTCTAAACATTCAACAGAATTACAAACATCGCTTACAAGAATAACAATTGTATATTCAAAGCCTTTCAATTCTTCTCATTTATATATATTAAATTCACATCCATAGAGGGTAGTTTAATCGTTCTCCTTGACATCGCCAATGCCCTCGGGGAGTATGGCAAACATTGCCTCCGATTCGGGCAAACATGGCGAATCGTAGATTTTACAGATGCGAGCATCTCCCTTTCCCTTGCGCAGATATAAGCGGGTTGTCGATGCATGGGCCATGATGTGGCCACCGATGGGTTTCTTGGCATCCGCCTGGAACATCGATGCACCGCCATCAACTTGGGCCGTCACCTGATTCGTTATGACCACAGCAACACCAAATTCATCCGCCAGCCGTTGCAGCATACGCAGAAATAGACCTAAATGATTTTGACGAGCTGCCAGTTCACCACGTCCAATGTACTCGGAGCGATACAGCGCCATGGCACTGTCCACAATAATCAAGGCGTATCTGTAAGATAAGCATAATGTGAGTTGTGGAATACTTTCTAATAGGAATCGTTGATATGTTATTTTGAGAACCACACCTCGATTCGAACATCATACCAGCTGCCATTTGCACCAGTTTCGTCTGCTGATCCGTATTGTGGGCACGTGCACAGGCCACATTGTCGAGGACATCCGCTTCCTCCATGCTGTAGCGCTGTGCAATGGCGGACAGGCGTTCCGGCCGGAATGTGCCCTCCGTATCGATGTACAGTGCCTTGCCCTCCCCACCATTCTGGCTGATGGGCAGCTGGCAGGTGACGGCGAGTGTGTGACAAATTTGAGTCTTGCCGCAACGAAACTCGCCAAAGATTTCGGTTATGGATCCCGTCTCGATGCCGCCGCCCAGCAGTTTGTCCAGCTCCTTGGAGCCCGTTGTGAGCATGACGACCTCGGAGCGCATCTGATGAAAGGTGCGCGCACTGGTAAAGCTCAGCGGCACCAACTTGTTCGCCTCCCTCATAATGTGATCCACCTTGGATTCACCTAATCCCTTAATGGTCAGCAGCTGGCGTCGCGTTGCATACGAAACCGATTCCACAGTGTGCAGACTGGCCTGTTGCAGCAGTTTTATGTCTCGTGGATTAATATTGTTGCCCTGTGTGTGAAGTGTCAACTCTTTATTTGTGACAATTGCAATTGGATTTTGTAGGTGCAAACCTGCAATTTGAGCACATCCAGCGGACCCGCATCCTCCTCATCATCGGATAGATCGGCTGTGGTGCCTGTGGCCAGCTCTGCTTGCTTTTGCGCCGTTGGACGTTGCTTCTGCTCCATTTTTGACACAACAGCAACAACAGCAATTATCGTTTGCTTTCAAAATTTTAAATTATTGCTGTGTTTTATTATAAAAAATACGCGCGCTGTGTTGTGAAATATTCTAATCCATTACTTGCCATTCACAATTGACGTCAAATAAACTGTTAACGCGACAAGAAGAAGAAGCTAAAGGAACATTAGCATTGAAACAACAGCCGGAGGAAAATTACATAAAATAAAAGCTGCAAACCGGTAATATTTACGTGTTTTTTATTTTTGGCATTTCGCTTAAATTAAAAACTGTGCAGAGAGGAAAACAGCCAAAACCCGAGTCATTATCGGAAGTATGAAAAGTTATCACTACTTTGATGTGCAATTGTAAGTTGAGCAAATACAGGAAATTATCGCACACGTGCGGACAAAAAAAAAAAACATAAATAAAACGCTTTTAGTATTTATTTTGTAGGAAATTTCGTGATTTTGACTCCGTTGTGCTGACACCGATCTATTTTCGTGGGAGCGTTTTGGGCTCATTGGAGGGTTTCTTTGGTGAAATTGGGGGCAAGACCAGTTTGGATATAATCAGATTTAGCAAGGAGCAGAGACGCGTAGTATTCCGTGTGCCGGAAGAGTTTGCCGAGCGGACGCACACAGCGATCACCTTGATTGGCCATTATCAGGAGGTGCCCTGTCATTTTCGTGTGCTAAAATCATCGAAGAAGCCCCTGGACTTTCAGAAATTGACTAGCGAAGATCAAGACGAGTGCGAGGAGTCCGCCAAAGGAGAGGAGAAGGAGGAGTCACTATAATTAAAATGTCATACTGTAAGGTCTTTGGTAAGGATAAGGTAATATTTGCCACCAAAGAGGATCATGCAGTCCCCAGCACCATTGAGCTGCCGGCACCAGAGCCGCCACAGGGCCTAATCACCAAGGATGGCGACATCAATTGGGGTTGTCCCTGCTTGGGTGGCATGGCAACGGGACCGTGTGGCGTTGATTTTCGTGAAGCGTTCTCCTGTTTCCATTACAGCGAGGCGGAGCCGAAGGGCTCCGATTGCTATGAGGCATTCCGCAAGATGCAGGATTGCTTCCAGCAATATCCAACTGTCTACAACAAGTCAAGCGGCGGCGATGATGACGATGATGCCCTTGGCGATGTGATGAACCCGGAGAACGGTTCCAGTGTCTCGGATGTTGATGAATTATCGAGCGGTGCTGGGGCTGCTGCTGCAACAACTACAAATGCAACTACAACTACAGCTGATACACAAATAGCCACCCAAACAATGTCGAGAGTTGAATAAAATTAATCAACACCAAAACATTTATCAATAATTCTAACGTTGATTGTATAGAAATAAAATCAGATATCGAAGCCATTTAACATTTACATCAGCTGTTATTGTTTTGTTTCATTCCATTGCACAGCTGTTGCTGTATCCAGTGTTACTTTTTATTCGAAATGAAGAAATCATTGTTTTCCCTTTAGTTACAGTTGCAGATGTTATTTAGGATATCTGCTAAAGGAAACTATTCAATATACACAAGTACTTATGTTTTTTTTTTTTGCTAACGGCAAATAACTTTAACAGACAGTTAACATCCTATATGTTTATGGGATTTTGTAGCATATTTCTCGAAAAACATCTGAAACATGGTTGCGGTCGTGTATTAATCGGCTAACCGCCACGTATTTTAATCGGTCGACCACTAAGAAAAATATGCAAATTTGTGGAAATCGTGTCGAAATTGTTATTAAACGCATTGTAAAATGCTTAATGTGCTAATAAATCTCGCATGTGATACTCTGAAACGTGAATTCAATATTAGGTCTGTGCAGAATTTCAAAGTGCAATAGATAAGCGGGCACCAGTGCAATTTAATCGTTCTACGGGCCAAACAAATAAAAATAAAAACAAGCAATAACCTCGCTTGCAGCTCAAAATCCGTAACAAAATAGAAAGTCCAACAGCTCGCCAGTGTTGTGAGTGTTGTGCAAATCTGATTTTAAACAAATACAAGCTCTCCGAAACAGTGTTTAATAATAATACGAAGCTCAAAAAGTTTTTTGTAAGTTTTCATATTTCGTGCGTTAAAAAAATAGTGTGTGCTGCCTGCGCCACAGACAAAAATACACGCGTACACACACGCCGAACAACACACACACACACACGCGCAGTTACGTATTGGTGTGCAACGAAAGACGTGCGGAAAGGAATTCGAAAATATACAAAGTAATTTCAATTGATAGTTTTCTATTTAAACAGAGGACTAAAACACACACAACATCCAAAGCATAACGAGAGTCTCACAGAATACACAAATTACAGGAACAACAAATTTTAAGTGTTTACAAGTGAAAAAAAAGCAACAAGCAACAAACGCAAAAAAAAAAAAAAAAAAAAACAGCGACAAATTTGAATGCAGCTGAGGCTTTATCATTTGAAAGAAAATGGTTTCGTTAATTGATACAATCGATGCGGCAGCGGCGGCCCAAAAGCAACGGAGCGCCGCTGCCGCTGCAACAGGAGCAACGTCGACGTCAATCTCGTCCAAGGCTAGAACCAAGTCGACATCAGCTGCTGCTTCTGATTCTGCTACAGGTGTGGGTTTGACTGCCAACGGCAAGCCTAAGGAGAAACGAAGGTGAGTTGATGGTCACCCTAATCGATCTCATGCTCCCCACTCCCTCCAACATTCCCCCTGCCGAATAGGTATTCAAAATTGACGACGCTCCTGCCATGTGATCTGTCGGATGGGCTGTTTGACTATTGCATAAGCAATTTTTTCTTTCTTTTTTTTTCTTTAACTGCTGCGTCGTCAGCGTAAGCGTCGACGTCGTCGTCGTCGTCATTTCTGTTGCTGTCGACGCTATTGTTGTTTCTGCTTCGCTCATAATTTCAATAGGGCTGATGGATCTTTAACTATTCACAATAGTTGTACACCCTAATCTACACCCTAACGCAACATTCAGCTCTGCAACGGTTGGGGGTTGATATTGATGTAAATCCGATAACAAATGACGGTGATGACTAGTAAAATTAATAAGAAATAAATATTTTCGTGATAAGACGATTCGATTCGGTTCCAACTATTTTCTATTTCTATAAAAAACAATATACATTAAATAATTTATTATTGCACGTGTTGGTTCCGATCCGATCATAATTGTAATTGTCTTTTTAACCGAGCTTACAAATTGCAATTTCGTCAAGCATTCATTCACAATAGATGACAACAATTGCAACTACAGCTAATAAAAGTTATGATCATCCTTATTTATTTATGTAAGACACTGACGTAGTTTATCGAAATACGGTTTTCGTTTGGTTTAATCGAGGGGGCAAAGATCAAATTTTGTACAAATAAATGCATACGACGAACCAAGTCTTAACGTATTCATTAATCACGCACGGCTTTTGCATTTGCGATAATTATACAGCGCTTTGGACGAATTCAGACAGACACTAAAAGAGAACGCGTTGACCGAGACCTTAACTTCAATGTCAAGCAATAGAAATCTATATATATATATAAATATATAAAACCAATTCAAAAGCGAAATTGGCAAGCATAATTGTATTTGCCCAGCTAAAGCTGAAGTGACGAATATTTTTGTATATAAGCAAGTTTTATCTTATTGTGAGTGCCGCTTGGCTCTTCCAGGAAGCCAATCAGCATACCTTTCAGTACCTTGACGGGCTCGGCTCGGCGTCTCAGCTGCATGGCTTGGCCTGTTATGGTTTTCTATTTTTAGCCCAACGCATTTTTGCCTGCCTTTTGGCCATGTTTTTCTCATCTTTCTCATTTTCTCTTCACGGCTATGTATTTTTCTGCTTACAAAAAATTTACAAAAACAAATAAAGAAAAACCTGTTGTGTTTTTATTTATTTTTTTTCAAGCGCAACCAGTTTTTGTTTTATTTTTATTATTGTCCGTTTTTTTTATCGGTTTGTTTTTGTTTTTGCCCTACCTATTGAAAAATCTGTAAAAAGGGTCGATATGAATGTTATACATAGGAAATTATAGCGCTAATATATATATATATATATGTCTGATTGATAATTCACATTTTTTAAAATCAATTTTTAATAGCCGTAACCCTTGTCTGATCCTTTTAGAATTTTAGTTTATTCCCAACAGCCCTTTAAGTTTTTTTTATTCGACATTTACCTAAGGTACAGGGTATTTGCTTATCTACACTTTTTGGCACCTACCTTTTCAGTCCCTTTAGGGACCGACCCGCCCCTCGAATAACGGCCAAGCATTTACTGAAATCATTTACTATTTGTGTTAAGCACATAAAATATAAAGTTTATGATGGACTCGATTGTGTTTTTTTTTTGAGAATTATTACAAAAATGCAACATTTGCATTGAACTGAAATATTTTATGTTGGCCTGGCCTACGTGACTCAAGTTAGTTGGATTCGCTGCTGAAAAGCAGTTCTGTAACATTTTCAAGCCGAGGAAAACCCAAAAAGCCAAATAGTGGCAGCCAGTTTTCCGCGTTACAATTCTAAACTGGTTTCAGTCATTAATGGGTTTGTATTTAATTTGTTTGCTGCCAAATTAGCTTTTGATAATTGGGCATGTTTTTTGTTTTTAATTTTGATTTGAGTCAAATCTTTACGTGTTAAAATAATTGTTGTTTATAAAAATCAAATATTTGTCTCATTAATAAAATTACAATAAAAAAAAGTTAGCTGATTGTACCGTACATTTCCTTATGGATTTTACGAATAATTATATTAATAATAAATTTGCAAGCTTGCTTCAGTTTTTTCTAATAGATTTTGAACAAAAACTTAAGTGAACTTAGTGTTTTTTTTAATCTTGAAGATGTCACGTTACATAAATTTTTAAAGCTAATTCTGGCTTTTCTTTTCTTTTACATATTTTGATCAAAAATAAATAAATAATATAAATGAAGAATAAAACTTGAATAAATTTTAATCTGCAATCGATACATATCGATATGTTGACGCTGTCATCGCTAGTCGCAACCTTGTTGTTCCACTTGCTTGTCTGTTTATTTGATTATCTTAGCCTCGATTAAAGAATAATGATTTCATTTCTTGTTGTTGATTTCTTTGACCCCTATATATTTAATTAAAAGGGAGTGAACAAATATTGAAAAATAGTTTTTTAGAATGTTTATGAAATCAGAATTTATTTTTTAATTAATTTTTTTAATTGAAACGAACCTAACCCAAACCGGAATTTTTACAGTTTTTGTTTATGTTTACTTAATTAAACTTGAATTGAGATATATACAACAGACACGTGTCATATATCCGTTAATACACTAATTGATATGAATGTTGAAGAAAACAATAAATAGAAACTGTTATGTGTGTGTGTGTGTGTGTGTGTGTGTGTATATATATCGTTTTTCAATACCAACACAAGGCAAACGCATAGCATTAACACAATACAATGTAAAATATTTAAATGATATGCTTTATTGTTGTTGTTGATCGTTCGTTTTGTTTGTATATACCGATGTTGTTGTTGCTGTTGTTGTTTTTATTGTTGTTTCTGTTGTTGTGTGTGTTATTATTGTTGTTGTTGTAGCCTCTGTCTGGCCACAACAACGACCTACTTTTTTGCGCAATCGAACTAAAGTATGACGACATTAGCGGGGAGTAGTTGTGGGGTGTAAATAAATGTGTGTAAGTGTATATGTGTCGTGTGATCTGTGTGTGTGTGACTTTTTGTTGTTGTTTTTTCTTATACGCAGTTTAGTTGTTTTTGTCGCAGACTCAAACAGATGTTGTTGCCATGCAGCCGCCAAATGCAGCCTCACGGCGTTGCTTTTAGGCATCTGTGTATCTGTGTCTCTGCCATTTGTATGTGTATTGGTGTTTGTTAGTTTCGTTTTTTTTTTTGGTGTTTCGTTTGGTTTTGTGTGCTTTCGATTTTGTCCAGCACTCAGCTAGCTGCCCGCCGAATTTATTTATACCATACGTAATAACTTTATTTTGTTGTGATAATTATGTTCTCTTTTTCATACATTTTTCGTATTTATTTTGATTTTGGGACGGGTAAAATAAATTTATGTGCGGCCTCCGCTTTTGTCAGGCGCGTTGATAAACTGCTCATAATTCTTGGCTGTTGCACAAAATGGCTAGCAGACTTAACCCCTTTTTGTTGTGACTTGTAGGAATACTTGCCAATATAAATGGAACACCTGAAAAATAAAACGGTTTCCTTTTTTTATGTAATTTTTTATGTAATATATAATTCAGATTTAACAGGTTCTGCTGCGACCTCATTTCGACAGATTTTAAAAATATTTTATTTACTTCATACCCATTGAAAATAGGGAAAATGTTATAATGAAGTTGTGCAAAAGAATGTGAAGACAGCACGAAGCATCTCTGACCCCATTAAGTATATATATATTCTTGATCAGCATCAGCAGTCAATCAAACCAGTCAATTTATTAAGATCAAGCTAATTTTATTTGATCAATAACTGCTCGTTATTCATGTAAAAACAATTGTAAAGATGTATTCTTTATTATATATTACATAATAATTTAACACATAATTGATGAATGGTAAAAATGTCAGTTAAATCGGATAAGGAATATAGATTTTGTTAACCATATTGAACAACTATTATTAGTACGTCTATTAAGTATTTAACAGCTGGGTTCAATGTATTTCTTAGTAGAGTTCTCTCGACTATAGCTTTGTAGATTGATTTTTATGCAAATTAAACAATTGCTGTACTTTAATACACTTTTATGCACCTGTAATTTGTGGAAAAATAATTTTCACAAATCATTTAAAATTATATTTTTGTATACTAGAAATTCGAACGCTATGATTTCAAAGGTCATTTCAAAAACACGAGAAAATATTCCACTCGGGCGTCACCGACTGCAGACTACGCTGATAAAGAGAGTCTTTAAAGTCTTTTCTCCGAGAGAAACTGGACAACTGGAGATTACAAGCAATCTATTCTGAATTTAGGTTTACAATTGTGGGAGATATGGATTTTTGGGGCGTTAGTGGGCGTATAAACTATTTTGTATATAATTCTTGGAGGTTGCCGGTAACATGGTTACAAATTTGTTGACTATATCAAAAATAAAAAATAAAAACTCGAGAACGAGTTTAGGTTGAGATTATTATTGATCAACAATAAGAGTTGTATTGGTATCTGATCAGAAACACAGATTTTGTTAACCAAAACGTATTATTCATACTTAATAGCTGGGTTCAGGGCATCTGCTAGTCGAGTTATCTCAATTCGAGCATTCCATTTTTTTTTTTTAATAGTTTTACGAAATTGGAATATCAGATTTAAGCCAATAATCGCATTGAAATTTGCTTTGCCCCAAAACAAATGTCGAACAGCCTGTAACCAAATGTTGCACACTGAGATTTAGATAATGTTCACATATCAAATCGCGATAATTGTAGATTTATGACTTTTTTTAATGAGTTTTTCTGGTTTGGTTGTTGCTGTTGTTGCTTTAGATTAATTCGATTTTTTGGCTGCTTGCAAAATGTTTTGTCGGCGAATAAACTGTCCAATAACCCAGAGGGGAAATACACACGTAAGAGCCCATTATTTAATGTCGACTCATTTGCTCATTTGCTATTGTTTTGCCGTTTTGTGGCTTATCTCATT